CCGGGACAAAAAACCTGTGTACATGTCGGCATTGATTTGCTGATGAACCCTCCTGCAAAAATTCCAAGATCCGCCCCTGATGTATACTTTTGTTCAGTTCCAGATTTAAATTTGGGGGCACCCAGGGGATATGGACATCTGCTGGGTGCACGTTCCCTCCCTTCCGTGCGCCCCCACCCTGCAGTTACGCCACTCATCATGCTAATGAAGAGCTTCCTTTTTTTGATTGTTTTGTGCCAATTTTATACATTTGTGCATAGGATTGCTTGGCGTCATTGTTACGGATTTGACATGAGGAATTTTACGTGATAAACATCAAAATCAACCAAAGTAAACCTCGTTATACTGCCTTTCAAATACACGTACACCTCTAGTATATTATTATTGTATAAACGAGAATAAATGAAATAACAATGGTATCTTTCGTTTAATACGTAACTTCCGAAGTGGATTTAAATATTTAATGTTTTGAACGCTTGAGGCAACTCCTCACAGGTTTCTACTAAATGGAGCCGTAAAACAAATTACAGATATTTAAACAATAAGTGATGCAAACTGCTATCGACTGGAGTGCAGTATCGTACATTTCAAGCGTCTGATCGTCCTGCTAGAATCCTTCAAATGAGCTTTAATAGCATGCTGTATTAAATAATTGTTCCGAGTTAAAAGGAAATACAGTCGTCCACTTATGTAAGAAGTGTTTTACACAGCAACTAGAACGTACACACACTCTAAAATGAATTATAAATATTAGGTCAATTTACTACCTTTTCGAGAGTAAAATGGGAAAATGCAGGTCCACTTGCGTAAATTTATTTACACTACAGCCTAGGTCCGTACATAGCCAGCGTGTTGGAAGGGTGGGGTCGTTTTTGCCATGAAGTGGACCTTTTTACCGTAAGTGTTTTTGCATTGCTACAAACATAGGGTCTATAGCTGTCCCTAGACGTATCTCACGATACGCCAGACGATCAGTCGATCCCCGTGGAGAAAGGGGGTTTAAACTGTTCGGAAAGTGCCTGTAAGTGAGCTGACAACCAGTTATAAAGATCCAATCATTGCCAAGCTCGGCACGAGCGGATACAAATGTTTACAGACACAAAGGTGGTAACAACTGAAACGACAGACGAATGAAATTTCTTTTTTGCCCGGAATTGAATTATTTATTTTTGTTGAAATATAATTGAACGTATTATATTATTATCAGAGCCATTAAGTATAATTTCCATTAGAAGATTAAGTTTGAATAAAATAACGAACATTACCTTAAAGATTTAAAAAGAAAATTAATTATATGGATTGTAAAAGTATGTACAAATTATCGGACATTTTAAAGATGGAGTATGGGGGAGACTATCCGGCATGGTTCGGAGGATATTTTTTGAAGGAATTTAGGGAAGACTAACCGTATGGATAGGAGGATATTTTTGTAGGAAGGAAATTGGGGAAAGCTAACCGGCAAGGCTAGGAGGATACTTTAAAGGAAAAAGGAGGGACTAACCGGCATGGCTAGGAGGGTATTTTTTAGAAGGAAAATTGGGGAAGACATGAATATTGAAGGAAGTGAACGTTAGCTTTAATAGCATGCTGTATTAAATAATTGTTTCGAGTTAAAAGGAAATACAGTCGTCCACTTATGTAAGAAGTGTTTTACACAGCAACTAGAACGTACACACACTCTAAAATGAATTGCTCAATTTTAGGTCAATTTACTACCTTTTCGAGAGTAAAATGGGAAAATGCAGGTCCACTTGTGTAAATGTATTTACACTACAGCCTAGGTCCGTACATAGTTAGCGTGTTGGAAGGGTGGGGTCGTTTTTGCCATGAAGTGGACCTTTTTACCGTAAGTGTTTTTGCATTGCTACAAACATAGGGTCTATAGCTGTCCCTAGACGTACCTCACGATACGCCAGACGATCAGTCGATCCTCGTTGAGAAAGGGGGTTTAAACCGTTCGGAAAGTGCCTGTAAGTGAGCTGACAACCAGTTATAAAGATCCAATCATTGCCAAGCTCGGCACGAGGGGATACAAATGTTTACAGACACAAAGGTGGTAACAACTGAAACGACAGACGAATGACATTTCTTTTTTGCCCGGAATTGAATTATTTATTTTTGTTGGAATATAATTGAACGTATTATATTATTATCAGAGCCATTATGTATAATTTCCATTAGAAGATTAAGTTTGAATAAAATAACGAACATTATTTCAAAGATTTAAAAAGAAAATTAATTGTATGGATTGTAAAAGTATGTACAAATTATCGGACATTTTAAAGATGGAAAATGGGGGAGACTAACCGGCATGGTTCGGAGGATATTTTTTTGAACGAATTTAGGGAAGACTAACCGGCATGGCTAGGAGGATATTTTGTAAGAAGGAAATTGGGGAAAGCTAACCGGCATGGCTAGGAGGATACTTTAGGAGGGTATTTTTTAGAAGGAAAATTGGGAAGACATGAATATGGAAGGAAGTGTACGTTAGGCCGTAAAAACGCAGCGCGGGAATTTACAAGGATTGTAAGGAACAGATCATTCAAATATATACCGGAAAAGTCAAGGAGTTCATAGGTTAGTATAAGCATGTACAAGCTCTTACCAGTCTTGTTTTAGTAATTTTGACCCAAAAAACCCCAGAAATGTGTCTAAAAAGCGAGACTCATCATGTACAGTTCGCTAGACCTTGGGTAGGTTTTGTCTCGAGACTGTACGACCTACACCGTAAGAACTTTTACGTGTTTTTGTATTGCTACAAACATACGGTCTAACAAACGGGTTCTTTTTACGCATGGAAATACACCGACAATCACGAGGAAAAAAACATGGACCTGAGACATTTTTTTTGGCCGGGGGGGGGGGGGGGGTCGTTCGACCCCCTTCACCCCGGCTACTAATTGCTCATTATTATGTAACATGACTATAGTTTCGAGAGTAAGAAGGAAACATGGTCGCCCACTCGTGTAAATTGATTTATTCAACAGCTTTTTAGGGCCGTATACCTAGAGCCAGTTTTTACCATGAAGTGGACCTATTTTCACCATGCAGTGCGGACCTTTTAATGTGTAATATGCAGGTATTTCTTACCCATACACAAATCACGAGGAAATAATAGAGATGCGGCCTTTTTCGGGGGGGGGGGGGTGTTCGTTCCACCCCCTCGACGCCGCGACTACTAATTGCTCATTATTAGGTAAAATTACTACCTTTTCGAGAGTAAAACGGATGCATGGTCGCCCCCTTGTGTTAATTGTGGCACAAGACCTATAGACTGTACACCAGTGTTTGTACCGAGTACTGCCGAGTACTTCGGTTGGGGGGGGGGGGTGTGGAATGACCAAAATCCAAAAATTGCCCGGCCGTGGAAATTCGAAAAGCTGAATATTGGGGGGTATGATTCAATAGCCTACCCCCAGTCTAAAATTGGGGCATATAAACCCCCCATCACCCCGGGATTTACGCCCCTGTTAGATACAGACATGGAAGTTTAGTTCAACTGTCATTTAATACAATTAATCTACAGCGTGTGTTTTAGAGTCCCAACTACCACTTTGAGGAACACCTCGGTGTTTCACGTACATGCATAATAATGGCCATTGTGCCCACATACGTACGGTGGCCCTGGAACGACATTTTAATATTGACCTTCTTAATATGAACCTTGTAACTCCTTAATGTTTACGTTGTACGTTCGCAATATGCACGTTGCACGTACCTTAATATCGCATTGTGAAAGTAGTTCCTGTTTAATGTGAATGTTCCAACTTGTTAATATTCACGTTTGATCTTCTTAATATACACCATTGATCATGCTTGATGTCATCGTTGCACCTTCCTTTTTCGCAATATGAACCATGTACCTTTCGCATTGTGAACGTTTGACCTTGCATCTTCTTAATATCATTGTTTAATCGTCCTCCTTTGCAAAGTGAATCATGCATCTTGAAAAGTACGAAGTCCTTGCCAAGCCCTACACTTAAACAACCAGTTATGAGGGAGTTTCAATCTGACGGCTGTTTAATGTCGCTTAACCTGTTTCTACATTGTAGTGAGTTTTATCATGAATCAAAGCTCTCTGTTTTAATTCACTCATCTTGTACAATTCATGTTCATGATATTGAGCGCTGTTTCACTAGAAAAGAAGTCTGTTTAATTAATTAGACCTAATTAATTTCTTGACGGTATACTCTCCGTCAATTACAAAAATGCAAAACAGTGTTCTGTGATCACGTTGAGAATGCTTTTATCATAATACTTTACATCCTTCAGTCCCTATCCCTATGGATTTGTCTTGATATCCGCGTATTTAACTAGTATAAGAGTATGATCTAAAGAAGCAATTGAAAGGAACATCATTTATTTGCGGTGGTACCGTTACGAAATAATGTCCACGTATTTTAAAGCAATAGCAACAATAGTAAGGACATACTTTGATATGTATTACTTATTGGAAATATCGGGGATTTCACCAACGGTCCCATACCCGTCAATCATTGCAAAAGTGCATTCCCCCGCAACATACTCGAGTTTGTCTAGGGGCTTGATGTTTTCATGGTTTAATGCGCGATTACCCGCCTCTGCGATAACCCGCCACCGCGAGAGAGCGTTATCACGACCACACCGTTGCGTTGAGCGCGAAAAAAAACGTGTTGCCGGGGCACCCTATACGAAGTTGTTTGCTTGGAGTCAGCCAATTGCAAATATTCTTCATGAGGGGGGGGGGGGGGGGGGGGGGGGGGGGGGGGGGGCTGGTTATACTTAGCAGTAGTCCGAAAATCAAAATGCTAGTCAAAACAACGGGGCTTCTCATACTATTTGGTAAGAAACCCTGTTGGGATCCACCTTGCTAGTCCCCCCCCCCCAAAAAAAATATATATATATATATATTTGCTCTAGAACCGCGCCTGCCGTTAACTGTACACAAATTTATACCGGAATGTAATGATTTCTTTTCTTCCTCATTTTTGCCATATCACAATATTTTTTGACTCTCCAACATGGCTCCTTACCAAATAGTATGAGAAGCCCCGCTGTTTTGACTAGCATTTTGGTTTTCGGGCTACTGCTAAGTAAAACCACCCCCCCCCCCCTCATGAAGAATATTTGCAATTGGCTGACTCCAAGCAAACAACTTCGTATAGGGTGCCCCGGCAACACGTTTTTCGCGCTCAACGCAACGGTGTGGTCGTGATAACGCTCTCTCGTGGTGGCGGGTTATCGCAGAGGCGGGTAATCGCGCATTAAACCATGAAAACATCAAGCCCCTAGACAGACTCGAGTATTATGTTGCGGGGGAATGCACTGAATAAACAATGAAATAATTGACCGAAGCCACCTGTGCCCCGCGCGCTATCGCTTTTGCAATGATTGACGGGTATGGGACCGTTGGTGAAATCCCCGATATTTCCAATAAGTAATAAATATCAAAGTATGTCGGTACCACCGCATATACATGATGTTTCTTCAATTACATCTTTAGATCATACTCTTATACTATTAAATACGCGGATGACAAGACAAATCCATAGGGATAGGGATTGAAGGATGTAAAGTATTATGATAAAAGCATTCTCAACGTGATCACATAACACTGTTTTGCATTTTTGTAATTGACGGAGAGTATACCGTCAAGAAATTAATTAGTCTAATTAATTAAACAGATTTCTTTTCTAGTGAAACAGCGCTCAATATCATGAACGTGAATTGTACAAGATGAGTAAATTGAAACAGAAAGCATTGATTCATAATAAAACTCACTACAATGTAGCAACAGGTTAAGTGACATTAAACAGCCGTCAGATTGAAACTCCCTCGTAACTGGTTGCTTAAGTGTAGGGCTTGGCAAGGACTTTGTACTTTTCAAGATGCATGATTCACTTTGCAAAGGAGGACGATTAAACAATGATATTAAGAAGATGCAAGGTCAAACGTTCACAATGCGAAGGTACATGGTTCATATTGCGAAAAAGGAAGGTGCATCGATGCATCAAGCATGATCAATGGTGTATATTAAGAAGATCAAACGTGACATTAACAAGATGGAACATTCACATTAAGCAGAAACTATTTCCACAATGCGATATTAAGGTACGTGCAACCTGCATATTGCGAACGTACAACGTAAACATTAAGGAGTTACAAGGTTCAGATTAAGAAGTTCAATATTAAAATGTCGTTCCAGGGCCACCGTACATACGGTAAATACATGTTGGTCACTGTGCGTAATTGGCCAAGAACCGGTCAGACCGAATTGCAGGCCCACTCACGGCTAGCTGTTAAATTGTGTTTGACTGGATGTGCGCGGAGGAAAATCAGGAAACTTTGATTTTTCCGCAAGCCAATTAACCATTTCAAACTGAAAGTATAGATAAAATCAGACAGTGGTAAGTCAAGCTATACCGTTTTTTTTTTGAGTGCGAGAACTTTGACAATCGAGTACGAGTGCGAGTACTCCAAAAGAAGAATACAAAGGTACTCTAGCAGTACTCGAGTACGAGTAACGAGTACGAGTACTACACCACTGCTTATTGCATTCCGGATCATCATGTTTGGACTATTCATGTATGTGGTGCTGGTCCTAAACTCATCAGCTATGAACTTTTCTTCTTGTCGTAAATGGTTGGGGTGTCCAGGTAGTAAGGCTTGTGAGGTGCTGGCACTTTCCAGTTCCTTAAATATATATTCCTTAAAAAAAAAATTGTAAGTTTACCCCCTCGCCTGTTGTTATTCGTATTGGGCCTCGATCATAATCACCGTATTCCCGAGCGAAGGACGCCTTAATAGATTATGGAAGCATACAAAGACCGCTTTTTTGATCAACAACAATTACAGTCAAATACTTCAAAATATGTTCGTTTTCACTGCAAGTATAATTCTTTCACATGATCATTCCATTCCATCCTTAAAAAAAAAACAGGTGCTGGGAAACGACTGGAGCTACGACTGTAATGAGACAGGTCATGAGGGTCAGCACGAGTCGTCCTACACGGCTCAGATGGCTCCTGGCAACGATGGCATTATTGTCTTCACTAAGACTAGACGGACTCATCCAATACCATACGGCAAATCCAAACACCAAAAGGTATATAAGACAGGATATCACCTGTACCCGGGGAGGGGGGGGGGGGGTGCGCCGGTTGTGTACGCAAATAAAGTTAGAAGGGTGAAGTCCAATTTGGCTGATCTGTTATTTTAATTCACACCTGCTTATTTCAATGACGTTACAAACCACACCAACAAAAATATGATTAAAAAAAAATGTTCACACGTTATCACGGTTTCATAATCATAAAACAAAACACTTGTAGCTACAACTGAAAACAAATGCTCCTGCGCAAAAGCGTGAAGTCATTTTTTTCCGGGGGGGGGGCTGTAGTATTTTTATGTTCATGTTCACATTATTATTTTGTTACGCAACAGTGATTATATGAGCGAAGTTTATGTAGAATGTTTTCAATGATCAACTTACCGGAGTTCATAATTTGAACGGAAACCCCTAACGGTGGGTCTGTGTTTAACAGTTGTAAGGAAAAATGCATGGAATATTAAGTTATAAGTATTTCACGTACAAAACAATTACGAAGGAGACATTCTTGTCAATTTTGACGGGGCACAACCGCAAACTAGACTTTAGTTGCTGACTTTATCATGCGAATCATTCAATCTTCATTTTCAAAGTTTCTCTTCCCTTGATTTGTTTTTAATTGCTAGTTTTAAGCAATACAAAGTTATTCACTTTTTGAATGATAATGACATAACAACTTGACTTGGAATTATTTGCGAACTATTTGACAATTTTTCATCAGGCGACCCTAACTAAAAATAAAATTTCTTCCTAGAGGAAGAAAAAAAAAAACGTAGTTTGTGGGGGAAAAATAATTAAAAAACAAATAGTCATTACAAGAAAAACAAGTTGAATTGATATACAAGGATTATCTCCTTAAAAAAATCTCAATTCCTTTGGAAGCCCAACTAACATCATGCTTGTCAATATTGGTGTACATTTAGGAGATTCACTATCACCCAGCTATGCAGCTCCCATCCATGGTCAAGATACTGGACCACTTTGATGCTCCGAAAGAATCAGCACCTGGGTAGGATGTTTTTAGTCACTATTTTCTGCGTCTCTTCTATTTCGAATTAAGACGCCATATTCGATTTTTTTGAGTCATTCTTTTAGAAGAAGTGGGTACCATTTACAGAAACTAAATGATTTAATATCTGACTTGAACGTTTATGAAGGATATCAAGGTTTACAAAACTTTACAGGCAACAAAATCTAATGTTTGGGAAATCGTTCAGAAAAACGATCAAAAGGGGCTTGTGTATGAAGCGGATTTGTGATGTCTGCAGCATTCATGCATATTTCGCAATGTCCTTTTATTACATTCGTTTTATCTCGTAAAGAACCCAGTTTGCGAAAGAACACAGTGAACTTGATCAATAGCCTTTTAACCGCTGTATTGATCCAATTCAAACGATCATCTACCTTTGATTTCTGTCAAGTTCAAGTTCAGTCGGTATCATTATTGTAGTGGCTGCCGATGGCATAAAACAGTTTCCCGCCCTCTTTTGTGAGAAAAAAACGAATATTGTTAGTCTAGTCTGGCTCCTGAATACGCCACGTGTTTGAATGATCCTTAAGCGTCTAGGTATAATAACTTAATAGCGGAAAACTTTGAAGTTGAGTTTTAACTCAGTCATGTGTACTGAGTCAGTCATGTCAGTGTATATAAACTGAAAACATGCTTGTTTATCAAAACCTGGAGGAAGGAATCATCCATGATGAAATCAACAGAGGCCTAGTCTTGTTGTGACCATGTCCAAAGCAAGGAACAGAGTCACGTCAGCATCATACCTATTCATAGTTCATTAGTTGGACGTACGTTTCTGAACGAAAATAAAAACAACTTGGCCACTTTCTAGACATGTAGCATACAAGATATTTGCTGAATAATGTTTCAGTGAATTTTACTGACATAAATCTTTGACTTTAGTAATAATAGTATTTGTTGAGATAGTTCTGATCAAAAAAAAAGAAGAAAAAAAGAGACTGATTGTTTTCCATTATTTTATCATTCCTGACCCTGTCCCAGATTTCAGCATCAACATCATTGGGATGAACAAGCAGGAGATGATATTGGTAAATATTGTTTGGAATAATTTGTGGTAAATTTGTGTGAGATTGGTGTTCAAACTGCTAAATAGTTAATGCATGTAGGGCCTATTTTTTCCCCTTAAAACCCCCTTGAGCATGTTGAGTGATTTACTAGAAATCTCGTCACTCTTGCAAAATCCAACACCAAACTGCTGGACTCTGATTATGGTGGTATGCCGGACCCCATGTAAAGCATAATCAGTTAAGTGCAGTAGCCTACTCACTCAAACAGATTCCAACAAAACATGTAGTTGGATTTTGATGGGTTGGGGGTGGTTATGGTTAATAAGTAAGTTATTACAAGGTATACAAAAAATACATACATTTGTACATGTATGTCCTTGGAAACCCACTTGAGAAAAGGAAGGAGAGAAGGTACTTTACTCTTATCTTCTGGGGAAATAGTGTGCGTGGAACTACATGGATGGACTTCGTGTAAGAACAGTAGTAGGCGCTTTGTGACCTCTTTCCATTGCCCCAGTGGGAGGCAGTGGGAGGGACACCCGGCATGCACGTACGGGTTTACACGCATTTGGCGCGAAGTACCCACACCTCACTTTAGCCATGGCCCATGCATTAATGCATTTAACACAATCTGACCTTGACTTTTGTACATTTTATTTTGTACAGTACTTGGTTATGTAGTTAAGGTATAACATGAACAAATACTGATGCAACTTTTAATCTGCTGTTAGTGTAGTAAGTCTGTGGTGAGTTATAACATTTCTACAAAGTTGTTGGACAAGTTTCTCGGTCCCAAGTTAGTTTTCCCCCAACATAATTGTAATGACTGGTCATTGTTGAGCTGATCGTAATCTTGACAACAGGGTTGTACATTCCTTTCATGGGCTTGAGACATGTGAGAAGGTTAGTTGGTTATATTTCAGATGAGATATGGCGTGCCACTACAAATCAAACCAGACAAAGGGTAATTGATTTCTTTTGTTTGAATGACACTCAGAGTTTCCTGAGATGCAGACTGTTTCTGAAGGACAGCTGACCTTTGTTGGAGAGTCATACTACCAATCACCTACTCGACCACCTGATGACGAGGATATTGTCACTGACTCCATTCACCTCAGGAAGGTACAAATACTCAAATCAAGTATCTTTAATTGAGGTTATCAATTATGCCGTTTCACTATATACATTTAGGCCTAGCCTGTACTACTTTCCATCAGCAATCACACTTTTGGTCACATACCTTGGATGCATGAATGCATGCGTACACATGGATGTATTAGCGATACCCGACATAATGATTAGAGCTACTAACCGAGAATTGGAATTTGATGCGATCTGATAATTTTTTGTAATTTTATCGGCAAATTAAACAAATATTTTTTTTGCAGTAGTTTTAACTGAAAAATCATGTTGTCTTTTCTTATCTCCACAAAACGCCTCTCAACAACCTTTCTTATGTCAAAAACGCTTGTGTTTATTTGTCTGCTCACAATGTACTTACATTCGCTATTTTTGAGAAGAAACCTCCGTTGTTTTACAAGTTCCCTTTGCCATTACAAGTTCCCTTCCCGTTTCGCTATCGCAGTGATGAAAACACGTGCGTAATGCTCAATGCAGCAATGCTGTACTGGTTCCCGTCGTGCCCCGCACTAAAAGGGCCAAAGAAGGCATGATGGAAATGCAGCAACCGGTCTATGCAACCAGTCTATGACCGACCAACATTAAACAGAGTGCACTGCAGTTGCAGGTCGGTACATCGAACAAAAATGCCAAGTAAACATCGATGGAGAAAGAAGATTTCTGCAAGTTATTTCACTGATCTTGGTTTCTCTTGTCTGTGTATATATTTTCCGTGTTCATCAATTCACTTTAGAGGTTTTACAGCTCGTACTTGAAGTATGAAGCCCAGGAAGGGACAGGGTGGAATTTTTTTTTGGAATTTGCTAATTCCTTCCCACCAATTACTAATTCGTGCGCATGAATGGCTTATTCGTTTCCACGAATTACCTACTCGTTCCCACGAATTAGTAACGCGTTCCCGGATGCACGAGTTAGCGATTCGTTCCCACGAATTAGGAAATCGTGCGAACGAAATAGCAATTCGTGCGAACGAAATAGCACTTCGTGCAAACGAAATAGCAATTCGTGCGAACGAAATAGTAATTCGTGCGAACGAAGTAGCAATTCGTGCGAACGAAGTAGCAATTCGTGCGAACGAAGTAGCAATTCGTGCGAACGAAATAGCAATTCGTGCGAACGAAATAGCAATTCGTGCGAACGAGTTAGCAATTCGTGCGAATAAATAAGGAATTCGTGGGAACGAGTTAGCAATTCGTGCTAACGAATTAGCAAATTACAAAAAAAAAAAAAAAAAAAAAAAAATTCACCCTGTCCCTTCCCGGGCTTCATATTGAAATGACACAGCACAGCATGTTTCCCCGAAATTTCCTGACGCAACACGAGGTTCGTCGCCCGCCACATGCACACAGTGCATCATGCAAGCAGACCGTGCTATATACGGAACAGTGTTGGCCAGTGTCCCGTAGTGACTAGCGTTGTGCATAGTGGTGTGCACGACCTTAATTCTCTGTTATTTTAAAGAGTTATAGACCGTAAATATTTTTTACATTAATTATTAAAGGCGGGTTTTTATCACTTTTGTGGTCATGTTTTGTATAGCTTTCGTAGCTCACAATGAAATATTTCAGGCTACCCCATTTCAGAATACCCCATTCAAACAGCAGGTCTACAAACAAAATTAGCCCCAAAAACATTTGTTGACCTACATGTACCTACCTTATTTTTGAAAAGCAAATATTCGGAAGCAGAACAGGTTTTTGGGTCTAAAGAGTTTTAATTGAAAAAAGAATGAGCTGATATTATGCTTAAACTGTGATAAGTTGAAAGATGGAGAAAGCACGATCTTTGTGATGTGTTTGAAAGTGGGATAGTAAAAGGCAAGCAGCATGAAGGGCTCTGTGTTGAACAAGTCTTTAAAACGCACACAACATATGGATGAGAGGCGAGGCTTACATGTTGTCCTCAAATATATGAATATGAATTAAACCTCACTGAGCTGTTTACTCTGATCCTAGCCGCAAGATGACCATCTGAACTTTGATATGACATCCTTGAAGGACGAGATTGCTGGCAACTTGACATGCATGAGGACAGCACCTATGAAAGGTATGATGCACCGGGAGAAAATAAGACACGCAAACTGTTTGGACAACAATTTAACCCATGAGAGTGAATGCAATGTCTGCAATAACAGTCCAATTTATCGAGACAAATATAGTTAAATGATTGGTAAATGTGAGTCTTTGTCCAAGACAATTTGAATCAAGCATTTTGAACAAAGAATAGACGAATTATTATTGTCTAGTTTCTATACATAATTTACCCCCGAGGTTGCCATATGGATGTGCAGTACATGGCAAACATTTAACATATGACATACAAAGTCACTACATTATTCACTGTATTCTTTAAAATATGTATTAAAAGCGTTCTCTTAAATATGTAATGTTTTTATATTTGACTAGTGTTTAAATTTTAATCCGTAAATTTAATAGTTTAACAAATTACTCTGAACATGTAATGCGTATTAGAATATTTTGATATTTTGCGCAAAATAGATAAAAATTTCATTATTGATAACCACAGGTCAAATCATTTTTTACTTACATGTACAGCATTATCAAAGAAATTTTGCACTAAGTAAAATAATAGAGAGCTTCAAAAATATCCAAATGGAGTAGATCTCTGCCAAGCTTAAGAGATTGTCTTCCCCTTTTGTCATACACAGGATCCCATGAACAGACCCATTGTTACCAGAAGCTAGTTCAAACTTTACACTCGGTGCCTGACGCTCAGAAACTGGCAGAGATTGTGTCTCCAATGTACAAGCTGCCACTGTCCAGGTATGCAATACATGATGTCCAGGTATGTTCTCATTCTCAATGCGTCAATGCCACGTCAATGTCGCACGATTCACGCTCGCACAGCGCCCGAGTTGCGTCATTACGGCGCCCAGACCAGAGTGCAGAGGTGTTGCGATTCTTTTGAGCATGTTCAAAGACCTTGGTGCTCATCGGAGACCACTATGGCCCTCTGGCGCCCATCTGGCAACCTATAGTTGTCGCTGCGATCTAGTAGTTGTTGTTGCGCCCCAGCCTTTTTTTTGCAGTGAGAGCGCATAAAAATATGTGATCGCCGACAGTCTGACAGGGCCTTCAGTACATAATTGATAGGCAATAAATAGATTGTGTACGGTTTGTGACTGGTTGTCAGTTGAGTTACGCTAAGCACATAATTGCTAGGCAATACTGTAGTTTCCACTTAAGCAGATCCATGAAATTGGGCCCTTTTTAGATGTTAGAGAGCAATTATTTCTTTTCTCAGACGTATCCGTGACAAGCAGGACAGGTTGAACATGCTGGATGCAGTTGCCGAGATACACAGTGATGCCTCCCAGTCGCTCCTTACTGATCTCATCCTCCTGTCTCCAAAACCAAACAAGGAGCTGGTAGAGAGACTACTCATTGCCTCTGCTGGCTTCACACACACTATATCAGAGGTAGTGTACAGACTCCTTTCAAGTTGTTTCTTAGGATTTAATTGCTGTTTATATGGCATTGAAATTATGAATGATGATAGTGTCAAAACATCAGCCTTATAATCCATTATCATTTTTGATGTTGTTTTTTCAGCATTACCTAGAGACTGTAGAAGACATCGCCTTCCAACCTCACAAATTCCCTGGTAAGTTTTGGAATCTTTCCTTTCTTTAAAAACAAAATAAAAAAGTGTTTCCTTAACCCATCTATTTACACGGAAACAAATCAGAGGTAAGTATTTTTCACTAATGCTGTGCAACCCGCAGTCCATAAAGGCTCATGTCGTATTTGCTTATGTCGTACCTGGTTGCCCTAATCGCCCGAGCCGAGTTGAGAGCAATTATCGGCGACCAGGCCCCTAACCGCATTGGTTGAAAACTTTTTAAAAAGTACAAACATTTTGATGCTGTGTAGTTCAAGAATTTTACATTTCATTGTTGTCCTTGTTCAGGGACCATTTATGTGAACAGAGCATGAATTGCCATTCCCACCCTCTCCCCAAACAAACACGCAAAATGACAGCCTCGATACCGGCTGGTTATGAACACTTCTCAGCAGTGCTCTAACAGCGCTTTAAAACCACCCGCGTGACAGGCTGTCTTCCAATAAAACTGTTAACTGTCCATTTAACCACATTTTTGAACAACGTAACATTTGTGAAAGAATCATTGATTGTAAATCTTTTTGTTCTAGAATCCTTAAAAGACCCTGAGATACAGAGGGTTGCTGTGCTGGCACTTGGTGCCATGGCTGGTCACCGATGGAAGGCTGGATACAAGTCTCAAGCACAATTCATTGTCCGCAAGATTGAGGATAAACTTGGTGTGCACGGTCAGTTACAAGAAAATATTATTGGTTGAGAAACGCCAACATTCAGTTTCTTTGTATTTGAACAATATAACATTTTAACTTGTTCTGTTCAGAACGGTTGTTTTGCCAATTGACATTAACTGTTTTTAAATAACAGTTCCTAAACAGAAACCATATTTCCAATAATGATCTCACTTTTAAAGTTTTTTTTTAAATTTATTTCGGACTTTTTGGATTCTTTTGGTGTCTGGTCAACTTTTTTTTTGGAAAGGTTATGGACATTCATGACCTGTTCTGTCAAACCAAGTATATGTTTCAATATTACACTTTGAGGTTCCTGAATAGGGATCTATAATCACATGGTGTGGCAGCCATCATTTTCGTTACAAGTACTTAGCATTATGCATTTAGTTACTCTACAGTTGTACAGTTTGACTTGAAGACTTTGACCTGTCCTGGCTTCTCATTTGGCAAGTGTTGCAGGATGTATAGTGTTGGGCACAGCATGTTCACAAAATACCGTCAGGTACTACTGTTAAACTAAACTACTCATCTTTCATTTCTGACCTTCTCAGATCCCTGGGCCTATGAGAAGACCTTGACCTCTCTGACTGAGGATGAACAAGAGGAGTTTCACCATGACACGGTGGCATTGATTGAAGCTCTGGGCAATGCTGGGCTGCATCGCTCCTTCCCCCACATCCAGAGCTATACCAACCACAGCGCTACTCATCCACTGCTGAAAAGGGCTGGCTTACACTCCATGAGAGACTACCATCATGATACGGTGAACAAAATGCTTATTCTCTGGAATGACCAGACAGTTGCCATTTATGTCGAGCCTAACATTGTATATCCAGAATAGTAACTCGGGGGGGGGGGCGGGACGACGTCATGTATTTTGGACACTTTGGCCCAGATTGCACACTTTTGATTCGATTTGAATTGATAACAGTTGAAATGATTATTTAAAGGTGAAAAAAAAAAACATTTATTTAAAAGGTGCTTGAAATATGTGTCTGCTAGGATGGCAAAGTCTGAAACTAGATGCATTTTATGCAGCGCCAATACGATTTATTTATTACTGCTGATAGCTAGAAACAAGCAGTATGACATTGTAGGTGATAACCATTTTTTGTGGGGGGGGGGGGCTAAAAGAATATTTTCTGCTTGGTGATTATCTCCTGGTCATATCCTTACAGGCAGCAGGGATTCTGCTGAAGTCGGCCTTAGATGAAGATGAGAATGAGCATGTCAGATATGAGGCATCCTTGCTTTACAAGAATCACCCGATGGGCGGTGACCAAAATATCTCCAAGTTTGTCACCCCAGAAGAGTGAGTGGTAATACTGTTAGGCAAACAGTGGTTACAATTTGAGATTGAAAGAGCACTTTGTTGTACAACACACATGATGGGAGAGAGGCGAGGCTTACATGTTATTTGTTGTTTATCCTCAAATGTATTTGAATGATAGATCAGAAGGTGCAAGACATGCAGAGATCCATGCACGTACGAATCTCTTTCAAATGGACGTTGGAAAAGAACAACTGCATTGCAAACTACAAACACTATTTCTTTAAAATTAGCAAATGTAAAAATAAAATCAGAAGCTCGATGTATAAAAATTTTAACCGAAAAAAGAGCAATTAATCCTTGAATGTATTGTGTGACTGATTACCTCAAAAGGTGTTTTTTACGAATTATGATTTATTTGTTGTGTGGAGAGCTTGAGCCTATGGTTTCTGAATGTTTATCAAACACTTTACAATGGCTGTCGACTGTCAAGGCATAGAACATGATCTTGGCCTAACAAACTTCAGATTGTATACAATGTACCTGGTTAACTCGATAGGTAGAGGTTAGACTGGAAATCAATTCCGTAATTGACTGGGTTTAGTCCGCCTGCGCCGCCGCGTACCGCACCGTACCACCGGCGTTGATCACAACGTGACACTGACTCTTTTAAATCTTGTATCAAAACTTACCTCTCAATTCAAGCTTTTCATTAATTGTCTCAGACCCCAGCGCAGTGAATAGGTTTTCCTAGATACTACCATGTATAAGTTTTTAGTACTTATTATTACTTTTATTATTATTAACGTCATGGGGTTGCGCGAAGCGCGCGTTATAATTACAAGCGGGATCGATTCCTGCATCTTTGGCCCCATACATGTAGGTCGCTTCCAATTACCGACTTGAATTATCTGCAGCCCTAACGTGCACAAGACATGATAATTGCTACCAAAATTGGACGGGGTACTTTGATTGGATTACAATCAGGATGATATGAATATTCATATTACACCTGACATAAAATGTAGGCATCTCAGCTAGCTCGGCGCTGTGCATGTAGTGCCTCACCATGCAACACAGCCTGGAGCGAATCGATTGCCCTTGCGGTCGAAAGCTAATTCCTTGGTCGTTTGGAATCCATACATCATTATATTCTTATTCGAAAAGTTCGCAAGTTTTGGAAAATATAGTTTACCACTGAGTGTAATTTAACGAAAATCGTTAAAAAGAGAGACAAAAGAAAAGAAGAAGCGCGCATTGATCAAGTGTGCTGCGAACTATGTATCCTCACTCTTACAATGGATGATTCCCCAGTGATACAGCCAGATTATCGTTGTCCCTCTCTATTGAAACATAATGCATATGCATTTCGCTGGGCGCATAAATTAATAACCGTCCGAATTAGTCAAGTCATTAGACCTTTTGAAAAATTATGCCTGGATGTTAAAACACGACACACAACACTAGCGAGCGCCGTGCTAGTAAATATTGGGTGCTTTGTTGGACAATACACGACAGTGGATAATGGCTTGCCCTTCAACTTCAAGTCTAAGTAGATGCTGATTATTGCAGAATGTGTAAATTTATTTTCTATGTTAGGTTTTATAAATTAACAAAAGGTTATTACAGGCATCCTCGATTCTTTGTTAACCAAGCAAATGGAATACAGATTTTCATAATTTGGGCAAATCACTCATTAGTCAGGGTAAGTGGTTTTATCTGATGTACTTTATTCCATCTGTGAATATTATTTCTATTTTAGATATTCTGCCGCCAATTCTTCCCAAGACGTAGCAATCACTGCAGTGAGTGTGCCCTCTAGACATCGCGTGAGACGAGGATTCTGGGATGGATTGAAATTCAAGTTGGCTAGTCCCTCAATCCACTGGAAAAAGCTCATCGGCAGCTCAGCGACTGGGGCTGAGTTTGGCTTGACCATTAGAAATGAACTTAACATGAACATTGGTACGCATTTCAGACTGTATTTCATGCATTTTCATATTCTGTTGGTGTTGATTTGTGAAAAAGTGGGGGATATAATTTTGTTCACCTAATGTTTTGTAACAAGGACCTAATATGGGAAAATGTAATTACAGAACAAGGAATATACAGATTTGTAATTGAGTCTGTCAAAAGACACTGAAACATGTTACCTGACTTGTGATTGACTCTATTACAGAACAATTACATCAATTGTATTTGAAGAAAATTTAAGCATTGTACAAAACAAATGAGCCTTTGACAATTCTTTTTTGTGTCTGACAGCTCCACTGAGTGGTCACCTGCGTGTGGATCTATTAGATGAGGCTTATGCCAGAGTCGTGGTTGGGCTTGTTGGGTTTTCATTGGACCTTGCCCGGCCCGATTCTGCTTCAATGGCTTCATTGATTATAACCTCAACATACTACAGGTACGTAGCTCTCATAGTGCATCCACAAACTAACCTCAATTTGCTGACTTCACCATACAAACCTTCAGATCTCATTGATAATGATATTAACAAACATTTTAGCGAGTATTGTTGACATTTCCATCCAATCAAAGTAATGCAATGAATGAAGTCTATTAATGTGTGGACTCGACCAGAAATCATGGTTTGCGTTGTGTGACGGACTCCACAGAGCGTGCGTGTATGAACACATGGTATGCATTCGCTGGTTTGCATACCTATATCACAAAGCATAAGCACTGACAATTTTCATCTGAATGTGCACAAGCCTTGGGTGCATCCACATGCGTTTTGCACACATGCGAAACGGCGTTTTGGTCCCAGCCAATGAAAAAGCTCTGACTTGCTAGCTCCGCCCCTAAGCTCAATCAACCACGACCCGTCCACGTCTTTAGAAAGTAACATTTGTTTTCTTGTAACAACGGATACTCGCTGTATGATCAGAACATTTTTTTAAATTTAATTCCACGCGGCATATGCGTCTACAAAACGAATGCCCCAAAAGATAAGTTCACAAGTTATGTATTGTGGTTGTTTTATTAGTGATTTTTTTTTTCGATTGGTCACACTGGTCTTGTCAATTCCAGCTGGCGATGAGCGTTTGATTTGGGGCTTCATGCGAGTATGTGTAAATAGACCGCGCTGGAGGGTTGTAGTTGGTGACTAATTAGCCAAAAGGAGAGGCCCAGCCAAGATCCTCCTGGTCAGGACACATTTAGTTTCGATCATATAAAATAAATGTTTCAACGAAAAGAAGTATAAAATGTCTCTAACAATAATAATTAGGAAAAATATCAAATTTTTTTGTTTACGTTTTTTAGATACATCTTTAAAGACCACAATAAAAAAGGGGCAAAACTTGTCAGAGGTTTTATTTAATATGCCCAAATATGCACATCACACGGCAGTCCAGGCATGCTCTAGCTAGGGGGATTTGCTATTGCTCACGCTGCCGCGGCGGTGACGGATGCGGCTGTTGTTGCCGCTGTTGCTGCTGCTGTTGCCGGTGCCGCTGTTGTTGCTGCTGTCCCGGTTGCTGCTGTTGTTGTTGTTGCTGTTGCCGGTGCTGGTGCCGATGCTGCTGCTGGTGTGGCGGCTGCTGTCATTGATGTTGCTGCAACTGCGCGTGCATATGCGGCCAATGCATTTTGTCGATGCGCTCGATTCTGGTACTTCATTTCTTCACAGGCGCGTGACCCGGCCCAAGCTCTGTCAAAATGTTATTTTTTTTCCAGAGAAATTCATTAAAATATGCGAACCCCCCCCCCCGCTCTAAAACCCAAATTTTGTTTACTAGTAATAATGTCCGCCTTTGGAAAAAATACGGACAGAGCCAGCATGGTTAGGGGATAAATGTACAATATTCTGTGATACAGTGTAAATACTCGTCGGATTTGAACAACGCCCCGTTTGAAAGTATATTACGAGCCCCCTATTTATTTTCAGAGGCCAAGTGTCCGAAGAAAAAACACTTTAATTTGTTTTGCAGATCAACCCCCCCCCCGTGAGAATTCGGACTGCGTGCACGCATTTGGTCCTTGAACTTTGCGCGCTCCCCCTTTCTGAAAATCCTTGATCCGCCCCTGGGAATGTTTGCCCTTTTTCTTGGTGAACTTGGTTGAGAATGATCCTGCTTGGCACATGATCCTGCTTGGCGAAAAATTGTTGCAGGACGCCTCATACATTGTCCTTCGATTATAATTTCCACACCTTTTTATAACCTAAAATATTTCAAATACATGTACAATGTTACTAATCTGAACATAAGCTTCACAAGGGCTAAATTAAATAATAATTGTTTTTTTTTGTTTCTTCATATTTTCTTTGCAAAAATGCATATTCATTGAGACCTTCTTTTATATTTTGTTCGTTTGTATTGTGACTCCAAGTCACCTCTACGGTTCGATGACATTCTCTTATTTCTGTCTCATTGCATGTACATGTAAACATTTTGTAACCAATGACTACAAACATTGCTTTCCCTCTGCTGTATCACAATAATTTAAATTTACCTATTTGTATTTAATTTTGTTTGACTGATCTTTTAATTATTGTTTTCATGTTGAGGACATAAAAACAACTGAACCTGAAACTGAAAATGAAGGGTACAAAACATCGATTCTTTTTTTTTTTTTTTATAAAAATGGCCACATAAAATACGCAGTTCAAATTTAATTGTGGGGTTCTCTTTCTCAGATCATGAAGAAGGGACATATGCATTTTAATGATACATAGTTATTGATTTAAGAAATGTGACAACCACTTTGTCCGCCTGTTGGCTCAGCTTGCCCGGCCCGCGTGATCCAGCCTGCAAGCCAACAAGTTGGAGCTTTTCATTGGATTGGACGAAACGACTGTGTTTCATATAAGGGCAAAAAGCATGAACACTAATGCGACATAATGTTTGCCATCTTTGGCAACGGTTGCCCAAGTAGGATTGACTGTTTGCCACCAACATTTGTTAGCAATAAAGGCGACTGGTTTTCCTGAGTCATTTGCTGTGTTTCCCAAAATGGCCAACACACAATCAATGGGCTGAACCTTTCTGTTTTGTATGACATTGTATTCACTCCTCCATGAATCAACTAAAACCATGGAGTGCTCGGCAGGTCCAGGAGTAACAGGCAGGGTGGTTTTGGCGGCACAAGTCCCTTAGGGTTAATATACATGTATTTCCGGCAAAATTTCATTTTTTCAGTAACATTTTTTTGTGGGTTTCAATAAAAGCTGCTATCCAAGCATTATGAAAAATGACACTTTTCGAGTTGATTTACAGGGCACTGCCATTTTGACAGTTTTTCGATGTCATTGTTCCATTGTGGGTTGGCACACAGGGCCTCCATGTAAAACATACAGACGTTAGCGTGACGGGAACGCACCCTTGTAATGTATATTAGAGGGGTACACCTGAGCTTGGCTGAATGGTGGCCATACTTTTTTTTTTTTTTACCTTTGCAGGAGGTATTTCATGAATTTAAGTACAGAATAGCTACTAATACACTCATACTAAGACAAAATAGCATTCGAAATATACAATGTACATGTATGAAACTATCTAATTCCAAATGTTTCAGTCTCAGAGGGTAAAATGGCACTTTTGACATCAGACAATAACCGGCCCTGCAACGTGCATGTTTTATCCAATCAAAACCGGGTATGCCAAGTCAAGTTTTCGTGCTTCAGTGCATTCTGAGTGCATTCTTATGACGAACTTCGTCTTGAAAAGTTCATAATGGTGCAACTGTAGCACGGTTTTATTTTACACACTCAAATCAATGAGTGGTTAAGTCTCAAGATTTTGCTACTTCAATGTAAACATGCTAACATATTCAATGTTTTCATCATAAAAAAGGGTAACACTGTTGCATGAGAAAGTGTATGGTATGTGTAAATTGGCCATAATGTCATCTGATGCTTTGTATTGGGTTAACCAGGAGTTTGGCGTGGAGCGCATCAGTGACTTTGTCAAAGCATACGATCTCATCATTGGACAAGTAGTTGGAAACATTCGTAGGGCAGTGGACATTGTCGTTGGTCTCTTCAACGGTGACATTAGCATCTCTCAGCTATTTGACGACTTTGTCCAAGCTCTGGAGAACATTCCAAGTAACATTACGGTAGGTTTGTACGTGTAAGACATAGTTGGCAGGCTATATTACCATGTATTTCCCTAATTAAAAGTATCACAATGTATTACCCTTAAAACATTCTTTGAAAAAAAAGTTGAGGAAGAAGTCTAGCTTTTATTATATTTCAGCAAAAGTGAAACTTTAACTTTGCATGGCATTTTCGTTGTTAAATATTTTTTGCAAGGCAAATAATATTAGTACATACAGGGTGAATACAGAAATTAAACCAATATATCCGTAACCCCAAACAGGTAAGACTTAGTGTTCTTTCAGCAAAACGAAAACAATTTACATTAAGTAACACTTACCTTTTTGTGATTCATGGACAGAACCTTAAAATAGTGTTTGTGTTTAAAATTCCGTAACTTGAAAAGTACAAAGGTAATTTGAATGATTCTTGTACTTAAGGAAAGCTTATGAATTGGGCTTTCATATCCTAGATTTTGAAATTGCTATTTGCAGAACTTCACTAAAAAATGGTCCTGACATTTGGGTTTTTGTTTTTTACTCGCACTATTATGGACTGTCAGTTATTTCTTGCTCAGTATATCAATCTGCCTAGCCGGATATAGAGCCTTGACATGACATTACATGTCATATTTATCTATTTACATGTGACAGGTTCTGAGCTCATTAGCTAAGCGTGTAATCTGGCTAGGCAGCAGTAGATTAATTAAATGGGATCTCTCACCTGTTTCAGATTGGCATCCAGAGTTGTGTCAAACCAAAAAGCATTAGGAACAATTTGGGTTGACCAATGGAAGTAGATTTTCCGTTGACTTATCCGAGGAGTCTTCTGATGAACTGCAATAGTGGATTGACTTAGAAGCTCCAACACTGTAAATACTGCAGTTTTAAATTTACACCAATGGGTATCTATATAGGACCATCTGGTGTTAAATTTTGCCGGTGTTGTCCTATATAGATACCGAATGGTGTTAAATTAACATTACAGTTTTTGCAGTGAACCTGTTTCATCGTCAAAGAGTTATTATAATTAATTTCTAATTTTTTTGGAAAGCTTCCGATAAACGGTTCGACAGAACTCTGGAGTGCCAGTCTGAAACAGGCGTGATCCCAATGGAAATATGCCTCTGCAATTGGCTTTCTAGGCTACCCCAGCTGAAATCAACTGTTCTTTGCTTTCTTATCTTTGTATATATTGTTGGTTTCATCCGAATAAAATAATAATGATAATAAATAAAGGTGTTATTTGGCTTAATAACACTGCTTATGAGGATTGTCTTGTAACGTTTCTAGTTGTTTATGTCCCTTATATAGAATGTGAGATATGTGGCTACAGAGGCTATGTCCAGACTATCCCAGTTTGATCCTGATCAGCTACCTCGGTCCTTCAGGGGTGTCATTGATGTGGTCAACAAGGCTACTCAGTTATTCAGTGATATCAAGACAGACGTCATGGAATTCTACCAGGTCATTGTTAAATTTGTGGTCATGTCCATCACAAAGTCCCTCACAAGTCATCTCTTAATTCAAATCAAAAGGCTATCACAAAAAAATAAAAATAAAAAACACAAGTCATTCACAAGTAAGGTGACAAGTAACGGGGGAGGAATACTGGCAAAGGAATGCCTTGGCCACCGTTCAGTGGAGTACATGACTGCACACTGGATGACTTGTGATGACTTGTGAGGACTTGACCTAAATTTAGATATTAATTATCTTCAATTGTGATTTGAATTGTGCTATTCCTGCTGCACACATGTGTAATAGGAAAACCGCTGTCTACAGCTTTCCACCTTTGTTGTGTCTAAGTTTCCTCGAGATAAATTCGTTATTCCAAGAGTGTAAGTAGAACTTATGGAATAATGAATAGCATTCGTGTTCCATTTGCAACAAGGCCGAAGGCCGTGTGGTATATGAGACACAGATGCACATAGTAAGAAACAAGTAAGACTCTATTACACACTGTTTTGTACAATTTGTTACCTCATCTGATTTGACAAAATCATGTCAGTTGTAAAGTTGCAAAGCAAACTGACTACTTGACACGTTGTTAGCAAACAAAATTATAGGTTCTTTAGCCAAATATTCAGGACATTTTGGCAAAACTGTTGATACAGTTCATTGATCAAGTTCATCTGTCATCAAGCTGAGTTTTACTGTGTGACTTTATAAAAGGCTTTAATTCATTCATTCATACATATATTTCAATATTGCTGAAAATTACAAGACGTACAAATTACAAGACGTACTTCAACTGTAAGAACATTTTAAAAGAGTTCACCTAGGAAATAAGTGTCTTTTATTGCCAGCTCCAAAATTGGTCTTGCCTTTTTTTCTAAAAGAGATTGTATTTGTTGGTATATCAAGGATCAATTTCACCTGTAAATGCAATTAACATGAATTTGTATCTGTTCAGAGCGTCAATGAAGCCATCACAGTCACCTTGCCCTGGGCAGCAGAGCAGATCTGGAAGTCTATTATTGCAATTGCAGATTCTATTGTTGATCTACTCAAGTCACCACTGAAAGCCATCGGAGACATATTTAAAGGAGTCCTCAAGTAAGTTTGCAGAGTTTAATGAATGCAAGGATTATGGGTTAGCATTAGGGGTAAAAGTGATTTTAATATTAGGTTTCATCTTTGCTGTTTGAGAGCTTGTAGATTAGGAATTCAAGAGCTTGATCAGGTGGGGCCCGAACCCACAATCCCTAACTCACTGTTGGATATGTCTGATCACAAGGCTTGCTGGGGTCATCTGGTCAGTTCAAAGCATACAAATAATGAATGTTTGTTGGTGTAATGGTAAGAATAATTGTGTAAGGTGACAGATGGAATGTTGCGTTCCATGGGGTGAAGCCAAATGGAATGGAACATTTTCATCTGGCATCGGATGATATTATTCTTTTCAATGCACGAAGATGAAACGTTCATTATTTGTTTTATACAACACCTATAAATCCTCGTTTGGTCAGAGCCTAGCCTCCAAAAAGCGTGACTGTCTGATGAAACTTCTGTTTTACCGTGGAATAGAACTTTTATTTGTGTGGTTCAGCCAGGCCGTAGGTTGGGACGAATAATTCAATGACACGTGATGAACAACCCACTAATCACTGTGATTTATTCAGGCATTGTTAAATTGACAATACCACAATTAGCATCTTGTACCAATTTTATATAATAAAGGGTAAACACCCCATACTAAACGTTACATGTGCCCTGTATAAAGGTTTATTATTTAAGATATAATATTACTGTTTAGGGTTAGAACGCACCTAGGATTCCTCTTACAACCACTTCTCCTTGTAGAGTAGGTCACTTGGTACGTGTAGCTATAAACTTCTTCCATTTTAGCTTGCTTATCCCAGGCCCATTAGGAAAAGCATTAACACCACCACCATTTAACGAATAGGCATCTTTATTGCTATATATTATTGTGGGCAGATCATACAACATTTTGAATGTTTTTTCTTATTTAATAGCATCAAGACTGCAGTTACTGAGATCACAAACGCCAAGAAAGAGGTGGAAAAAGCCAACTTTTTCAAGGAAGGTTAGGCACTTTTATTACGTACATTGTATTTTTTACTAAATCACGTGGCAGTACTGCGATGAATTGGGGATTAGAAAAAGTTCCTTGAGCTTCCCGCCCTTGATCCTCACACAGATCCCTATTCTTACAAACTTATGATACAGAGCATTGCACATAATTCGCAGACAGAGTTTCAGACATCAATTTCATACTCATTTTACTAACTGCAGAGTTGAAACAAGGGGAATGAATTGTTGGGAATCTAACCTGAGCCTACTGCTGAGAGTCAATACATTAAAGCATTCTAAGATGCTGCAGGTGACCTATCCACCTGTGAGCCCCATCACTCTTAATTTTTCTTGTGGGGCTTGTGCACTAGTTTAGGAAATGCTTATGGTCTCACCCTTCCATGAAAAAGAGCATTTTGCGCAATTGTATCAACTGATGTTTGCATTCGTGTCTCCTACGACCTTAATGTTTTAATGTGTTACAAGTCTGTCTCTACAGTAGAGACGTGATCATCTCTGTTTATAGTTTGGTAAAAACCTCTCAGCTCATAAATACCATGACTGGCTCCAACCCAAAAGGTCAAACAATTTTTGCAATACGAACACTCTGTCGATCCTTAGATGTAGAACCAACCGATACAAATAGCACAATTCCATTTTTAACCAATCTTCTAAAGAAGAACAAAGCATTATGCTTACTCTGGTGTTACATTTTTATATTGATTTTTATCTTCTATTCATAAATACCTGAGGCAGTTTATGTATTCCTATTGGTCGAGAGCCCGTCATGTGGGTGGTCTGACATGGTTGATAAAACATCGGCTGGCTCTTTAAAACACTTTTCCTGTGTCACAAAAAAATGTTTGACTCCTATGAAATCTTGTCCCTTTTATCCTGTTATTTGTTGAATCTTAACTTGGGCATGCACTTTACTACCAATGAGTCCGTTTTTCGAGAGTATGCAGTATGCACCACGCGCGCCCATCTCCATATAAGGAGATGCTTACGACTACTCGCGGGAGGCACATACCATAACACAGCTAGAGGGGTGTTTATAAAAAAAAATTGCAACCCTAAACCATTTGCCTTTTGAGAAAAAAAAAGCGGTTAGGTGGATTTTTATGTTTTGGGTATCAGATTAAAGCCGAGAGATTTTTCTTTCAGATACTAAACAAAATCATTGAAATAGCACTTTGGGTTGCTGAGAAAATGTCAATTTTGTCAAAGTAGTCTTTTTCATCCTGTACACAAGTACTTCAAATAGTGAAACATACTTGTTGCAAGCCTATTGTGCAAAGATCCTTAATTTGTGCAAGGATTAAGACATGCACAAATAGGTAATGTACAATTCTCTTACTGTGGTAGTTTTTTTTGTGCAGGATAAAAAGTGACTACTTTTACTAAATTTGCATTTTCTCAGCAACCAAAAGTGTTATTTTCATGATTTTTTTTCTTCAGTATTTGAAAGAAAAAGCGCCCAGCTTTAATCCAATACCCAAAACATAAAAATTCACCTATCCCTTTTAAAAGGCAAACGTTTTAGGGTTGCATTTTTTGGGTCACCCTATTATGAACAGCAGCACCTCCTAGTATCCGATAAGATCTACCCCCACACCTAGCTGCTTTCCGAATAATAGTAACAGAATTTTTGGTGATTCAGCCAATATATGCATTTGCTGTGAAACAAATGTAACCCATTCTATCAAAGGAGTCAGATGTCACCAGAGTTTTCAAGTTTAAGACTTATTTTGTGGAATGTGGTCCTATATAAAACTATGAAAATCTGTAAAAGGCACAAGCAAGGATCAAATCATACCATGCATTCCATGTGCTTACCAGGTCAGAGACCCTACTGGTTTGATCTGCCCAAGGTCATCGGTGATATGCTGAACGAATTAAGGGAGCATCTTGGCAACATCAGACGAGATCTTAGTGTTTGGGTGGATGAGATTGTGGGTTCCTCAGATCCCGTCAAGAAGCTGACAGGGGGAGCAGTGGATTCGGTGAGGGTGGTAAATCTAAGGTTGCATTAAAAGACGAAAATTTTACTGTTTGGCAAGATCAGAGATTCCTTTTTTTGCCTAGAGAGTTACATCCATTACATTTTTTTTATAAATAAAAAAATAGAAAAAAAAAACCAATTGCAAAATTGAGAATACCAAAATAGATATTAACACTCGCATAATTATTGCTAAATGTGAACAAACCTTGTTTCTTATTAGTCCAGTCACATTCTGATGTACATGTAACAAGTACTGCCATTTATAAACATATGGCTACAATGAAAATCCTATTTGCATCCCAAATTGTTATGTATTTTATGTACCACTAATTAGCAAGTCCAACAATCAATACGGTGATCCCCACTCCCCCCCCCCCAAAAAAAAAAAGTGCATGTCTTTTTTAGTTGCTTCATTTCTACAAGGAAGGTCGTATAAAATTTAATGTTGGATTATTCAATAACCATTTTCTGGGGTCATAAACAAGATCACGGCGATCAGTTCTGCCACAAGAGCAACAGTTTGCTCCTGAGTGATGCAGAGATACAATTGTAGCAAGATGTCCTGCTGAAGGACACAAGAACTAAGATCCCTTGGCTGGGTTGGAATTCAAATTTCAAACAGTTTACACAAGCTCCACAATTGTCTTCCTGGCCTATCCAGTCACTGTCATTTCAGTCTGCTGTTTTACATTTTATTTTTCTCTCACAAATAGCGCACATTGAGGAGGCGAGTCAAGGATGAGATTGAGTCCATCTTCCAAGATTTGATGGAACCCATACAGCCCATCGTGAATCTCCTACAACCATTCTTTGAGCTGTACGACCTTGTGTTCAGCACTGTTGATGATGTCAAAGAAGCCTATCAGACACTGAAGGAAGGGTGAGTGTATATGGAGGAGGAATAAGCATACTGCCAACCAAAATTTAATGTGATGAATATTTCTTTTAACTTTTAACACATTATTTTGCTATGCAATAATTTCTGCTTAATAACTCCACTAAGTTAGGCCCAGATAATTCATTCAGAATGATACGCTCACTGTGGTTATATGTTAAATGTACTGGCTGGTAGTTGCATCAATCACAGGACAAATTCATGTCGCTAAATAGTCAGATAAATATTAGCGTGAAAGTTCATCTGTGTTGGTAGTTTGATATTATTTAGAGGTACACTTTTGATTACAACACTAGAACACATGATTGGGTGCATTCCTATCGCACAAACACAGATGAAATATGCACCCTTTTCAGGACATGTTTGTGTGTACAATATCACTTGAAGTTTAAATGCATTCACTGTATGCCATTTGTACATGGGCTTTACCACGTTCACTTTTAAAGAAGTTCAATATACATGTCTTCAAAAGGAATTGTCATAGCTTCGCTCTTGTGTAAAAGCCTTTTTTTTATGCTGCTTGCATTTTTTTCAGATACCAAAAGTCTCAAGCTCTTGTCATGAAACTGTTTGGGCCTAAGGCCCACGAGAGATTTCCTAGGAAATACCGAGAGCCTGGCTCAGGAGAGTGTGCATCAGGAGGTTTCTACCCGACTAACTCGGCTGGACATTATGAGGATCAAGGTGTAGATCTGGAAATTTCAGCAGGAGAAATGGTGTGTATTTCATTGTTTATCACCAACACTTGCAAATTTGAACCTTGCTGTCCTTGAGCAAACTTGTTTACCGAGTGCTGTTGTTTCAAGGCAGAAGTAAATGTGACTCCATGTTAGATGTAGAAATGTATGTGTGATAAACCTTGCATGTTTCAGTGTACTCTTCTCAGTAGAATAAAGTAATTACATGTTTGCTAAGCAGAGTGATTAAAATTCCTGTCAAACACAGATGACGCACATCGCTAGACAGAATATCAGCTAAGCATTATGTTTGTGCTTTGCCTAGTTTTCATTAGTTATACCTGCTTCTCTTTGTTGTGTTGAGTAAAGACAAATATCCCTTGTATGCGTCCTTGTCTCCAACAAAAACAAGAGAGGTTACCAGTTTTTTCGCCCCTTCGGGCAACATTTGGTCTGAAGATTGACCTCATTCAGTAAAAGTTGCACTGATATTCAGCCATGCATGAAAAGTATACAAGCCTTTCTTTGTGACTAACCAAAAATACTACCAACACAATTTTCAGAATAGGCCTCTTGCTATCAACACAATGGCAACAATGGACCTTTAGACAATGACAGAAAAAAAGGGTTGACAGAACAGGATATCAATTAAATGGAATTACATTCATTGAACTTGAAACTGAATTACAGATAAGGTTCACATTTCACTGTCCTGCTGCTCGTCCTTCCACCTGTCTGTCATTCACATCAATGCATAGTTGTGTTCATGTCCTCATGTCTGCAATAGCTTTGCCGACCATCAGTGTTCTTCTGAGTGCTTGGACTTCAACAGTAATTCGTTGGCAAAGTTCATGCAGGGTTTTTGGCTCAATACGGTAAATGCGGTACACCTGGTCCTTGAGGTACAACAAAATCAAAGTGGCCTGGCGATACTGGCGCCCCTTATTCAGGATCTTGCCTGCGCCATTTTGTCCATATTTTGTTTCTGCACTGGCCTAGCATTATACTGCCGTACCTCCAGACAGTGTTCTTCAAATTGTCGTGTTTTGTACACATCTGGCCTGGCCTTACCATGGCTACTTGAAAATGTTTTGTCATGCAGTGTGCTGCTCATTAAATATCGTCAATTATCCCCTTAAGAAAATATTTGGAAACAGAGTGCAGGTATTTTTTGGGTAATCACAAAGAAAGGCTGTATCCTTTTTATGCATGCCTGAATGTCAGTAAAACTTGTACTGAATGCGGTCAATACCCGGATCGAATGTTGGCTGAAGAGAACAAAATGGTAAACTTATCCAACAGGACACTGTTTTGTACACAGCCTGTATATTAAATCAAACTCCGTAGTATTTTAGCACCCTTAAAATTGTAAAGAATAGTAACAATAGGGAAAACTGTTTACTTTAATTTTCAAGGACAATCCCAGTGTAATCTCAATTTTGTTTTGATGTCCAATTTTTTTTTTTTTGTAGTTAGTGGCACCATTTTCAGGCGTCCTGTTCAAGAGTGCTGATAAACCCAACCAGGTTACTCTGGTAGCTGGTGGCGGGGCCTTCCGAAACATCAAGATTTTTATCGACAACATTGAGCCCAACCGCACCATCTCTGAAACTGAGGGAGTGAATGTAAGTAGAAAAAAACTTCATTGATACACGATTTGTCATTGGTGGCCTCTCATTTTGGATGGAACTATTTGAGTCATTTTTGTGAGTAACCCGTCACTATAGAATGAGCTTAAAGTTTTTAGTTGTAACTATGCAGTACAAAGGGACAAAACCACAATTCAAAGGGTTGGCCTATTCTTAGTATTGAGGTTCTATTATACAAACCCTTTTTAACCCATCTTAATAGTTGCGTTTTCTCCAGTCCATAATAATTTGCAGAGAAACAGACATAAACCATCTAGATTTACTGAATGTTGTCACCCTCCACCTGTCCAAAGCTATGTTCGTATACAATACGGGTGTTGTCTGAACTGAACCTGCCATGTATATTTTTCAGCAACCTGAATCTGGACTGCTCATTCACTGTCATACAAAAGTGGATTTTAAATGAAATCAGATGTTTTTTTTCTTAAAAACTCGTTTTACCACTTTTACAAGTTTGTGGTCGTTATTTCTGTTACTGAACTTAATTTCTAAATGTTATATACCACTGGATGGTGCTTTTTCTGCAGATTAGAAATACATGTATCTCACTAATCCAACATTAAACTCATTTTGTGGTGACGAGCTACACATTTTGTTTATGATCTCTCTGTAATGTGTTCATTCTGGTCTATAATCTGTCCATCCACAAGGTGATAGCTGGTACCATCATGGGTACAGTCGGCAGGTCTGCAACCTGCACACCACCCAACTACATCCACCTGTCTATGAAGAACTCTAAACCTAACCGCCTGGCAGCCATTCTAGACGGTGCTCTTGATGACGATTCTTCAGCTTCTGATGAAGCTGCTAAGGAGGGCTATGTGGACCCTAGTAACTACCTTGCCAAGAGGCCGCTGGCGCTACCCAAATGGACTCAAGTCTGTGATGATTATAAGTTGGTGTGGATGGTAGGTCCTTGTAATAACACTGTAATCTAATAAATTATCAATAATAACACTATGACCTTTAACACCAAATCATCCAAATACATGGACCTGTTTGCTGTGGGTTCATACTGCGTCAATATTTTCAACAGTCTGTAACTTGCTAAGTGGCCTTATAATCTACCTTTAGTGGGGATTCTGTGAAAATTTACGGACTTCACTATCTGGACAAAGCTTTATTTATTCAGAAATCCATGAACACTGGTAACGTAAACAAGCATTTATTGGGGTTTTTTTTGCTGAAGGGGCACACTGCGTTTGCCTTGTCCTTTTGTGAATCGTGGAACTTTAACAATAGAGGATAATAGTGTCAACGATTGACCGAAGGTCCACTTTTGAGGCGTGTGCGTGTGTACAAAAATTATGCGACAATCACATGCGACAAAATCACACATGTTTGATTTCATCCAGTCGCCCGGTACATAGTCAGATCTGTTTGAATTGTCTGTGCACACCTCTGTATGATGGTCCGATGATCAGGAAAACCGGTAAAATCGGGAAGGTGAGCGCAGGGCTTAATTTCGATTGTGCTTCCAGCAGGCAAGTCAGCCATGTTCTGCTTTCTGACAGCATAGTTTGAACAAGAACTATAGGTTAACCATAGTTAAATTATCTTAGCTAAAGACAGACCCACAGATGAGTCAGGAGGGAGACAGACCCAAGATGTTTGTGAGGTTGTTTTGATATTTATTGAACTCGAGATATCCGCATGTTGCTTATGTGCAGGTGTAAGTTGTATTACAAATCAACCACTACTAAACACATTGTCCTCGGCTGAACTTGTACTTGAATCTTGTTTCACAGGGAAAGACAGTGAAGGAAGGTACTTTACTGGGAGGCGATAATGACGGAGAGACGGATGACACCAGCCCAGAACGCCAACCTCCCCCTGACACTACCACCGATAGACCTGACCCTAGCAAGAGACCACCAAAGCGTACATCTTCCCTAGATGAAGCACTGTCCCAGGGTAAACAGAACAACCAGCGAATAATTTGTGCTGTATAATATTTATAATAAGTCCTTTCTAACTTGAAGTCCCATTTGTGCATGTCTATGAATTCCTTGTTTCAAGGTGCTTTACAACAATCAGGCATTCAGTTTTTCCTTGGATCAACTGATTTCCTCATGTTGCAATTCACACTTTTATCTTTACATATTGAAAAGCACTGTATAAAGTCTTGTCAAGTTTGGAATGTCGTCCTCTTTTTGTAACTTCCTATGCATGCCTGAATATTTAAACACTATTATGATCACTACATTTGCCTAGGCAATAGACAATAGCATGTAAAATGTAAGAAAAAATGTCAGTACCAGAAAGTTGAAACTATGCAAGTGGATTTTGATTTTTGAAATTGAAATGATAATTCGTGAATTAGTATTTGATGCTTTATTTGAAAAAGATAAACGTGCATAAATCTTGTACATACTCCATTTACCTGGCATACTTAATGCTTTTGTGTAGCACTGCATTTGTGTGTGAACGACATAGATCCCATTGTATGTTTGATGAATACATGATTATTTCTGTGGTTGTTATTATTTACAATCTCTTCACTATTGTTTTCAAGGCAACAAACAACAGACACAGGAAATACTTGGCCTTCCAGTGCCAAAAATAGGCTCGGGTTCTCCTTTCGAGAACTTCACTCTGCGGAACTTGAAGATTGGCTCCATTCTGGCATTTGCCCGTAAGATTGGACTGGAGAAAACAGCAGATGACTTACTGACAGTTGTCAAGACGATTGTTGTGAGTATGGTAGTCCCGAACATTAACTGGTATTCATAGGGATTATTTAGAATTAAAAAAAAACATCGGTTTGCAATGTTTAAATGTAGTTTTCAGTTATGCACTGACTTGTTATGCAAATCTGTCCAAAATGTAAATTTGGATTTTTTTTTTTCACTCATAAATACCTTAGACAGTTTACCCATTCTTATTGGTCGAGAGCCCGTCACGTGGCCGGGATTAAATGGTTGATAAAGATCAAATGGCTGGTCTTCAACACTTTTCCAGTGTCACATGAAATTTAGACTCCTATGAAATCCAGTGCCTTTTACCATGTTATTGATTGAACGTTCACAATCCTCACATAGGCATGCGCAATACTGCCAGTGAGTCAGTATTTCATAGTCCTAAATTCACATTTCGTCGGCACAGCTGTGCTGTGCCAGACGTGCAGTACGTAAGACACGCGCTTCAATTTCCATATAAGGAGTTGTTAACGACTTCCTCGCGAGAGGAAAGTACCACAAAATAGCTAGAAAGGTCTTTCGAAAAACATGAATTAAAATTGTTTTAACAAAATCCTTGGCAATTTATAAATTTTGACTTGTTTGACTTTTGGACAGAAGAGATTTGATTTTGTTACCGAAAAGGTATATATGAATGGGTATAAATATGTGCTTGGCCAGTATTAAACACTATGTTTAAGACTGGGTGGAGTCTGGATACTGATAATTATTCTCGCCTGCACCTGAATTCTAATATTGACTAACTTGTTACATAGGTAATGAAATTGCCATTGAAAATTGTGTATTTAAACAGAACAATGTATTTTTATTTCATTTCTGACACTTCCAAGATTTGTAATAACTAGAGTATAGTACCAGGATTAAAACTTGTCAAACAAAGATCTGCTTAAATTTCCTCTCAAGTAAATTCCATGTCTTGAAGTGGAAGTATGTTGATTAATTTAACAGAGTAGCACAATGTATTACATGAAATTCCCAAATCGTTCTCTCTTGTAAACCTACAGAAACTAGTGAGTGACAAGCCATGCGTTCTAGCTGAGTCTTTGTCCAATGACATGTTGAGGATTGAGCTCCAGCAGCGTGGTCTCAGTTCACAGGGAGACAGGAAGACTCTACTCCAGCGATACAAACAACCTGAAGATCGTAAGTACAAGTTGCTCGTCTGTGTGATTTAGGTGTGTCGTACTTAAGGCTATACATGTAGGCCTACCTCTGGAAAGGTTTTCATACCTCTGGAAAGTGGAAAGCAACTTTTTGTCATAAAACCTTTGCTGTAAATTGCGCATGAGTTTGGCATAAAGAAACGTTGGACACAATCCTACCGATTTGATGAGAAAAAAAACATGCTCTTGGTGAAGAAAAGACTTATTCCATCTGATATGGTATCATTCAAAAAACAAATCATTGAATGTAGTTTCAAAACAAGTGTCCTTGTTGTGCAATACAAATCTGAAAATGGATCCATTTCGGAGACAAAATCAATGCAAAGGTTACTGTGTCTTCTCAAAATGTATAGTATCTATTGAGCTTTATAACATTGGCACGTTAGTTGTAATGTACCCTGTAACAGTTTTGTTGTCGTGTCGGTGCAACAAGGTCGAATCTCCTATAACGACGTGTGACGTCAGGTACGTGAAACGCGAGTTTCAATGCCAAAAAGGTCGTATCTCACTTAAAATTACCCGGATGTACACACAAAGTAAATGAATTTCCTTTACATGTATTCAACATTGCAAGTGTGAATTACTTGCCGTGATGTCATAAATTTGTGAAGGAGTATGCCATACATGCCAACCTTTCCGAATTTGGCGTAATCATTACGAAAATACAAGCTCTATGTATTTTCGTAATTTCTAAGGAGAGTGCAGTTTTTGTTATGAATGATGTGTCTTTGCAAGTGTGAGGAAATGTGTTGCAAATTCAACACTATCGACTAAACTGGGACGATTTGTTTTTGTCGTAGGCTGCCCCCTTCTACAAGTCTCCTTGCCCAAGAACGTCTACTGTAGGATAGATGGAAGCTGCCTGGGTGTGGAGTGCTGTATGAACGTCAAACTCTTCATGGTATCTCTGGCCTTCAAGGCATTCATGCGCTTTGATCCTTGCGAGTTGCAGTTTGTTCTTGGTGTCAACTCTTGGAACTACACCATTCAAATCCTGGATGTTGAATTTGGTAAGTCCACTACTTTTGTACAATTGAAATTACGAACCGGTATAAATCAAAACATTAAGTGAACTAGAAACAAAAACCACATGTACACAAACCAGTCCCTGCGTCGCCTAAACACCGGATGATTTTTTTTTAAACTCCCGCTCTCCGGTTATCACCAATCTAATGGGCCCGCTGGCGAGGTATGTGTTGACAAGTTATAACCCACCCATCACCGCAACCCAGCACTGGAACTGATTTGACTCCCTATATGCGTATTCAATTTCCAAAAAAGGGAAAAAAAACCTTAACAAATACGCTCTAGGCAGCTTAGTCATATAACTACACAGGTATCCATACCAGTGCTTGTAAGTCTTAAATAAACGAAAATCTTCCCTAGCTGGTTGCAAACACAATGTTTTCAAAAAAAGATTCATCAGCTCGCAGAGCCCCCCGTACTCCAATGTTATCATACATCCCATAAAAAGAAAAGAATGAGGAACGGCCCTGCTGATGCTGATAGCAAATCCCATCCCCCTCCCATGTTTTAAACCCCAATTCACGGCGGCAATTTTCTTGGAATGACCTTGGAACCTTCCAACAAGTTATTAATATCTACAGATTATTCCCTGAATTTTGCTTGCACAAAACCGGTTCTTCCTTGCTATTTTACTAGCCAGAAAACCACTTCTTTTTAAGAAAACACAAGTCTGATAAAAACTTAAATGCATGGTGGCGGCCAAACTCCATTCCATTTAACTTAAAATGTAGTGGCGACATATATGATAACGCCCCTTCTTATTAAACACTTCTGAATTTTGAGTGATTGAGCACAACCCGATAACCATTTTAGAATTGTTCAAATAAATATAGTCTTTGTTTCTTTCCCTCTTTTTTCTTTTCCGGACAATAATTCTCAATTGATAACATTTGTTGCCCCGAAATTGCTTAACTTTTTTTCTGGGAATACCTGAATGTTATTTGAACTTCAAATGCGGAGAGAAGCCTCAAAATCAAAACGCATCTATTTTCTTCTGAACGATTCACGGATAAACGATAAAACCTGGTAGGAGCTAGAACATTTTCATGTCATCACTAAGTCATCGGTTATCGAATTACAAGCAAATTGAGGTCGAAATTGGAATAATTAATTTGAACCATAACTTTTCAAATGAATAGAGTACCGTTGTAATCCTTTGTGGTCAGGCATTGCCTCGGGCAATAATTTGGATTCCTGGGCACAAAGCCGTTTAACCTTTACTTCCGCTGCAATTAAAAATGGATATAACTTGAAAACGGAAGCATTTCACTACAGACAAACAAATTATGGAGGTGTTGAGTGACGACTGCCTAACACAAAAATGCATGATGATGTCATTACCTAAAAATACACCCTCTAGAGGCACATCAAATAAAGTTGAACATGCATGAATTTAAAATTCATCATTCATTCCCACCTCATGATGAACATGTATCCTGTAAGATCTAAATCAGTATTCAGTTTGCACACTTTTTATGATGACGTCATCAAACCAAAAATAAGGTGTGCATTAACGTAAAATATACTGAAATTCATCATACCCCAAAAGACAATTATTTTCTTTTCAAATTAGATCAAATGGTTTTACAGGACTGAATTCTGAATTCTTAAAACTGAATTCTGGGCAATGTCCTATGAAATGGTTCTCTGTCCGATCACCCCGCGTTTATAACTCAACAAACGCAAATCTCTAGTAATAAATTAGAAATTTGAAAAAAAAAAAATGAGGAAAACTTGAAGAGGCTGATTTTGGAATTAATCTTGCTTTGAGAGAAGAGTTATTAAAACACTGTTATTTTTTCCCTAGGCAAAGAATGGGACATGCCAGTGCCCTTTGACATTCCATTTGTCGATGATATGGAGCTGCATCTTAGGTAGTTTTATCTTTTTGAAATTCTAATTTTAAAGTTTTAAAGTTGAACAAAGAAATTGTGTAGAGCGGGCCGGGGTTTGAGCCTGCACCCTCTGGAGTACCGTTTGGGCAATCTATCAACTGAGTCCTTCAGCCATTTGTTGGTAATTCCCGAAATTGTCTATGTTTTTGTAGGTGCACTCGTCCAACAAGTCAGAAGCCCATAGGTTTCAACTCATGTATTTGAACTCCGCCGAGCTCCAATTAAGTTCGTTGTTCAACTTGAGACCCGACTGAAAGAACTCAGACCTTTGATTTTGAGAACTTCGTATAACTTTGTTTAACTGTATAGGATGACAAAGTACACATACTATGGACTTTTGTGCATGAACAAATAATGGTGCTTTGTGACCTCTTTCTAGAGCTCCAGTGGGGGGACACATCAAGAGTGCATACTGGTTCGCGTGTATGGTGCGCAGAGTGTGCACAACTAATTAATTTTCCTTATTGTGAACAAACCTACAGCATCTTAGCATGAGTATCAGACATCGTGAGTGTGCATGTACCTGCCATTTGTCACATCCAACTCTGCCCTTGTAACCTCTGAGGGGGTACCAGAGGTATGCACAGATCCTGATTAGGGCCGGCTTAGACTAGGATACAAATTGACATTAGTGACAATTGCGGCGATTCACAATGCAGTGCATCACCAAGAGTTTGCCATGGAGAGTCAATTTTTCAAGTTTATGGTGGACAAAACACGACCCATTTGAATAAGTGTCAGTAGACAACTTGAGCTAATTTGTTATACATGTAGATTGGGCATGGCATTCGGCTGCCTTACAAAAAACATATTGACAAAAAGAAAAGAAAAGGGCAAACATACACTCGAATCATATGCTTACGAAACTACTGACCAGAAAAAAAAAACCAATTTGAAATGTCCCGCGCTGCAAATTCGTCGACAATCTCCCACAATGCACTGGGAAAATTGAACTCTCCGTGGCAAATTCTTGGTGGCACACTGCATTGTGAATCACTAATGTCCATTTTGTATCCTAATCTAATCCGGCCCTTTAATATTCTGCCACAGGTACCGCATTGAGAAGAGCAGGACTCAGCTACTGGTCAGCATGTCTGTTGGTTTCTGCCCAACGACTGGTGGTGCAGATTGTTTGCCATTTATACAAGTGTTGAAGGATTCTGCTATTGCTCTTCCTGTCTGCCATCCCGATGGAACCATCACGTGGCCAGACAGTAAGCAAGAGGGAAAATTATAACAGTACAATATTGTTACAATCAAACCATCATTGTTATTAAAACATAAAATTAAAAAAAAAATCCCAAAACAAGAACAATAAACTTCATTTTGAATTTTAGTTGACCTGGAGGAGTATTTCTCTCGCGCTGCCTTGAAGAATCTACTCAAGGAGACGGGTGAGGAGCTACTGAAGGCAGGCACTGAGGCTACATGGAAATATGTCTTGGAAGAGCTGGGCATACCCATGGTAAGGTCAGACTTCAATAATGATTGTTAGATTCACGTATATCTGAAGTTCATTTAACAAGTATGTTCACAATGACTTTGGTATGTTTTGTTGTACACTGCTAGAAAGCTCCCAGTGCACAAGGAAGGCAATGTACTCGCGTACATGCGCGTGTCAACACTGACCTGTGGGGACAGCTGCAAGTCCCCATAACTGGGTCATAATTTGCTTAACATTACAAACCTTCTCTATAGACATGGCGACGGCCTGCCCACTGTACTGCATATGTGCATATCAGTGACTTTAGCATTGCGCTTGATAAATGAAAATGCATAGGGGTGTCAAAAGGAAGAAATAAATAAGTACTTTAAATTGATTCTCCTGAGGAGCACTGTTTGATCAATTTCTTTACATTAAATAATTCAGATTTTATTCTTGCAAGTTGTACAACAAGTTACACCATTTACCTCCTCAGGAATTATTGGGTGGTAAAGAGCCATGTCCAACACCTTCGAGTTTGAGTAAAATGCAGCTGATAGCCACACTGGAGGAGAGGCAACTTTCAACCAATGGAACGAGGATGGAGATGGAAGCCAGGCTATCGCAGGATGATAGAAGTTAGTAAAATAACTCAAGGAAGGCTGCATACAGATCTTGTGGCTACGTCTGCAGTTGTACAAGTGTCTATGGGAAATGGCTTCAGCCGCTACAATAGGATTATGTTTTAATTGGAAGCCATAGCCAAGTGGTTTGGTCTTTTTGCATCATTCAGAAAGGTGTCAAAATCAATTGTTAGGAAACACCAGATGCTGTTTGTGTATAAAGCATAAAATAAGCAATCCACAGTAATACATATCTTAAGGTGCTGAGCAAATTTGCCGCAAGTCTCTGATAAAAACAATTGTTATATTTAACTGTTAATAGACTTTGCGTCAAAGCAAACCATCTCTGTTCCCAGAGAAATGGTATACAAATATTGAGTGGCTAGGAATGGGAGGAATGTTATCTCAGGATAAAATACGTTTTTTTATTTCACGAGGCGAAGCTGAGTGAAATGGTAAAGTCTCGATTTTACCAAGCGATCATATTCTTCCCATTTCACTATTTAATGTCAATCAACATTGATTTTTAGGTTTTCATCACATTACGTCCGCCAACATAAATTTTTACTCCTGCCCCATTTTTTTTTCATATTTTATATATTTTTCTGAAAGTGTGTTTTTTTTTCTCAAAGAAAAAAAGGTATTGTCCATACAAGTTTATCCCCAAATCCACAGGCACTGTCACACTGATTTTCACGCAAACATAGTGCACGACAGTACTGAGCACATCGCGCAAAGTCAGTGCTAATACATACGTTATCGTATTGTCAGGAACCATGATTGCACAACGCTGTAGGCACCATGCAGAATGTATTATGGTAATGCAATGCGTCATCGTATAGTTAATAACCATGACGAGTCGATGTATTATTGATACGACAACGCAATGTCTTAAAGTTTTTAAAGTTCACAGTTTGACACCTTGCTGGCATGGCAAGTGTAGGCCATTTGTTGCGTTACTTGTTTGAACACTCATCCACTGAAAACCAAATGTGCTATAAACTTTGATGTATATTACCCTTTCTAAATTCTAGACACAAATCCTAGGCCATAAAACAGCTGATTATATAATTTTCATGTTTGTTGTGCCTTTTTTTAGGTTTATCTGACGTTGTCCCCTCAATTGACTTTGAATTCAAAGAAGTGGAATTGATAAAATTTAAAATATATATTCCCCTCCCGACAGATTTTTCTCAATCAACCTAAAAATCAATGTTGATTGGCCTAACTGACATATAGATTCTTGCCATTTGATCTACAGTTAAAATGAACTTCTATTTCAATACACAATTGGTGGGAAATGTATTTCTTTCTTCCAAACCACCCCTTCACGAAATGTTTGAACCCAACTCTGGCTTAACGCCCACACCACCATGCATTTGCACACAAATACTGCGCCATGGAACAAGGATGATCCTAACTGTTGAATAGTAAATCTCATTCACCTAATGGGATTTTTTTTGCCCCAGGGTGAATAGGAGCAATAATGAATTTCACGTGATGCAAGTTCCACCAATCAAATGACAAGTCTAAAGACAAAATTGGACTTATAAACGTTGTAAAATCTTGTCTGATCTGCACAGCGTGTCAGTTCTTCACGTTGCCGGAGTTCCCCCCAGAGCTGGCAAAAGTGGCCTACTGCTCCCTGAGTGAGAACTGCCTCCGTCTTGACTGCTGTCTGCAACTCGACCTTGAAGACTGGCATTTCCACCGCTCGTTCAAAGCCTTTGTGGAGATAGATGCCTGTGATTTCACATTCTACGTCGCCTTTCAGCACTTGCGGTACAAGAAGTTGCTGCTGAGCTATGAATGGGGTGATTAGGGTCATTTTATATCTCAATTCTACATGTATTACAGAAAATACGTCCACAATTTCCAAAGCGCAAACGCAAGCAAATCCTTAGACAGTTATAAAAAAACGTTGCGTCATCACACACACACTCATCTTTGTAAAAACCGGCAATCGTAAACCCCCTATTTTCCCTACTCATCATTCCTTTGTTTGTGCTTTAACTTTTTAGCAACAGCTCTCTTTGGTTTTGAACACGAATTTCAATCATGGACTTTTAGTCTAACGTTGACGTATTGTTTGAGCCCTTACCCTTTTGTCCCTAGTCTACAATTGCCGGTGTTTACATACTAACACACACACTGCATGTCTCAGAATCCTATTGATATCTCGCCCCTATTTTAACATTCAGTTGTGACCAAGTCCCGAAAAATAAGTCTTAAGGACAATTTTCACTATAGTAGGTTTTCACTTGCAATAAAAAAACGCATAACTTGCTCTGCATTTGATATATCACTTAGTTCAATATCTTTTAAATCATGTATTAAAATACTTACAGACCTAACATGTATGTGGTTGAAAAAAATGTGGCAGCTAGTCAGTTAAACTTTTTACCCCCAAAATAGCTCAGGTCATTCGTGACTCAGTTTGGGGTCAGGTTACATGTCAGTAGTCAGCATTTCACAAATGAAGTCCATTAAACCACACAGGAAAACAAGAACAGCAAACCATAGGTCCCATCGCCCTGAAATACTCCATCAACAAACTGGACGCGGAGAAGGTGTTTGAGATTGACTTTGGAGCATCTATTTGTGAGAGCGCTGATGATTGCGTTTTTGATGTGGACATCATCCAGGACTACAGAGTTCCCGTTCCATTCTGCAATTCCAACTTCTCATTCGCCCTTCCAGGTAGGAGTAAGATTTTAATTGGTTTCTTTGTAGTAATGACAACAATATTTCCTCTGGAGTGTTCATGAATAAAATGCTTTATGATGCTTTTGTGAATCAAGATACACCCAACAAAAAAACAAAAGTTCCCCCTCAATACCTTTTCGTCTACCTCAAAAACTACTGTGCACATCTTGCTCAATCTACGAATGATCAGTACAAACATTCCTTAGCAATCCAGCCATACTCTTTGTTTGGCCCAAAACAGTGATAATGTGTACAAAATATGCAATTTATGACAAATGGTACCGGAAAAAGTTGCACTTTTGTATACGTGCAAGGTGAGTGTGAACCACAACTTGCACGTATACAAAAGTGCAACTGTTTCCGGTATCATTTGTCATAAATTGCATAAATTCATGCACGTTATCACTGTTTAGGGCCAAATAGAGAGTATGATTGGATTGCTAAGGTATTTCTGTACTGATAAGTCAATATCTGAGCAAGAGGTGCTCAGTAGATTTTGAGTTAGACAAAAAAGTAATGGAAGGGGGTACTTTCTTTTTTGGTTGAGTGTATACTGCAAGGTAATTGAAGGTTGTAACTTTAGACAAGAGTATCTTATTTAAAAAGCGGGTGAATGAATGATTCCTGAATGATTGAAACATTTTTGAGATGGTTTTTACAATTTTTATGTGCCTCTCTTGACTTACTTGACCAAATATATTTGCTTAATTACCATTTTATACAGGTAAATTTTAACGTATCATTTTAAAAATTAATTTCACTTTTTCAATGACTAAGAGTATGTATATTAATAGTTCAGGTGTTATAAAAAGGTGGTGAAAAATCCTGAAATGCAACATACATACGGCGGCAATATGGCATGCATTGAAACCTCTCCTAAATCTCTTTGTGCACAAGCTGGTAGCTTTGCCTAATAAATGTCATTTCCTCAGTACTGTGGTTCTGATGCCTTACACACCTGACTTTTTGTTCATAGGAGGGACCACCTTGAGGGAATTTATAAATCAAGTTGGCCCGAGTGCTGGGCAGCAAGCTGTCAATATTCTCCTGGAGTTCATTGGGCTTAGAGATAAGATTAATGATGGACCATGTGACACCACAGCACTGATAAGACCTGATGAAGAAGGTGAGGATTGGTCTCCACCAAAAATGTTGGAAAAATATAGGAAACCAACCCTTACCCTTGCAGATCTTTAAAAATCTGCCTTAAGAATTGAGAAAGGTAGAGCCCAACTACCATCGGGACATTTTATTGGGCTTTATATCCCTTAAAAGTGTAACTATAAAGAATGTGTTCTTGGTTATCTACAGAGTGGAGGATTTTGAAGGATTCAGGAAGCACGCAGATCTTTTAAAATCCGCCTTGGTTTTAAAGGATTTAGCTAATGGATTTTAAAGGATTGAGGAAGGTAGAGCCCTACCACCATCGAGACTTTTCATTGGGCTTTATATCCCTTAAAAGTGTTACTATACAGAATGGGTTCTTGGCTATCTACAGAGTGGAGGATTTTGATGGATTTAGGAAGCTTTTTAGCAAATATCATGAGGCTTAACGTTTTGAAATGTAGCACAATTAGTGTGCCAAAGTGATCTACTAGATTTACTACAGTGCCTTCTTTATTCCTGGTTTATAAATTCTTTCTGGTTCATTGCTCACTCTTTGTTTATTTTTTTCGCTATCCAGTATGCACTGATGTGAGCCTACCACCACTACCCAGTGGAGTGACTTGTGAGTTTTCAGACCGCTGCCTGGGCATACGATGTTGCACTGAATTGGATCTAGAAATCACTGTATTATCAGTCAACATGTGGCTGGTTCTAGACCCCTGTGAGTTCACGCTGTCCATGGGATTGGGAAAGTGGTCCTTGACATTCACCATATTTGACTACCATTGGGGTAAGTGCCTGTAATACATTCACAGTATATGTGTATGTAAATCCAGTTCGAATTTGAACTTCGAAATTCTTACCCATCGATTGGCCACTATGAAGCTATAGATTAGTGCAAAATGTCTGATTTCAGAGTGCTTCACATTTCCCTTAAAATCTTCTCTTGACTCTATTTTAAGACACAGTTATGAATACAGTTACAAAATCTGGGGAAAAAACCCTTTTAAATGTATTGACAGATCTCTCACTTGTACAAACACAACTCTGAAGCCACTCTTCAAATACATGTGTGTTACTGCCAGCCTTTTATGTGACACATTTAGCCACTGACATACACAATTCGTAAACAAACTTCCTAAACAAATAGAATTACATGCAAGCAGAATCTGTAAAGTTGCCCCTCAGGTTGACCTTGTAACAACACATGACATTCGGTAACTGACTTTCCTGTTTTTTACCAGGTACCCAGGAAGAGCTGAAGATTGGCAAAGCCTTGACCCTGATCTACACCATTGACAAGCTGACTGAGGACAAGGTGTTTGTATTGGACCTAGCACTTTCCCTGTGCCTCCAAGACTCAGACTGTAACACGCCCTCTATTGATATTCTCAAGAAAACTCGGGTGCCAATACCACTCTGCAATGAGAATTTCACATTCACACTTCCAGGTAATGCTTTTTAAACTGCTTTTAATTTGATATGAACAAGCATCCCTCACTGGACAACATGTATGAACAGTAGATGGAACCGCTTTGACCGCTTACCACAGCGGATACACCAAGCTTATAAGTGCATGAAGTACACATGAATAATTTACACAAAGTGTTGTGTCTTCGCGTGACTTGTGTGTGTATGAATGATGTCAATATGCACAAGTGTCTCGTCCATGCTGATTTCAGTGGTCCCTCCCAACTTTCTCTTTGTAACCATTGAGGGGTACTTGTACATGTAGTCCATAGAGAAAATAACACCGAGTGCTGGTATTGAAGGATACTTTAGGACCATTGTCATGTGCTGGCAGTCGGGTACCAGACACAACAGACGTGTGGGCATCTATGAGCTCTGTGCACAAACAAGAAAATGTGCTTTTTTTTCTCGAGAGCCCTGTGGATGGGACACACTATTTGTGCGTCCTGGGGCCAAATTCACGAAGGTTTCGCAAAGTTAAGGAAGTCGGAAACACCTCGCTAACGTTAATTTCGTATTCACAACAGCTACGCTTCGCAAACTCTACGCAAATGTTAGCAAATCCACCATATATTTGCAAACACCACACAAATGTTTGCGCGTTATTCACAAAGCCCACGCCATCTTTGCGATTTCGCAATCTCTTCGCAAAAGGTTCGCTAACGGGCTATTTTTTTGGCGAAGAGTCCGAGGTCGTCGCTAACTCCTCGTAACTAACAGTATGGTGCTCATGCTCGAACTGGATGAAGAACTCCTTCACGAATTACGCCAAATTAGGGTCTTTCTGACGGAACCGTCGCCATATAAAGATATAGTGATGATAAATAGCGACAACTAAGGTAAACAAAGTTTATTGACCTCTCTAAGGGTATCAGACGTCAGATATGATGTCCCCACATCTGATTTTTTTTTTTTTATGGCACAAAGACTTAACTGACTTGGGTCATAAGAAAGTGGCATTTAAGAGATTAAATCTAATTCATATCTATAGATAGGGTTTAAAAAGGTTATGACCTCTCGTATTGGGATACCAGAAGTTAAATTTGAATTGTTCTATATATGCACAAGTGTCTTCATAGCATGAACACCTACCATCTGGACTTGAATCGTAAAAACAAGTTGGGGTTTAAAGAGTATATGTTACAAATAGCTATTAATAAGGTTTACAAAGGTCATTGACCTATAAAAGGTCACCCGAGGTCAGATATGAATTGTTCCCACATTTGTTTATTATTTCCATTGTATGACGACCTATGACTTAGACTTGGGTAAAAGGAAAGTGAAGTTTCGAATAAAAATTGTTATGAATGGAGTATGTAAATATCGTTGACCTCTCAAAGGTCACCAGAGGGCAAATATGAAACGCCTCCATATCTGAAAAAAAGGCACGAAAAACCAACATGCGAAGATGCTTATATCACACAAACGTTCAACATTCTTGGACATATTGGGCTATGCCGCTCCACTATTGGGAGAATCGAGCTTTCCTTTGCGTTGCTGCCCATCTTTGGCAGTGTGACACATTTTGTTCTAAATGTCCACGAAGCAACAGCAACTCTCTCTTTCTTACCGTTGGGGAGTTTTTGTGCACGGAGCCCATTGTTGCATGTACCTCATCCTTATATGTGCACATGAACCAGTACACACATACTATGTGTCCCTCATTGGCTTAAATGAGTTGGCTGCAAGGTGTCTTCCTTATTATCAATTATCCTAATCGCAGCACTGCAGCATTTGCAGATCTTGAGAAAATCTGATTGTGAATTGCAAAAGGAAAAAAAAGTCTGTCTAATCTAAGCAGGCAGAAAGTCTTGCAAGAATGAATATAGTTTTTAATATTTAGCATTTGAATTCTCTGCTAATAGGTGAAAAGAATTGTTTGGGAACAGAAACAGCCAAAAAGATTTGCCACATACATGTAGTAATAAATATCAACGCTTTTACATTGAACAACACACATTCAAACCTACCAAAAAAATTGAGTGTTGTCATGAATTTGCCTTATTCCATAGGGGATGGGACTATTAAAGGCTTCTTGCAGATGCTTGGGCAGAACGCTGCTGAATCAGCAATTGATGCTATTCTTGAACATCTAGGGCTATCTGTAAGTCTTTTAAATGTGGCGTTTTTTTATTAGCAGCATTTTGAGATTACTGTGATAACGTTATTTATCTTAAAGGAAGAATTGAACCTCAGTGCATATTATAACTTTAGTGGAAACCCTTGAATATAGAGATGTAATGCATTGGAAGTATCATTGTGACAACATTGAATGTTGTTGCCATCAGCACATCGTATGCTTATTCCTCAAGTCTTAATAGATCCATTTGCTTTAAGGGCCCAATCAAGTAAACTACAGTGTAAAATCGACTAGGTGCCTTTAAGGATTTGTTTGACAGTTTGTGATAAAAAAGTCTCATCCTCTTTGAGTCATCCAAGAATTGCCATTTTAATCATTGACTTGTTCAATCAACACCTATTGTTACGTAGGAATTCATCAGTCGCATGCCATGTGTCCGTCCACAAGTCACACAAGATGGTTGGCACAGACGTAAGTTCAAAAAGACTTCCATGTAGTATTTGTACTTTTTGTTGTAATCTTTTTTTTGTCAGTTGTATTTCTTAAATATTTCAATTTTCGTTGGCTTCATATTCTGAGTTTGTCATTAACATTTCAAATTCACCTAAAACATCAATACAGTAGAAGGAATCCACCAGGATGGTGTCTTGGGTTCAATTGCTGTTTGAGTTAATTTCTTAATTTGTTTACCAGAAAGCTCTGTTTAATGTAAATGGTTGTAATAAAAGCATTTTTCCCCATATGTGTCTAGTTTGCCCCAAGGATATCAGACTTCCCCACCTTCCGAGAAACCTGATCTGTACCATTCCAGAGAAGTGTCTAGGGTTCGATTGCTGTCTGGAGCTTCCCATCCCAGGGATCAGTCCCATCAGCACGCAGGTCTCCTTCATCTTTGATCCTTGTAACTATCAGCTGTCAGTCAGTCTAGGCAGCTGGAGTCTGGATCTGCAAATCTTGTCCTATCAGTGGGGTCAGCAGGAAGAGGTCGACATTGGCAAGGCAGTAACTATAAGGTATTTTATAGGCAATACTGATGGTGCATGGTGTACCTCATGCATAATGCCTCATACATATCAAATTTATAACCTGTCTCCGTAAGGTTTGCTAAATAGAATACTGACTGTGGTACGCCTCCAGCATAATAACAAGTTTGTTTTATTGGTCAATTGTTAATGGCATCAAGTTTCTAGTATGTCTGATTAAAAAAAACTTAGGCCTATCTGTGAATTTGTAGATACACAAATTTGAATTGGGGAATAAATATGTACTCAGCCGATTTTCAACAAATCCGCTTAAGACTGGCTTGGGGCCTGGACGCTAATAATCGGCAACCAAGCCCCAGACCGGTCTTAAACGGACTTGTTTAATACCAGCCAAGCACATATTTATTCCCAATACCTTTTCGGACAAAAAGTCAAGGGAAGTCCAAAATTATACATTTCCAACGATTTTTTTAAACAAATTTACCTTAAGCTAAGTTTTTGTATTTACCTCTCGCGAGTAGTTATAAACAGCTCCTTATGGAGATTGGCGCGCGTGATGCATACTTCGCGATGTGGCGCCGAACGCAGCCGTGTTGGCAGTAGTGTTAATTAAGGTCTATGAAATACGGACTCATTGGTAGTATTGTGCATGCCAAGCGAAGATTGTGAAGAACGGCCAACCAACCTTCTTCTTTTTGTGTGTGTGTGAAACAAAAAACTAAGAAAGTTGGTTGCCTCTTCATGGGTGACCTCGAAGAACGCATTCTTGCCTCGGCCCCATGTCGCCCTTGGATCTGGTGGAGATATATTGATGATGTTTTTTTCATCTGGACCAGCGACGAGGACAGTCTCTTGACCTTCACTAACCACATCAATTCCTTCCACAGAACCATCAAATTCACATCGGAGTTCTCGGCTCACCAAACCCACTTTCTGGATGTCACTGTCCGCAAGCAAGGCAACTCACTAACCACTGACCTGTATTCCAAACCCACAGACACCCACCAGTACCTCCACTCCTCCAGCTGTCACCCCAGGCACTGCAAAACTGGCATAGCGTTTAGCCAGGCACTCAGACTCAGAAGAATTTGTTCTAATGATTCCGATTTTTCCCGCCATACACAGATACTGAGGAACAACTTGGTGGCCAGGGGTCACAGCTCTCGCCAAATTCATCGTGCCATTGCCAGAGCTAAAGCTATCCCCAGAAATCTAGCTCTCACGGGAAAGGCCCCTGATGCCATGGCCAAACCCATGATTCCCTTGGTTACCACGTTTCACCCCAATCTCCCTCCCCTTCGCAAAATCACTAATGACAATCATCACATCCTCCATACTTCAGATCGCCTTGCCCGCGCCATCCCCAACGGCCCCACATTGGCTTACAGGCGTCCTCGAAATCTACGGGACTTGATTGTTCGAGCTGAAGTCCCATCCTTAGATGCATCCCCTCCCACCCAGCATGGTACTTTCAAGTGTAGTTCCAGATGTGTTGTCTGCCAGATTCATATCCAGGAGTCTGACTCCTTTTCTGGCCACTCTTCTGTCACTACCCACAGAACCATTGGTAACATCACTTGTAACACCCCTAATGTCATATATCTCATTTCTTGCAGGGTCTGTGGAGTGCAGTATGTAGGTGAGACTAAGAATACGCTCAAGAAGCGTTTCTATGCCCACCGGTCAACGGTCAACACCAAGAAACTAGACACCCCTGTTGGTCATCACTTCAACCTGCCTAACCACTCCATTTCTGATATGATTTTGCAGGGCATTGAATCTCTTGGCCATCGCAAGGACTCAGTTCGCCTCAGCAGAGAGAAAGTGTGGATGAATCGTCTTCGAACTATTCAACCACATGGTCTCATCATCCAACTTGGAAATGATTAATCTTTTTCTTCCTCCATTGTCTTCTGTTACAGATAATCCACCTGGTCTTCATTGTTTGTGCTTACCCATCTTCCCCCATCTTTCATCCCTTTCCACCTCCATACTGTTTCCCCCCCCCCCGCATAATCCCCCTTCACTCCCACACTCTTTTGTCCGTTACCACTCCCTGTGACCTTTGATCCTTCCCCTTTCTGGTCCCTCCCCTGTTCTTACCAGACCCCTTGTGGTTTGCCATCTCCCTTTGTTTCTTTGTTCTCTCATCCACCCTCCCCTGCATCTTTCCACACCTTTCCCACCTAATCCTCCTTTTGTGTTTCTTCTTTCATCCCTGCATGTTTATGTGCGCCCCCTTGTTAATGTATGTACCTCTGTCATTTCTGTTTTAGCCTCTGAAGAAGAACTTGCTAAGTTCGCAACGTCAGGCCACATTAATTTTTAGAACTAAGAAAGTAGTTAGACCTCTGGATGCTTGCTGATCTAGCCACTCTCAAGTTGCTGCATTTTACATCAACATCATTCAGACCAGTAAAAGGGTAAAAGGGACCAGATTTTTCTGTCCAAAGTGTTTAAAACCAGCCAGCTGGTGTTTTATCAACTGTTTAAAACCAAATGAGTAAACTGTCTTATTAGGTATTTAAGAATTGTGGATACATGTGTAAAAATATAATTCTTTGGTTTAAAGATTAACTTTGATGTAAGATTTTTTTTATTGACTGTAAGACTCAGAAAGTAAATAAAATAAATTCAGTTGATGTTTTCTTCTCTATTCTTCACAGTCTGACCATTGACAAGTTAGATTCAGAGGAATTGTTCCAGATCAACTTGGACATCTCCATCTGCATCGACGCTGAGTGTACAACCACACCAGTCCTTCAGGATTCCCTGGTTCCTATTCCATTCTGTAATCTCAGTGCTTCCTTTGAGCTGCCTGGGGATGGCAGCTTTGCTGGTCTTGCCAGGGAGCTCGGTGGGAATGTAGGGGAGTTGGCCATCCAGGCTGGACTCCGAAAACTTGGAATCGTGGTAAGTTCAAGAAAATTACAACTTGTATTCTAAACAAAAAGAAAATGAAATTACCTTATTAGAGTTATGGACTCATAACACAAACAGTTGATGGCACTTCTGGACCATTCTGAGAGCCCTATGTGCACACCATAGCCTGTACGTACACACTTTCATGTTTACAAGCATTACGTTCATTGTACGTGTGGACCTCTCAACAAAAGATAACACATGAGCATAAACCTGTTTCAGATATGTTGTGTGGGCTTGCTCACGTCCCCACTAGATGTCCCCCTAAAAAAAACAGGTTGAGAGTTCAGTTTATCCTTCCTGTGTTGTCGTCTGTCGGCACAATTCTTAGATTTTTAGTAGTCAAACCATGCTCTCTAATGCCCCATTTTTCGGCCGCAGAAAATACATATATATATATATTTATAATTTTTTTTCGGGGGGGGGGGGGACACAGACTTTTGACGACATGATGTGATTTTCCCTTTTAAAAGCTGTAACATTATCTGGTTAATCCCTTAAGACAATTAGTAGCACCACAGGAGGCCAGTCAAAATGGTACTATTTACTTCCTGCTGGATCTATCTTTTGAAATGTAAAGGCTCAGTCCGACAAATTTACGATTTCCGTTGTTTGTGCATCAATTTCAATGATAATTGGACAAAAACGAATATTACGTTGGATATTTATATCCTGAAAAATCTAGGTGGGTTAAGGCCGCTAAGTATCAGTTCAGGCATGCCAGCAAGTCGTTCAGTCAAGCGGTACTAATCAGTCCCTGCTGGTGGTAGGCATTCATGTGGTGCTAAAACTGCCCGAAGGTGATAAACTCTGGATCGCCTAGCCTAGTACGAAAACCCAAATATAATGGGTCAGGTCGGGTTTTACTTTTAAAGTATTATAGGCCACTTATACTACAAAGACCACTTAAATTACATATTACCACGGTCAAATTGTGTGACTTAAACAAATGACCCCGCCCCCCAAATTAATAACAACTTGAGGGGGGGAGGGGGGGCTCAAGCTCACCAAGGGGGGCCCCCACCCCCACTCCCTTGGTTGGCTACTGCTCTCATGCACAGCCACATCGGCTGATATGACATTTGATAATGATATCGATTTCGTCAAAATCATCTTTTGATACTCGGTATCACATGGATCGAGTAATGAAGTAATATTGATATATCGATGGACCCTAGTGTCCACAGACAGACACTACATCGACTTGTTACTTCTATCTCTCTCCATTCTTAAGTGCTAGATTTGTTAGTTCTACAAGCAAATTTACAAGTTATTTTTTTGTCACATGGAACGAAATTATCACATTTTCTGTTGCAAGTATTGCAACAGAAATTTCTGCAAGAGAAATTTCTGCAGATCTGTTATTTTTAGAAACGTAATGTTTATTCAATTTGCAGCAATATGTTAGCAACCAGCAATGTGACATGGAGATACTTGCACCAAGTGAAAACAGTAAGTGGCCTTGAAAAATAATAATCACCCCTGTTTCATGAGTTTTATATGCATTTAATAAAATACTATAATTTCCAAATTGTCGCATACCTATACCTGATATTACCAGTTTCGGAAAATTAAAGTGCTTGATTTCTTTAAGGTATAAGACTACTTGTAGCTGTCAAAAGTAATGTACATTCATAAATACCTATAAGACAGTTTACCCAAACCTATTGGTCGGAAGCCCGTCACGTGGTCGGTCTTAAAGGATGATTAAACACTTTAACTATTGTCACATGCAATTTGGACTCCTTTGAAAAGGTATGAATGGGAATAAAAATGTGCTTGACCGGTATTAAACACTATGTTTAAGACCAGTTGGAGTCTGGATGCTGATAATTACCACCCATCCAGATTCCAGCCGGGGATATACATAATGTTTAAAACCGGCTAAGCACACATGTATTCCCTTAGAAATCTCTTACATTGCCAATGCATCATCAGAGATGTTCTGTAATTTGCAACCTGTACACAAAATTTGTTGTCAGAATGTCCACTCTTAAGGCTGCCACCTCCATCCAGCCTGTTGACGTGTACAGCGGATGACCGCTGCCTGGGCCTGACATGTTGTGCCTCCCTTGACCTGATCTTCACTCAGCTGTCCACCACCGCTTACGCCCTCCTAGACCCCTGTGAATTCCAGCTGTCCGTCGGGTTGGGGTCCTGGTCTAAGAATCTGACGCTCTTTGAATACGACTGGGCAGTGGATAAGGTGCTGGATATCAGTGATTCTGTGCGTATAGAGTGAGTATAATTAAATGCATATGAGGATTCCAATCCTAAAGTCACTGGAAGAAAATTTACAGTAGGATTTGATACACAGTAGCATATGCATGTATTGGCACTGCAGCGGAGGGACCAGCATTGGTAATTGTTCGGTATTGTTTTTTTCATTAGTAAAAGTGATAAAAAGTAGGGGAAGGTGTCGTTATCAGTTGTAAGATGCTAGTGCTTTCTTTTCATGTCCCTTGCCCCAATCCCCCACCTCCCCACCTTGTTTTACACTGAAGGAGTGATGAAACTCCAAACACACAGTGTACATTAACTTAACATCCCGGCCTGTTATATTAAAATTGTAGACATAGATACTCATTTAAAGAGGTTGTCAATTGCTGGAAATGATTTGCCTCATTGTCAAGATATATAGAGCTTGAGACTTATTTAAACTTAAAATTTCAAGGATTGTTTGTTTCATATACTGCTATGGCAGCTTGTTTCATTTGTGTAATAGTTGTTGCTTAAGGCAGCAGACAAATGACACAACAGTACAAGGATTTATATTTAAGTGGTTTTGGTTCTGCATGTATGTTGTGACAAAAATCAATTATTGAAAACCAGAGTCTTTGTTATGACATCACAAAGCTTTTGATTTTTGTTAAATGGTCCGAAGAAATTGACTACTTTTGTGTTCATTTATGCAGGTGCCAGACACAAAAAAATCCTTTGAATCTATTATTATATAATTATATTTAAGCATGCATTACAGAAAATAGGAACCGAGTCGTCATTTTGTGTTTCGGTGTACTCCAAAATTGAAACCATGTTTCCCAAAAATTGTAGAAACTGTCTTGGAATGCAAATTGTCACAATGCTAATACTGGAGAATGTGTAAATGTCCTTGCATGTATTTGGAAGAAATTAGGAATGGCATTTTTAATCTGTAAAAATCCAGAAGGAACCAGGACATTACAATTCCCCTAATTCTTTTTGGAAATCTGTATTTGTTTTGGCTCAGATATAATGTTGACAAGCTCAATGAACAGAAGGAGTTCCTGATTGACTTGTCAGTAATCCTGTGCATAGATGGCACCTGTCGACCCATCCACCTGCTGCAGGCAGCTCATGTACCCATACCAATCTGCAATCCCAATGCCACCTTCTCCCTGCCTGGGGATGGTACCATCTCTGGCTACCTGAATAGCTTAGGGGGTCATGTCACCGATGCAGATGTAGACTTGGTACTAGACTATTTAGGTCTCAAGGTGAGATGTTTGACCTAAATATAGGTCTGTTAGTGATTTAGCAATACCCTGTATAACAGTATTGGCGCTTCATAGCCACTGATAATAAGAGTCCCAGTGGAAGTAACACATCACTCATGGTTAAAACATGTTTGGCATGATAAGACATTACACAAACCTACATGTATAGCATCTTCACATGAGCATCAGTGGGACGAAACAAACCACTCATGGTTTGTGCATGTGTGGCATATTATCCAAGTACACAAACCGAAAGCATCTGCACATGTGCACCTATGGGAGGAACACACCACTCATGGTTTGTGCATGTATGGCATATTATGCAAGTTATAGCATGTTCACAAACATATAGCATGTTCACTTGAGCATCAGTGGGAGGGACACACCACTCATGGCTTGTGCATGTGTGGCATATTATGCAAGTACACAAACATAAATCATCTTCACATGAGCATCAGTGGGAGGGACACATCACTCATGGTTTGTGCATGTATAGCAGATTATGCAAGCTCACAAACATATAGCATCTTCACATGAGCATCAGTGGGAGGGACACACCAGTAAGTTTACTAGTTTGTGCGTGTATGTAGGCATACAATCTGTCCTGAAATCAGCCGATTTCCTCGTTTTTTTCACTTCACACTTATGCTATTTAAATTAAAAAACATTGTACAAAGTCTTGTAAAGATTAGAGTTTCCTCTTTTTGTTGTTACTTTCAAGTTACATGCCCGTGTATTGCATATTGTGCAAACCTTCATCTTTACACGAGCATCAGGTACCATAAATGTTCAAGAGTCCGTCCAAGTAGTGCCTCCCAACTGACTCTGTGTATTATTGAGGGGTACTTGTGCACAGAGTCCCTACTAAACACATTCACACATTTGTGTGAGTTTGTCTTTTGTTTTCTCTCTCTGTCTATTTTAACTGCAAACGTTTATTCCCATTCAGTTAAAAAACAAGTTGTGCTCCAAATTCAATACGCATGGCCATCCTTGACGATGTATTGAGATATATCAGTGCCAGCTAGTTCTAGTAAACCTAAGTTCTCTCAATTAATAGTGCTGAAAACAATGAGCATTTAAAAATGAACGCCTTTGTCTCACACAATATCTGCTCCAATTTCATTTAGAGAAATGAGAGGAAATGTGCCATGTGAACACAAGGAACCTTAAAATAGTAAGCGGAAAGAATACAGACTGTATTGAAAGTAGAGAAATGTAGTTGACCAGATATGTTAACATTGACATCTCAAAGGTATTAATACATCATGGATGTGAGTAGATTTAACTGTTTTTTCCATCATTTTTATCTAGAACTTCCTGTCAAGAGCCACCTGTTCTCTTCCTCCAGCACTCCCGGTTGGTAGTGACAGTAAGTACTGACATAACATTGCAAGTACCAGCATTATTCAAAATTAAAGTAAATGACACACTTCCATAATTACAGACTAGTAGTCAAGTCAATCTCAAAGGCAAAGGAATGGCTTTTATACTATGAGTAGCTAGTGATTGACTGATGATTGAATTGTGATTGACTGATGATGACTTGTGATTAACTGATGATAAATTGTGATTGACTGATGATTTACTTTTGATTGACTGATGATTGACTTGAAACAGTACATAGAAACACTCAATTAGACATCTAAGTAAGAACTTGTACAATCGGATGATACTTTCAACAAGATATTTCTTGACTCTACTTTTATCAAGGTAAGATAATGTTATAAAAAAAATCGCGTATTTCTTTTGAATATCTCAAACTGATAACGACTTGCTAAACCAGTTGGCGACTTGAACTAGGGCATATGACTTAATTATTACTGACACATTGGCTTCATAAATAACTAGTTCAAACGGAAGGTCAAGGGCAAATTTAAGGCATGAAAATGTTGAAATCATAGGCTACAAACAATTTTGTGTACACAAATCTGAGAACACACACACCTGCACTAATAAGGCAAAGCAGGACGTAGATAATCAAACAAATTAACAAGACAAATATATTAACGAGAGGAATAGTATTATGCTGAATTTATATAACCTAAATTAATCATTTAATATGTTCTAGTTTCCTGAAGGGCTTTTATTTCCCACATTCACTTGATTCTTCGTATAAAACGCTCAACTCGAAGAATGATTAAAAAACGACGCACGTTCAGACCATCACATTTAATTTGTTTTTACTTTGCGACGCACGTGCGCTGCTGACACAAGAAGGAGTTCTTAGTCCGGCGCGGCGTTCATCTTAACGTTGTTTAAACCACTTGTGATTGACTGATTTTGGAGGTGTTCACCTAGTGCAATTGAGAGTTTTCCTGGTTGAAACCTTCCATTGTATACCTTTACATTTGTATGAGTACACTTGTTAAACTCCTACATTTTAAATTCTGTTTTAGGTTGCCCTGTGCAGGTTCCTGACAGCCTTCCCAACTTGTCATGCCATATCAGCAGTCGTTGCACAAGTCTTCATTGTTGTCTGAATCTAGACTTGAAGGTGACTCAGATCAGCTCCAAGGCCTGGTTGATCATTGACCCCTGTGACTATACGCTGTCTGTCGGGCTAGAGTCGTGGTACTTCAACGTCTCGCTGTTTTCTTACGAGTGGGGAATGATCGAAAGTTTCATGATTGGCGATGCCCTGAGTGTCAGGTGAGTTTATATGAAGAAGAATATATTTCCAAACTAAAATACAACTGGTGATTTTCTCTGAGCTCTGTGAATGTTTTCATAACTGTGACATCTAAGCCAATGGACAGACTCAATTTAATGCCATAATGATAATTGTAGAGAAGTAGTTAATACCCTCACTGACACCACAGCTGACATCCTCTTCATAACATTGCATAAAAATACTATGTTGAGGGTTAAAGTCTGTACCGGTAGTTTGTATGACCTCAAACAGTGTTCTTCCTGTTCAGAAAGTTGGAGTGTTTGATGAGGTAAATTCAGTCAAATCCCTGCCCCCCACCTAAACTTTTGTTTTTGCTAATTGGTTTTGTTTCCTGAGACTGATTGACAAGTGTCTCTGTGTTTTTTGAAGTACCTGATGTGATGATTTGTTGTGACCACCATTAAGACTAATACTGAGGACAAAATCTTGACCGTTTTGTGTTTGTATTCAATTTTAACAGTGGAATTTAAAGAATTCTGACAAATAAGTACAAGTTTTAATTATTTTGTCCAGGTTTTCCATTGACAAGCTTGACGCCACCAAGGAGTATGAAGTAGATCTGGCCTTCTCTCTCATCATTGATGGCATCGCTACAGACTTCGCAATCATGGCTGACAAGATAATCCCAATACCTTTGTGCAATGCTAACCTCTCCCTGGCCTTGCCTGGGGATGGCTCAGTCAAAGGTTTCCTGAATGAGCTAGGAGACAATGTGGGACAGGCAGCTATCCAGCTGGTACTGACTAAACTCAACCTACAGGTGAGAGTGACACACTGGAACACCCAAAGAGGATAGAGTGTCTTTCAAAAACAAGCTGAAAAAGGGCTAAATTAAAAGGGGGCTAAAATATCATAAGCAACACCCCGTGTCACATTAGATCCACACCCTTCCCATCCACCCCTCCTTCTATGCTTTTCCAATTTGTCATGACCTGGTGGGCTGTCCCCAAATACAAGGCCTGGGTACACCACTAAATTGATATGATACTTTGCCAACTGAAATGTATACTTCTTGGACCTGTTGTAGGTCTGCTTACTGTGAGAATCCTTGATAACTGTAGCAGAATATTCTGGGGTACCACTGAGCATATTTCACGTGTCAAGGAATTTTGGCTTGTGTGCATACATGCATTCCCACGGAGTCACACAATTTCTTTGCAGGCTCTGTTGGCCAAAAAAGAAAAAGGTTAATGTAAGTGCAGAATATCTGTGGTTAGCCTTACCATGACATTGGGCACTTTGGTGTAATGATCAGAACTTTTGTAAAAACTGACATCTGCCCAGATAAAATAGGGATTATACTTGACTGTCTTTGAACCCTTTGATCTTTGATGTTTAGCCATGTCAAACAAATAAAGTACATACATGATGGCGCCCCCCCAAAAAAAAAAAACCCAAATAAACACCAACAACCTGAAACATCATACTTCCACTAGCTTGAGACTCAAACCACCTCTACTAATGGATGGAAAATCTTTTTAGAAGAAATATGATACCAAAATCTCTCGATTCGCTCCACTAGTTTTTGTTGCAGATCCTATTTTGTGAAGCACACATCTTTCATGTAGGTATTACTACATAACAATTAATCCCTCTATCCAATTAAATGAGATTCGCAGGCACAGTTTCCTAATTCATCAGAACAAAATGACTCCCAACTGTGTTTCACAACATGTGAAACTGTCTAATGGACCGAATCGGGCGATCTTTGTGTCATTTTCTTAAACAGAATTCCCCATGCAATTGTTTGAATCTCAGGGTTGCGGAAGTACGCCGTTCCGGTTTTTTTTATTGGGCCACCCAGTGTAAGGGGAAATTAGATTCTGACAAGTGCATTTGTCTTCTTAAGCTTACTTTTGAGTGAAAATGGAGGAATAGCCCTTTTAAAATGTGGCTGTTGTTATATTAGCAGGAATATCGCATTCAAACGCTTAATATTTGAGATACTACCTAATGCTACTTTTACAAGCATTAGGTCTGTGTAATCTTGTTTTACTTACATTTCTTACATGTGTGTTGTATTTCTTACATGATGATATACGTATTTTCTTTTTTGTACCTTAACCTCCTTTTTGATTTTTTTTCCCTCAATGCATAGAGTTTATTTGTATTTCTTATTGATCTGTCATTTTTTCAGGATACGATCATTGGAACGACATGCCAGTTGCCTTCACAGATAACGACAGGCACCCGTAAGTCTGTGTTTGATTGATTGGTTTCTGCTAAAGGCCCTGTCACACTGTCTGCGATCTTATATGCGCTCTCACTGCGTCCTTGGAAAATAGCTGGGGCGCAAAAACAATTACTAGATCGCAGCGACAACTACATAGGTCGCCAGATGGGCGCTAGAGGGTCTTAATGGTCTCTGATGAGCGCCAAGGTCTTTGAACATGCTCAAAACAATCGCAACACCTCTGCGCCGTAGCCAGGACGTCGTAATGACGCATCTCGGGCGCTGTGCGAGCGTGAATCGTGCAACATTGAAGTGGCATTGAGGCAGCCTATAGGCGCAAGACAGTCGATGTAGTCTCCATGAGAAAGTAACTCGACTGCGATGAACTTGTAGAATAATTTTGAAACTGGACTGTGTATTGACCGTTTTGTCGTGGTATTTATACAGCGCAAGTGACGTCACGTGAGCGTATTTTGGTCGAATGGAGAGCGCGACGCGAGCTACTAGGACGTATCAACAGCGAGCAGAGCGTTGTGTGAGCGCAGTGACAGCGCAGCGGCAGCGACTAGATCGAGTAATTGAGCTTGACGGGGCGCATAGAGAGCGAGTTGAGCGCATCGTAAGCGCGGGAAGAGCACAGTATAGTATGAGCGTAGCTTGAGCTTCTTTGAGACAGAAAGTTGTCATTTTCTTGCGTCCTCGCTGCGATTGATACATTTATGAAATATTTTTGGTCGTCGTAAGGTCTCCTATGAGATCGCATATAATGTGACAGGCCCTTTACCAAATTAAATTTTGAACATGGCCCAGTCAGTGGTGAACTCAATATTGCTGTAACAGTGACCTGGTATTCGTTGAGCATTTTTAATGCGTCACGTAATCGTGGCCAGGATCCTTGGTAATCAAATTTGCTACTAATTGTACATGTGCAATTAATCGGCAAGTACCAGCCACTTCATAAAAAAGACGAAAGATCAACAATTAATGTTTGTATAATGCACGTACATGTATACACGAATCCTGGAAACTTTTGATGTCAACACAACTCTGCAGATCTTGGACTTTTGGAAGAAGCTTCTGAAGTTGGTACATTGACAATTAATCCCTACCTACAATGTTTACAGTAATATTTGTATATAACTTTCCTGATATTTTGCCCATCCACCAGCCTCGGAATATTTTCGCAGGACTGTGTCAGTCTATATAGTTAGTTAATTGCGATCAAATAAATATAAATCAAACCGCACCCCTTGCAGACACTTATATCCCTGCACCTAAAACATCACTAAATGGAGTCGTGGAAAGAGGAAATTGAGACCAATTTGCCAGTCAAAGGACAGTACGGTCATTCAGTAAGCACGTGCTCATCTACAAGGGAATTCCCCAAGATGAGAAATAGCTTGCTATGGCGAGTCACGTTACGGCTCCACAGTACATGTGACGGGTGGTCATGCATTATGCATGTTAGTAGATCCATTTAAATTCGGTTGGACTCCCTGCGGCCTGGGGCAGCATGAATTCTACACAAGTGACAAAATTGATGTTACGTTTTAAAAATAAGCAGTGTTCCGTATGAAACATGTCTGTCAAAACAAAAACAGGCTTGATATTTCCTTATGAAATGTCAGAGACAAATTTGCTTCCCTTTGGCTACCAGGAACACCACCCTCGACACATTTCAATTCATTAGAGGCATAATTCAACATGGAAAGAGTCATGAAGACGTGTACAATGCGATGTATGACCCACCATGGCGTGCTCGGCATGCTTGCACCATAGAGCAAGCAACAGATCTAGCTTGCAGGAAGGAAAGATCCATGGTCTACACAATTTGTTTGTTCCTATCCTGCAATGAAATTACCTGTCCAAGTAAGGAAGCGTTTATAAAATTATCTTTTTTCTTTTTTACTAGAATGCCCATTGATCTCCCTACCCTTCCTGGAGAATGTCGTCCAGTGCTCCATTGACGATCGCTGCCTTGGCATCCAATGCTGCATCCATCTTGACTTTGTCATCACTGAACTCTTGCTGAGTGCAAGAATTCAAGTTGACCCTTGCAACTTCCAGCTGTATGTGGCCTTTGAGAACTGGGAACTGAACATCACTCTCTTCAGCTACACCTGGGGAAAGGTGGAAACGGTAAACATTGGAAACGCTGTAATGTTGAGGTGAGTTTGGTGCTTATGTTTCTTCTGCTTGTTAAGGATTGGAGAATTGGGGAAAAATCTGTTCTTTTGATTGTTAATTGAAGTTACCAAATTTGAAGATGAAACACTCCTTAATTTGTAAAAATGGACTCGAAAGATACAATTCAGAACATTTCAAAACATGATTGGGCAACATGATTGAGCAACTTTTGATTTGAAATTGAGATCCTAGAATGCTGTGTTTCTCAGATTATACATCTTAGATGTTGAACACTTTTGTTGCTTCAAACAAACAAAATGCACAAATTACAAATGATGGACTATGTTTTTAAAAAGCCATTTAAGATGTTGCATTTGAATTCCATTTCAACTATCCATGTATACAAATATGACAAAATCGGATCCTTGAAGCACTGATACACAAGTATAGGAAGGAAACTATTAATTAAAGTAGTTCTTTGGGCCGAGAACTTCTGGTGAGCACTACTTTCATTTATATGTCCCTATAAAAATATGACACTTTAATGCCAGTGAAAATTACCTTGTGTAATTTGCCCCCCCCCCCCCCAATAATTCAAATTTGTAACATTTGCTATTTTCAGCTATTGCCTTGAGAAACTCACAGCCAAGAAAGTCTTCTCTGTGACTTTGGGTCTCACGTTGTGCATTGATGACACCTGCACCATGAACCCAGTACTTGACCATGTCTGGGTTCCTATACCCTTGTGTAACACTAATGCTACATCATTCACCTTGCCTGGTGATGGTACAGTGGAGGGATTCATACGAGAGCTAGGCGGTCGCATCGGAAACTCTGCCATTGAATTGGTGTTGGAGAAGTTTGGCCTGAGTGTGAGTGTGCATAGTTTGATGTCTCATTGGCTTTTAATCATTGTCCTATCCAAGGCCATTGGTAATGGCTAATCTCTTTCATAAAATATTATAAAGGAATTGTAAAGGTTGGGGGTAGCCTACCGCCATGATCAGATTGAATTAATTGGAGTGATGGATCTATAGCTGTTAGAGGGGTTAATCCCTTCCCCCTTGCGCGCCAAAAAACTTATTATAAAAAGGTATGTATCCTTCACTCACATTCTCTTAAATAGCTTCAGAATGCAAATCACTTCTAAAAGGGACGCATGACTTCAATACCCATTCATAGCCTAACCTCGCCCCCTTGAGAAAAACCTGGATCCGCCCCTGTGTCTAGTTAGTGGAGAGGAAAAGGCAATCTAGACACAGATTGGCACAATACAATGTTCCATCGCTTCATATATACATGTACACACCTACATGTAGCTAATACATTTTGTAAAGTAGGTATAATCTCTTTCTGCTCTTAACCCCTCTGCAGCAATATCTGCAGAGTGTGCCTTGTGACAGGGGAACACCAGGCACCTTGAGGAGTGGTAAGTTTGATGCAGTTTTGCCAGTGGTAGTTAATTACCTAAATGGTATCAAAAACGAGAGTAGGACTCTTAAGAACAAACCGTGCACAAAATAGGGCACTGAACGTATTTCCTCCATTCAGACCGTTATACCATGAAAGACCCCTGACGTGTTGACATTCACTTCTGTTGTATACCATAATTCATACAAGAACGTCATACCAAATCTTAGGTTCCAAGAAGTTCAAATTGCTAATTTTGTAATGTTCCTCTCTGACCCAGCTCAGAGCTGTATATTGTGACTTAGCTGTTTTTGTTTTTCATAATTATTGTCTTTTAATATCTGTCAGCGTCTCCAAATCTAACCTCTACATAGTCACTGTCACTGTTGTTATTTGACACTGCATGATTCCTGTCTTTCCCAGCTTGTCAGGCATTGGTGTCAACTAGATTCCTGACTTCCTCACATGCAATGTCACCTATTACAGGCTGAGTCGTTACTGTCGCTGTCATTTGTAATATTTGTAATTGATTCTGTTTCTTTAAGAGTGTCCAATCATTGGTGTCACCAAGCTTCCTGACGTCCTCGCATGCAATGTCACCTATTGCAGGCTGAATCGTCACTGTCACTGTCATTTGTAAGATTTGTAATTGATTCTGTTTCTTCAAGGTTGTCCAGCCATTGATGTCACCCAGCTTTCTGAAGTCCTTACATGCAATGGCACCTATTACAGGCTAAATTGTCACTGTCACTGTCATTTCTAATATTTATAATTGATTCTTTTTCTTCAATGCTGTGCAGACATTGATGTCACCCAGCTTCCTGACGCCCTTACATGCAATGTCACCTATTACAGGCTGAATTGTCACTGTCACTGTCATTTGTAATATTTGTAATTGATTCTCTTTCTTCAAGGCTGTCCAGCCGTTGATGTCACCCAGCTGCCTGAGTTCCTATCTTGCACTGTCACTAACTCCTGCCTGGGCATCCGATGCTGTCTGGAAATGGACTTGATGATAACAACTCGCAGCGTCAGTGCCTGGGTCATCCTGGATCCCTGCAACTTCACCCTGTCTGTGGGCTTTGAGAAGTGGGAACGTAGTATCACTTTGTTCCACTACCCACTGGGTGATGTCATGGAGGAAGTTGTGAATGGCGTCCTGACAGTAAGGTATGACACTATATCTTTGTATCTTTGGAGATACCATTATCGTTAAATGCCGTGTTTTGTGCGTTTCCCTGGCAAACTGTCACAGAATTTTGAATTTTCTATTAGTGTTATTGCAAGTATCAGTTGTTCCCACAACGAAGCGTGGCAACTAGCTAGGATGCTCATACAGGATTCCATTGCAAATTGATTTTAAAGAAATGAAAAATCGCGTAAACCTTGCAACCCCTTGTTGGAGCTATTATAAAAATATTAACCATTCATTAACCATTCATTAACCATTCATTAAAAAGGAATGCATTCAGATCGGAGGAAAATCCTGAAGGGTTATTCCAGGGAAAGCCTACAGAATCAGGTAGGGATGGAAAAAAACCTATCCACATGTGGGCCAAGCGGGAATTGAACCCGGCTCACTGAGATGGAAGGCAAAGAGAGCACCACTGTACCTCCCGTTTTATTGTGTATTGGGCCATCCTCTCCATCAATGGTTGAAGGACTATGATGATTACACGGCAATTAGTTTAATACGTATATAAATGGCAATTCCCAAACTAATTTATATCTAATCAATCACAAATCTGTATGCAGTTTTACTTTTCTTCAACTTGAACACTCTTGTGACAGCTCCTTATAGTGGTGTGCATCGGAACCGGGTATCTGAGAAACCCCACCGCTGATGTCAGGAACCGGTTCTAGATTATCGGATCGGTTACCAGAAACCCAATTTACAAATCACTTGATTACTTCTCAGACAATTATGAAAAAAAAGGTTTTGAATGCCATTTGTCATGTTTGTGGCGATTTTCAAAATGAGAACTGGGATACATGGAGACCTAACATTTATGTGCAATTTCTCGCAAAACTTGCTTTCACCTTAAACCTATCAAGCCCGTCAGACAACTTCGAATTTTGGGATGAGGTTTCTTTTTAGGGGTACCTGGGTACTCGTGTTTTTATTGAATAGGATACCCGATTCCTGTACTAACCGTTAATACACACCACTAGTTCCTAATAGCTTATTTAACATTATTACATTTCCTTCTTGACTGTGTAATTTGCATTTAAACACGTAGATGGCGAGTGGCTAAGATCACCAAAGACAAGCAGTTTGAGATAGACTTGTCCCTAGTTCTCTGTGTAGATGGAGCATGTGACACCTTGACAGTGTTTGCTGGCAGTCGCCTTCCAATACCGCTGTGTAACACCCGAGATACATTCACTCTACCGGGTATGTTTACAGCTCACATCTATGACCAGTGACTTTGGGTTGTGATTTATTGTCATTGATCAATGGTAAAGTTCACAAATTCCATTGTGATGGCAAGTTAATTTTAACAATTTCATTTTATATTTGTTGCATTTCACATATACTTCCGAAAGTTTGTTTCAGTAAGGAGAAGGAATTACATGTAATAAACAGTTTTGCGGCACTGGTTACATTATATTTTCTGTGTATGTTCCCTTTAACCGGACATCAACACGATTGCTTCTTTGCACGTAAAAAAGACACTTGAAAATAGTCAAATGTGTTGTAGTCCCTTCACTGACACCCTAGTGCATGCACACCATCCTACACTCGGACTCTCCATAGATGTCTCACGGCACCATGTAGTGCATGCAAGGCATCCTTCACTCGGAATCTTAATAGTGGTCTCACAGCATCATGTAGTGAATGCAAGGCATCCTTCACTCTGACTCTTTATAGTGGTATTATTTTCCTTTATTGCACCCCATCGATCCATTAAGCCCTTCCCCGTGATGTTGTGTCACATAACAACTCAGAACACTGTCCAACAAATGTCCAACGATTGCATTTGCAAAAGAAGTTCACACTGTGAACATGTAGTGTGACAGTTGGGAGGTGCACTAGTTGTTGCCCTCGTGTCCAGTATGCAGGGTCGAATGGATCGCTCATCACCATCTAGTGAATGCAAGGCATACTACACTCTGACTCTCTATAGTGGTCTCACATCATCATCTAGTGAATGCAAGGCATCGCTCACTCTGACTCACCATAGTGGTCTCACAGCACCTTCTCGTGAATGCAAGGCATCCTTTTATCTGTCTCTCTATAGTGGTCTCACAGCACCATCTAGTGCATGCAACGTATCCTTCACTTTGATTCTCTGTAGTGGTCTCACAGCATCGTCTAGTGAATGCAAGGAATCCTTCACTCTGACTCTCTATATTGGTCTCACAGCACTATCTAGTGAATGCAAGGCATTCTTCATTCTGACTGTCTCTGGTGGTCTCACAGCACCATCTAGTGAATGGCAATACATCCTTTACTCTGATTCTCTGTAGTGGACTCTCATCGCCAATGCAAGACATCCTGCACTCTGACTCTCTATAGTAGCTTCACAGCACCATCTAGGGCATGCAAGACATCCTTCACTCTGACTCTCTAAAGTGGTGTCATAGCTTCATATAGTGAATACGAGGCATCCTGCAGTCTTACTCTCAGAAGTGTTCTCACAGCATCGTCTAGTGAATCCAAGGTTTCCTATACTCTGACATTCTATAGTGGTCTCACAGCATCATCTAGTGAATGCAAGGCATCCGTCACGCTGATTCTCTATAGTAGACTCACAGCATCATCTAGTGCATTCAAGGCATCCTTTACTCTGGCCCTCTATAGTGGTCTTACAGCATCATCTAGTGAATGCAAGCCATCCTGTACTCTGACTCTCTATAGTGGTCTCACAACACCATCTAGTGAATGCAAGGCATCCTGTACTCTGACTTTCTATCGTGGTCTCACAGCACCATCTAGTGAATGCAATGCATTCTTCACTCTGACCCTATAAAATGGTCTAACAGCATCATCTAATGAATGGAAGGTTTTCTTCACTCTGTTTCCCTGTAGTTTTCTTACATCACCATCTAGTAAATACAAGGCATCCTACACTCTGACTCTCTATAGTGGTCTCATAGCACCATCTAGTGAATGCAAGGCATCCTGCACTCATGCAAGGCATCCTGCACACTGACTCTCTAAAGTGGTGTCACAGCATCATCTTGTGAATTCAATGTATCCTTCACTCTAACTTTTTTAAAGTGGTCTAACAGCACCATCTAGTGAATGCAAGGCATCCTTCACTCTGTCTCTATAGTGGTCTCACAACATCATCCAGTGAGTGCAAGGCATCCTGCACTCTGCCTCTCCATATTGATCACACAGCATCATCCAGTGAGTGCAAGGCATCCTTCACTCTGTCTCTATAGTGGTCTCACAGCACCATCTACTGTTTCTGACGTGAATCCGCACGTGTCCACTATCACCAAACCTACATGCATTGTTGTATTCAAGTGTATCAGAAATCCAGTCAAATGTAATTACAAGTCAATTCACTTAAGTCCTGTCAACAGTAAAAGGGAATGAACAGTAACAAGAATGTCCTTATCATCGTACATTTGAATAGCGTGGGACTTAATCTGGAAATACATGTACTCTTATGTTAAGAATTGTCCGATGCACGTGTTACATTTTGTAACCTTTTTCTACTTCTCAGGTGACGGTTCAGTGTCAGGCTTTTTGAGTTACCTTGGTGGTAATGTCGGTCAGTTTGCCATAGATGCAGCCCTACGTCATCTTCATCTGACTGGCTTCCTCACAGGAAAGGCATGCAGCTATCATACACAGGGTATGTACAGCTAAATGCATTTAGAACGGACTCAAGAAAGTTGTCACGAATCTAACTGTGATTGTTGTTTATTTAGAGGAGATTTTAGATAAACCCTTTATGGAATGAATTTTGTGACCCTCAAATAGAAAACCAGTCGGAAGTCGTGTTTTGAAATTCCTGAAGATTTTTTAACACCCAAATGGATTGATCACTTGTTTTTCTTCCTCTCTAGATGTCTGTGCCAGCTCCACTAGTATCCTAGGCAACTGCACTGTGATTGGTGAGACCTGCACGGAGTTACGATGCTGCCTGGACCTGGACCTGAAGATAGCTGATGTCTCGGCCACCGCATGGTTCAAATTTGACCCTTGTGACTTCACTTTCTCGTTGGGTCTGGAGAAGTGGTCCTTTCATGGCTCTGTCTTTAGTTATCAGTGGGGTAAGATCTGGCTGTGTGTTGCTAGATTCAATGAGTGGTTTGGAGGGTATCAAGTAAAGGGGTTCCAAATTGCACAAAGGATTGATGCCCGCTACTAAGTCAGATGACAATTGAAAATTGATAACTATAATTTGAAAAAAAAAACAACTGTTGGCTGGCCTAGATATTTAATATAAAGATAAGATGTTGGAGATTTTGCCAATAAAGTTCATTGTATAAGATAAATGCAGCTTAAATACTAATTTTTATTTTTATTCAGGTTGAAATTAGGATTTCCATTTATTCTGTATAATTACTACTTGAAGAAGTGTGTCAAATTCAAATTTAAGATATACATTTGAAATTCAGGTTCAAGTGCAACATAACACGCTTTCTTTCATTTCTGTAAATAGTTTGTATTCTGAATCCTTGGTCCCTCTTCCCAGTTTCGCTCTCACCCCCTGAGCTATTTGGCCTCTTTTGTTGCTGTGTGAGGGTAGTGTTTTTGTACTGAATTTTTTTTGTTATTAATCTTGTCAAAATTTAAAAAAACTAACAGATGCTAGAGCATGATACTGTGTTTTTGAATTGGTAGGAAAAGAGATGACAGTCACAATTGCTTCAGGATTGAATCTGAGGTAAGTATGAACAATTCAACATAATGTCATTAGCACTGCATAGTCACCAACTTGCTTGTGATTTGTTTTCCCCACAAAGTTCAGGGATATCACTGAGTAAATGTTGTTAAAGTAATTTCATCAGCAAGGATTAAAAAAATAATATTATACTCAAACTCCATCTAAGTAGAAAGACACCCCAGTTGTGTGTGTGTATGTGGCACAGCTTCAAGTTTATTTTTTTTTTAAATCACCGGAAAACCAAAGCGTAGGACAAACAGGAAACATTAGGCGGTACTGCTGACCACCGTCAATCATCGATGAATAATGATATTTACAGGCGACATGTACATGTGTTCTGATAGTGATATCGATACAAGATTACCGGAATACAAAAAAGGTAGGGCAAACCGGAAACATAGACGTTACACCCAAACGCACAAAGGACTCAATGATAACAATAACAACTACATGAATGTGGATAGTGATACCCTTTTAATGAAGACCATTTTCCACACATGTACAAACCATCAACAAAGAAAGCAACAATGACCCAATGATAAAGGTAACCACAATATAGATAGTGATACCCATGACCACTATCCACACAAACCATCAAAAAGGAACGCAACAGTGTGAATGTTCTCTACTCAATAGGAATCGCTACAGTAAAACCATAGACCATAAAGGTCAACAAATTAGTTATTCCAGAAAACTTTCTTAGAATAGTAATTTACAGTCAATTGTTCCAACCGCTGGAACATGCAGCCGGTGTAATTCGTGTGGGATGTCACGGGCTATTTGTTACACATTTATGTTTACAATAAGAATAAACTCCCAGGTATGGTAGGGAATGGGCCGTGGGGCACATTACGGCGCTATATTGTTACATTACAAAATTACATCTAGCACATGAAACTTTAGAGGTATACGTACAAGCAAAATGTCCCATCCTATTGAAGTTAGCTAATTCCATATCCAACAAGATTGGGTGTTAGACTTCTTATTTGGCACGAACAAACGCCGCTTGTTTCTCAACCGAGCCAGTTGCAACACATTACAAAGAAAGGATTGTAGGGGAGGAGGAGGGAAATTATTTTTAAACTAACTTTAATGTTTGACACACACATCTATCAATATGTATTCCTGCCTACGAATTGGCCTAGCATTTTGGCGGCAACCCACTTACGATGATTGGCTGCCTATAATCCCAACGCTGAATGGCTGCCTAGAATCCGACTGCTGCTATAAAAAGGCGAGATATTCATATAACGTCCGCAATTGGATATACAACACGGCAAGCGTGGAAATTTGGCAGCACCAAAACAATGTTTTTCGTTGAGTATAATGGATTTTATCATTAACATGATAAAATTTCTTCAATCATGTTTAAATCCCAGTACATACCGTTATCTCGTTTTTACCGTTTTCGATTTCCTCAAAAACAACGAACCGTTGACCGTTTTGTTGTTTTACAGTTTTGTAAAATGTTAAGCGGTATTAAGTCACAAAAAAAACTATATTAAAAAAAAAAAAAAAAATAACCAATGCACCTTTGAATGTTAATGTGTCCTTGGGATCGAGTCACTGCCTGGGGAATTACCCTATCCTTACCTTTATGTCGTTCTCACGCCATAGTTTGCGAATAGTGGCTATTTGAAGAGCCGCGCTGACTTCCAATTTCCTTCAAAAAAACATATCTGCAACCTCTTCATAAGAATTAAGTCTTACCATCCTGTATCCTTGTGAAATTTCTGAAATTTCCCAGCGCCATTTTTGCTTGCAAATTTTAAAGCCGTACCAACTGAACCGCAGAAGATGGGGGTCAGGGACTCAGGGTCACGCCAGGAATCACACTACGCAATAATTATGCCTACAATGATACCCACGTTAAAACTCCTTCGTGCACGGCATGGTCCCCCTCCACACCCCCCCCCCTTGCCCACCGCTGCAAAATGCACCACGAACTGTTAACTATGACACTTAAATAACGAAAAACAGTCTGACGGTTTTGCCGTTTTTCAAAGTTATTTGTGAAAAACTGTAAAACAAAAATCATTGAGCGTCATGCTATAATGAATTATACTTAAATGATAAAACGAAATAACTGTATTTATCTGAACACCGTTTGACCGTTTTACAAAACTGTAAAATGACAAAATGGTCAATTGTTTGTTTACTTTTTTTTTTTTTTTTTTTAAGAAATACAAAACGGTAAAACGAAATAATGGTATGTACCGAGATTGTGGTAGCAGTTTTGACTTTAGATATGAAAACATGCACGGTTTTGACTAGGGTATTACTATTAATCCCCTTGCAGATACTCTATCAAAAAGAAGAATGATACTCATGAGTTTGAGATGAGCATGATGGTAGAATATTGCATTGATGGACTGTGCACTGACATCGACATACAGCATTACATTCCAATCCCTGTATGCAACCCACACTTCAGCAATTACAATCTATCCGGTGAGTTTAGACGGGTGTCTCATAGGTCACCTCTTCTAAGGGATTAAACTATGATTGTTGTTTATACACTGACCATAGTCACTGAAAAGACTTGTTAATTAATACCACTGTTGATTAATACTACTTAAAACATACTTATATATTACTTAACTATTCAATCACATCAAGAGTGGCATGTTCCATTCAGGTTAACTCTGTACCTACTAGCTTGGAGAACCTTAAATAGATTGAGCATTTGATAATAATAAGACTAGATTAATACACTTTTATTGTGACCATAACATTATAATGATCAAAAGCGCATTACAAGTGATTACTTTTAAAGTTAGAGCAGACAAGAAGAGACACAATTAAATTTGAGATAAAGTCGGGTCATCGCTTCAGAGCCCAAAACACCGTATGGGGATATGTCTGTCCAGCAATTAGCCTATCCCTGCTGACATTGTAGTGTTCTGTATTTCAAGGCCATTTTACCCAAAGTAAACGAAGTAAGTCTGTGTTACAATCTGCCATTTCACAGCTGTGACTTCAGTTTTCACTTCGGCACGTTTTAGTAAATACATACCCCTAGACGAAGTGACAGTTTCAGACACAGGGTAAATGGCAAAAATCTAATTAGATGTGACTAGCAAAAGGCACATTTAATAACGCACAGTCCTCATCCTCACAACACAAGGCAACTCAGATTGTCACTATTTTCGGTGTTGTTTTTCTCCAGTGGACGGTTTCATAGAGACAGTATCAGGACAGGTCATCCAGGGAGCATCGCTAGCCCTTCTATCACAGCTTGGAATCGACCCAGACTTCTTCAGGAGTCAACCGTGTCGCAACCCTGTGGGGCCTCAGTCTTATGGCAGTAGGTTTCTTGTTATCTATTCCTAATACAAGAATTGCTGAGGCTGATGAGACTCTGCCAATTTATCTATATGTATTGCAGTAAATAATGGCCAAATCTAATGAGTACCACTCCAGAATACGAGGACACCCAAAACCGGTTCCACTAAATTGAATGTTTTTTTTTTTTTACATTACTGGTGCACACGTGCCCCTGAGAGTCCATAAAGTAGTACACAAAGCTTTCGGCTTTGTCTGGGAAAAACATTTTTGTCCCGCTGTCAGACAGCTTTTATCTTTTTACTGGATTGGAATTCCAGTAATGGCAACATTTGCCATTTGCCTTCAGGGGCTCTTCGCTCGTATGAAACGGTCCATGTGAAGGGGTGTGCTGTTCTTTGAATTGTACCCCTGTCGTTAATAGTTGCATGCATTGTACTGTCCACGGTGCTGTGCACCATGCATACACGTACAGCGTGTTTGCTGCATGGGATACATTGGCGTTATATGGTAAAACCGTGTGGTGGTTGCTATGGCAGCATGCCCGAATACTGAATGTTGATATTTATAGTAGTGCCTACTACGACAACGAATGCTTGAAAATTTGAATGTTTTAGATTAGAAAACATATTCTACTTACCCATCTTTCCATGTTATATTCCTGTTTTCTCCAGATGAATTACGCGTAACAATGTAAGTAGTTACATTTCCATATTGCTCCCAGGATTGTTGACATTATGAGCTCATTTTTTCCCCAGATTGTCCTGGTATGCAGTTTCCCAGTAACCTGACCCCTTTGGCTCACTGTGGCATCCTCAGCACTTGCTTTGGCATACAGTGCTGCCTGGATGTGAATCTTGGACCACTACATCATTCATTCAGTACCTCTATGGTGATAGATCCATGCCTGGGCCAGCTGACGCTACAATTTGGCAACTGGCAGTACAGTAAATCCCTCTCACACCTGGATTTTGATACAAGTCAGGAGATCACTATCGGAAACTTTGTCATGCTCAGGTAAACTGTTTTAACTCTTTAAGAATCAACTCATCCTTTAGGCTCCGCCCACTCTGTATTCACTGTATAAAAGTCCACTGATATCATCATAAGGGCCATATGCTTTAAAAATGATTTTCAAGCTGTATGTTCTATGTATGAGATTATGGGACCCCAAAGTGGTCCCTAAATAGTGAAAATACCAATCGTGTAGAAAGTCTATGCGAATGTCTCCCTAGTGACCCATTCTCGGTAATTATTATCTGCTAAAATGAAATAAAATAAATATAATAAAAAAAAAAATCTTTTTTTGCACAGGAGAAAATATAAATTACAAGTAGTTTTTAATTGCCCATACTTTGTGTTATTGTAACTCTAGCACTCTATGAGAGCCTTTTTGAGTACCAAAATTTGTAATGTCAAAAGTGCTCGTATCATCTTATAAAAACGTTATTTTCACAAGATATATGTGTTTGACAATGCAGGTACACCTTGGAGCTCATGGATGGTGAGATATCAATGAGTCTGTCCATAGATGCATGCATCAATGGTCATTGTACAGGACAACTCATGATCTTAGATGGTGCAGTATCTCCTCTTCCTATGTGCTTCCCCAACGGAACCATCTCCTGGAACAATTTACCAGGTAGGACTAAATTGCATTCATAGAATGTTTATGTGAATTCCACTGGTTCATCTGGAAAAGTTGATTACGATTTATACTTTTTAGAACTTGAGTTTCCATAGACGATACGTCACTTTGTGTGCACCCGACAACATGAGCAGGCGTACAGATATGCTGCCACATCTTGTTGTCAGTGTTGGTCAATGGCCCTTACATTTGAGGTCCTCTACATCTTGTTTCAAGTTAGTATCCCCCTTTAGTCATGGAAACAGTTGGACAATTAATTTAGGGTCATTTCCATGAAACAAGTTTGTATATAATTCTGGTTTTAATATTTCATGGAATGGGTTGAGATTGTTTGAGGCAAGTGTCATCAGTTTCATTCTGAGACTCAGCTGCACTCGTACCTAAGATTTCTTTTCAACCTCCCGGACTCCTTATGTGCCCCCCCCCCCCCAATCACAACAAAACACTTTCCCCTTTTTGTCGTTTTTTTATGCTAAGTATATGAGTACTTTTTAAAGTACGTATATGAACTGACAAAAAGTAGTTGGCCGATCAATTAAGCCCTACCGCGCACCAGGTAACAACACCCACACCTTTCCATTGCACACTACATGTTCTAGCTGAGCCCGTCAATATTCACACATGCAGAAATGTCAGACTTTGTGCAAGCATATCAGACAGTTATCATGGCTTTGACTGGTCAGAATATCTTGAGGCAGGGCTTATTGTATCAGTCTATTGCTATACATAGTAGCTTGTTAATAAGAGATGGTTCTCCATGAATGTACCCAAACAGCTTAATTATTTTACCCAATCCTTTGGGCTGCGTGTGCGATCAAGAGAGGCTGCTTTTTAATTACTTTTGAGAGCCTAGTGGATGGGACACACGCGCGTGTGCAGACAGGTTTGTGCGTGTAAAGCACGAAGTACGCACAACTATTTTTTTTTCTGAACGTTCATTTAAGCTATAGCATCTTCACATGAACGTCAAGCATCACAGACAATCAAATGTCTCTCCCCAGTGGTCTTTCTCACCTCTCCCTATTTTACCATGGAGGGGACACTTGTAGACAGAGCCAATTGTGGTATGTTGACATTGTGTTTCACTGACATCAAATAATGCAGTGTTTGTTTTATTACTGCTAGGTATAACCTCAATCTCTCAGCTAGCAAGCTTAGATGCTGGATTTGAGGCTGTGGCTCAGGCTCTTGGCTTACCATCTCGTCTAGTCTCGGCCTCACCTTGCCCACCTGTGATTCAGCCTAGTCAGTCTGGAGGTAGGGGTATTAGTATTATCCCGTGACCATAACAGGGCTTTAAGTTAAGCTAATTGAGGTGCCCATTGGTGGATCGGTTTCTTCATCACTGTGATGCTTCAAACATCCAAAGCTTGCTTCCATAAGATTTCGCACAATGCTTGTACTTTAGTGACATGTGTTTATTGATATTTTCAAAGCGAACGAAATACACATGCAGATGGAAATCCGAGATCCATGCGATTGGCACTAGGGAGTGGAAGCCTTCCTGTACATTTATTAAGCTATCAAGAAATGTCAGAGTAGACCCAGTGGCAAAAGTGGATCTTTGTATTCAAATAGCCATCCCTATGTTTTATTACTGGAAAAACTCCATTTTATCAACTGTATCACCTATAATCACTTAGAAAAAAAAGAAAAGGGAGGCCATTTTATATGCAGGGGGCATCAAGGTGGACTGACCACCCTCCACCTTTATCTCATGGAATAAAAAAAAAAAATGTTTTAATCAATTATTAAAACTTCTGGCTCGAAGTTACAAGCTATACATCCACACCCCTTACAGGGCTGCCAGCTTTTCGGCTTAAGCCAGAATTTTGGCTTGTTCATGTTTTGGTTGAAAATCTGTTATTTTATTTCATTCCTTCACAGGCCAGACAAAATTAATCCTTGTGTTGCACCCACGAACAAAATAAACATAAAAAGTAGATCTATGTATGTTCGTGGTACAGAACATAGGGCTTTTCCACATTTTGAGTTTTTGTATGTTTGTAGCTTTTTTTTGCGTCGTAAATGATCAGTTTCATGCAAGACAAAAGTTTCATGACAATTAGATATTTAGTTCTTTATAAATAACATGTTATGACATCGTAATGACGTCACAAGTTATTTTTTACAAATTTGTGCTCGTAATCATGACCTATTAAACATGTTACAAAGTGAAATAAGATGTTAGCAGGATTTGTTTGCTAGGCATTCCTTCCTTGCACTGGCATTCCTTCCTTAGAGTTAAAGAATATAACCATGTTAACATCGATTTACTCACTAGGAGTGGAAGTACCAAAGGTCAGATTCCCTGTTTTCCAACAAATCCTGAATTTGCCGCTCTAAAAGATGGCCCCACTACCAATTTCCTGACAAAAAAATAAGGTTTCAGTTTCCCTTTTGGATTAAACTTAACTAAAAGTGTTTCAAAATCGACATCCTTGTTCACGCTGCTTTTTTGTTTTTCAATTTCACATTTTCATGAACTGGAATTGTGCCTCATGTTTCTCAGACAGTGAATAAACAAAATTACACTTGTGATTTTCATTTAACTTTAGTCAATGTTTGTTGTTTTCCCTCTTGTTTCCCGTAGTGTGTCCACACCTCCCCTCTTTGCCCACACTTCAATCAGGGGGTGTATGTCACTATTCAGATGCCTGCCTAGGGGTGGAGTGCTGTCTAGCAGTAGACCTCGGCATCATCAGTCGTACCCTGAGGGCCTGGCTGATTGTAGACCCCTGTGATTTCAAACTGAGCGTTGGATTTGAGAACTGGAGTTACAATGTCACCCTTTTAAGGTATGTAGTTTGTTGTGTCGCCCCAACGAATGTTTCGGGAGACACGTATACCAGTCATCAATTCTGTATGTTTGCCCATCCGTACGTCAGTATGTCTGTCTGTCCGTATGTTAAAGTTTACGTTTAAATTTTCAAATTACTGTCATTGCCAAAGTATTCATCGGAATTCCATTGAACCTTAGACACAAGGGTAATTGAGTACAATGCAATTCACATACGTTTAGGTTACGTTTTTCACAAACATGTATAACTTCTCTACGCTTTCATGGATTTTGATGAAACCTGGATGCAGTGACCCTTGGGTGGGAATTAGGCACAAGTCTTCATCGGATGATTAAGGTGAAAGGCCATGTAGGGGTCATTGTTGATGAAGCAATGGTACGTTTTCCACAAACTTGTATCCAGTGACCCTTGGATGGGAAGACATTTGACTTTTCTTCTGAACACAAAACACAAATATAGGGATCGCCCGCGGAAAAGGGCGACACATGCGGTCCACGGACCATTTGCTTTGTGGGCTATTCATTGCGATCGAAAATGGTAAACATTGAAGCCTGCTCGAAAAATGAAGTTTACTTTTCCAAATACTCAAAATTTTACATGGAGATAAAACTGTGGGTGATTGTAATACAATATTTTTTAAATGTCTGCAGTTACAAGTGGGGCAAAGTGACAAGGGAAAGACTGAGTGATGCCGTCTTGCTCACCTTCACAATCGACAAGACCACAGACAACCGAAACTTCCTCCTCTCCTTCTCTCTGCAACTCTGCATCGCTGGAGGCTGTGCTCCTGATATTGTCATCCTTCAGGACTTCACTTCACCGATACCATTCTGTAATCCCAACGGCACTTTGGAGTGGGCTCAAGACTTGGGTAATCTTAAAATACAGGAGGCACGGATCATGGGAAGGGGGATAGGTGACCTTGTATCCTTTCTAGGCGATTGCGGAAAGCATGTTTTTATTTGTTTGTTCCAAGAATTGTGAACAAAAAGAAGTTTCAAGACCCTCTTCACCACTCGGCATTTGCCTAGATGTCTAGCTAAACAAAATAAATCAACAAAAAATAAAAAATAAAAAAAATGACAGAACAAAATGCAGTCCTACACAAAATTCGAAGTTGCATATTATCGCTATTAATCTGTTTCTGAATAGGTGATATTGGGGATTATGCTAGTGGCCTTGTGGTGAACCGTCTAAGTGTCAGCGCTGATGTTCTCCTACCTCAACCATGCAGTGGTCCACCAGAACAAATCACACCAGCAACCACAGGCAAGTTTATGGCCATAGACCAAAGCACATGCATTATCAACTTTAGATAGATTTGAGGACAAGTCTATCCAAAGTATTAGCAGGCGCTGTGCATTGTGCTTATCTTTAATTCCTGCTGTCAACATTTATAATGGCTTGACTATTTATATGATTATGGTTATTCATTTATACACCTGCATTACGTTTCCATAGAGAGGGCCAATAAAAGCCCACCTATATTGCGTTGGAAGCATCCATTACTAGAGTGGGGATATTTTTCACTTGATCCATGCAAATATAAATATTCATATTCTTAGCCAATCAGAATGCTCCGTCCAAATCTAGTAGCAAGTCCCATGCGGTGTGTACAAAGCAGGGTACAGAATGGACTCTTCTCTACAGTGCTTTGCCCATATTGTTTTTTTATTTTTGTTCAAATGTTTAGTTTCAGCCAGCAATACAAGGGCACAGTTTGGTCTTTTTAACCATTATCTTGTAATACAGTATAAAAATGTTTTGTGTTTTTTGACAGGCTGCAGTTTCCTTGCCGTACCATCAGCTGTCGCACCATTCTGTTCCCTGGATCAGTCCTGTCTTGGGGTTGGTTGTTGCTTGAACTTTGACCTGGGCATAGTTCAGAGGTCATTTTCTGTCTGGGTCAAGCTGGATCCCTGTGCTCGCACTTTCTCATTTGGATTTGAGAAATGGAGTCATGTTGAGACGATTGCCATACAAGTACTGCAGAGTAAGAAATATTCCATTGTCAACCTTTTTGTTTCAAAAGATGTTTTTCCCAATTAAATTGTTCAAATAGTGTAATTAATATTAACCAAAAGACCTTATGATTGATATAGTGACCTTATGATTGATATAGTGATTTTTATAATGAAGTTCGCTCACTGATTTGCTAGAAAAATCCTGCTTGAAACATTTCCCTTTGTTTTCCTGGTTCTTGGTTGGTTCTTCTCCTAAATACTCCGCAATTTGTCTCCTGTCTACCTTTTGTTCTCCTCTTGCGACGTATTCCTGGCGCGTGTGTTGCTTCCATAACAATACAACACTTTCAACCTGTGTGCATTCATTCTGAGACTGGTTGCTTTTTTGTTGGATATATACAAGTGTTCCCAATGTTGTCTCTGTTGAAAGTGAACTTTTTCCAAAGAGAAACTTTCAACTAACACTTGCATAGTGGTTTGAGATCCCTGTTAGAGTTTAATGAGAAACGTTATGGTTATTTTATTTCTTATCTCCCCAGCTCATTCCTTTGAGAAAAACTTGGGAGTTCTGAAAATCAGGTAAGATCGATCATACTTAGGTATGGTATTTTAAAATGCGCCACTATCTAATTAAAAATGATGCTCATGGCGCAAGAACAAATGTTCTGTGACATCGTGCAAAATAGTAAATCAGTAAAATGTGCCACTCTTGCAGTGCATCATCCGTTCTTGATAAAACGGTATCCAATAATAGAAGATCACAGATCAGTTCAAAGATCACAGGAAAACGCAATTCACATGGTTTGGTCTAAACTTTGTAGAAGTACATGTAAGAACAATCATCTCGACAATTCAATACTGGAAGCTCTGTGGTGGAACTTAGTACTAGTGATGCGGGTAACGTATAATTAGTAACATAGCATGAAAGGCAAAAGATACAGTCATATGACAGGTGACGACTTGGTCTAAACGTTTAAGGAAAAAAATGAACCTTTAAGCTAGGAAAACAAGTAAGATAGGGGTAATATCAAACAAACTGTATGAGTATTGGAGGTTCAAATTTGGAGGCAGAGACAGATTAACTTGAGCAGTTTTTCCTAACGGTCTGTCTCTGACAGAGTCGAGTAGCCAAGTGAAAGGACCGGTCACTGAACTAGATATTCCCTCCCCAAGGACATGTAGTTGACTGCAAGTTCTGCCGCCCACTCACGCTGCCAAACAACGAGCCAATTCTTCATGACCCATCAACCTAGGCCGGTGCGGATTAAGAAATAAAAAATGGGGGCCATACAATTCCTTCCCGTTACACATTTAAATATAACAAAACCAAGATATTGTGAGTACTCTGGAATTATTAAGTCTTCAGGGCAACTTTATATTGAGAAACCGATGAAAGATTAGGAATAGCGAGAGGCAGTTTGTTCCAAATATAAAAAGAAATGTCACCGATGGTATCAGTGACCAACTTATGGTCTGCTTCACACTCAACTTCAGACCAAAGACAAGCAGAAAGCAACCAAGGATAATTTTCCTTTACAGGAAGGATGATATTAATAGCCTATGTCTTTCATACCTCTTTCTTCAGCAGTAATACTGATCACCAATCAGTCCAAGACAACTGGAACGTGTTCGAGTCTGAAATAACCACATGTAGCTTGATAAATAAGCACATACCTTCTAAAATGTCCAGGGCCAAATCAGTCAAAACCATGGGTTACAGGAAAAGAGACAGCTGTCAAAACAAAGACTGTATAACAAAGCAAAGTCAACCCAGATATCATGTGATTGGTGAAACTTCCGTACCTTCCAGAAGGAGTAACAGAAGAAATGCACATGAAACTATGGGTCATTCCAAAACAATATGTTCAGTGATAATTCTGATACGTCAAACAAATCATTCCGGAAATGTATTAATGCCAAAAAACAGGGGCCTACTACCATCTCTTCTTTTAAGGCAGGTGGCAAAGTTATCTTTGATAGCAAGGGAAACGCGACTGCATTTAATTACCAATTCCCGTCTGTTTTCACATGTGAAAGAGTCTCAACCATGCCAGAGCTAGGCCAGTCTGTATTCCTTTCAATGGACCATATAAATGTCACACATGATGGGGTTATCAAGCTCTTGCAATTTTTGGAAATCCAAAAGGCAACTGGGCCTGATACTATTCCTGTCCGACTGCTGAAAGAGTTCACTGATAAGATTTCTCCAGTCCTGACAGTCCTAAGGACACAGGCATTGTTCCATCAGACTGGAGCGTAGCTAACATTTCACCCATCTTTAAGAAAGGAGATGGGAGTGTGCCGTCCAATTATTGCCCAGTCTCAATAACATCAATTTTAAGCAAGCTCTTGGAGCGCATCATCTTCAGCAACATCATGGAACATTACAATCAACATCACATTCAACATGGTTTTCGTCCAGCGAATTCCTTTGAAACACAATTGATAATAATGACTGAAGATCTAACCAAGTCCATCAATGATTATGAACAAGTTGATGCCATTGTACTAGATTTTCCAAGGCGTTCGAACGTTTACCACATCAACGGCTCATTCGGAAACTAGATAACTATGGTATCAGAGGCCCTCTCCTTTTGTGGGTAGACAATTTCTTAACTCAACGATCCTAACGGGTTGTTATCGATGGTCAAACTTCTGAGTGGGTACCCATTACATCCAGGGTACCCCTGGGTACCGTGCTGGGACCACTCCTTTTCGACTCATTTATCAACGATTTGCCATCTGGTACCACCTCCAATACGAGCAGCAGAATTTTGGAGTCTTTGTAGACGAACAAGTCGGTTGCAGGGTAGATGATTCAATAGAGAGTTACAGAAATCCAAACGGTTGTAAACAGGGCAGGCACACATGTAATCAATCAACTGCTTGAGTGAGATTAGCTTTTTTAAGGCAATCATCACATGCTTGAAATGGGAGTTGGTCTGTGGGGTTACAAATTAAATTCCCTTTTAACTGCTCTGACTCTGCAACTGCTTAAAAACCGTAGTTTAAAAAAAAACACCTTGTGATGTGGTATTTGAGTGCAAAGATTGGTTATTTATATCACACGAGTGTGAGTGGGCCACAGAATAATGTAATGCGTCTGTGTCCCATATGCTACGAGCGTAAGTCCAAGTGGGATAACGAACTTATCTTTAACCTTCAAAGGGCCGGGTTATTCTGACCATCTCTCAGCCGGCTCCCCCGCCCCCAAGATATCAGGCATCGATTGGCGAAAACATTTAAATCTCACAACATGCATTGATTAACTCATCATAAACATACCCTAGACATTTCATAACTCTGGGTCAAAGGGTTTTGGACTTATGCTAATTAATTATTCATATGTACGAATGGTAATTCTGCTCTGTGTACACGACGTTTACGGGAAAATTCAGTTTTCATGGCGTTTTTCGTAGCGCCGGTTTCGCTACGCGGCAACCCGTGGTCCATTTTTTATGTTTTTGGTATCAAAGGATGCGCAAAGCTTGAGGCAAAAAAGTCACAACAGTTTGGGTAGCGAAAAAAATTCCAAGGCTATCATAGACAAAGTTGGTGAGGGGGACAGATTCCACCCCCCCCCCCCGGCTTTTTAGGGTTAAGAAAACTTGACACCCAGCAAAATGCAACATGCAAGCTGGGATAATTTTTTAGTGGTCATCCATTTACAGCTAGGCGTGCAAATGTTGCACGTAAACACATACATCTTGGAAAAGCACAATATACTGAGTGTTATTGACCATGGTAAGAGGATAATATCACACTAATCTTGCAATGCATCGACCAATAAGGATTGAGGATTCAAGGTTGCTAGAAAACAAAAATCCTTCTCACACCTACTGTATGATATAAGTGACAGACTTCATTGCTGACACGGGCGTTCTAGCCAGACGGACTTGTGGGGTGATAGCATTGTGTTCCCATTATCCCTTTTTCTAAAGATTCCCTTCTGGGGTGATGTTTTTCCATTGTGTAAAAAGTGGGGTGATGTGTCCTGAAAGGAACATCACCCCACAAGGGTGGTCTGGTCAGAACGCTTCACTCAGCGTACTGTGCCGGTATGTACATGACAGCAGCGTATGTCAAAAACACAAAGAATCCTTGACAGCGCATTACTCAATGCATGTGATGTGAACAATAAATATGTAAACTGAGGCTCTGGGTACCTTTTTTTCCCTCACCACAGAAAGAACACTTAGTTTCTTAATTTCCATGCTACATTTGACTTGAACACTCTTCTACAATTGTCTATATGCACGTAGGTATGATGTAGAGCGGCCCCACAGTACTATCTATGACGTGGATCTGGACATCAGCTTGTGTTGGCAGGGTGTGTGTGATGAACCCATCGTCATTCTCAGAGATGTGATGTTCTCAGAATCTGAGTGTGCTGTTCAAGGAGGAGGCAGCAGCTCGAGGAGGAAGAGAAGAAGTGCGGACGACCTGTAAGTGGACCAAAAAAGTGTTTAATCAGCACATAAGCTATTTCATTTCAAAAGTAAGGTGGACACTGCACACTTCTCATGAGCAAATGTGTAAAGTTAAAGGAATCTAAAAAAATAATGCAGCGTGACGTTGCGAACAAGAAAAAACTTGTTGATAACAAGTTTTTTTCTTCAGAGGCTATTGTTGTTGTTCGCATAAAGAGTCAAGCCCTACCTTTTTTGATATACATGTTATGAATTTTTATATGCCTCCACTATCTCTCCGCAATCTCCTACACTGTCACAGGTAAAGACCAAAATGTTAAGCCCAAATTTATAACACTGTATTGCATTGTATTTATTCCCTGAAATATTCATAAATTGTTCAGTGCTGGGAAGGTTTTCGGTGGTAGGGGGAGTAACAGGCAGGGTAAATTCCAGAGCCGTATATACAGAGACTTGCGACAAATTCAGACTCAGCGTGCGACTACTGTGTACGAATTATATATGTGCACTGATGCTTAATCCAAATAAATGGGTCTCATCTTTCTCATTGACTTCATTTACCTGTCTCTAATAATAGACATAATTTCCGACTTGAGTACCTATTTGTCGGTAGATACGTGCCTTATATAAGACTCCGGTATTATTATTAATATTAAGAATAACTGTCATTCACATGGTAAAGGATGTCATTTTAGGGAAGTTTTAGACAGTTTTTGTTAAGGTGGCTTGTCAAAACTTTTCACCATCACATCTCAGACCCACAGCCTGATTTGGAGGTATTCATTCTTATTACCATTTTCTTGGTGAACTCCATGTAATGCTAGTGAATCTGCTGAGGGAATAGACAGCATGGAAGACCTGTCAGCTAATCTTATAGACAAGGCCAGGGCCTACTTTAAGACCATTCTTAGTGAAGGTTCCACCTCATATTCAGCGGAGGATAACGCCATGACTAAGCTGCAGCCAGAGAAAGCCGTCAAGCCCAGTAAGTTTCATTCTTATTAGTCTGAAAAGAGTTTTGGTAAGACCTACAAATATTTGTATTAGCGGGTGTTGGACTCAGATGTCTTAAAGGGGATCTAAATTAACTTGGTGTAAAATTTTGCCATTCACTGCTGCAATTTATTAATGGATCAGCGAGAACCTGGCTGCATTAATACAGTCTTGCCTGACATGAAGTTTACGAATTTGAAAATTATATGCCAAGTTGTATCCCTGGGAAAATGTATTTGTTTCAGTAGACCAGGCCCGTTGCTATTGAGGCTCCCGACGAGCAACTCATCCCCCTTATGCCTGGAGCTGGCGACGGGGCTGCAATAGAGTCCATGCACAGTGAACTCCCATTAAGTCAAATTTGGATAACTCAAATCTCCATTTATCTCTGAGCAATACTCTCCATACCCCGTCAAGAGAATAGGATTTTATGTGAATAAATACCTCCGTTACTCGAAGTGCCGGTACTGGTACCTCCATTTATCTTAATTTTTTTCGCTGCCATTGTCATTGGAATCCAGCCCGTAACCGCAACAAATCCTAGCTTTCCAGTAGGCCTGATTGCTACCGCAGGCCCAATTGTAGCCTGCAAGCTGGCAGGCCAATTGCTGGCTCTTTCGGTAGCCATGTGGCCACGTGGAAAACATTTGCAGAAGCGCATGCAGCAGAGCCTGATCGCTACTGCTGGCCCAGTTGCAGCTGATGCGTCCTCTTACGATTAAATAGGCCCGATCATGTGAATGCAAATCGGAAAACTCCGAGCGTGGTGCGGCAATATCCATAAACAAACGACATAAAATAAAGAATAGTCACACGCAGTTACACAAATTGAATGGTTTATTGTTACGATTATCTGCAGAGCAGACGCGTTTAGGTAAGAACAAAATTGAATTTCCGTAAAATTATGATTTGTGACTAATAAAATTCACAATCAGAATTAAAAAAAACAGTCTAGCTTTGTCATTGTTACAGGGATTGCTGAATCAGGGACAGCAAGCCGTCGCTCCATGGGTCTTCTCATCTTTGGTGATGAAGATGAAACTCCAGTTACCAGGAGAAGAAGAAGGGACCTGTCACTCTCAGTGACTACAGGTAATGATACAAGATGAATGGAATAATGAGTGATGAGCAGGAGTCTGTATTCCATGGGGGTTTCTATTAACCCTGTTTGTTTCTGCATTCAATAGGGGGTGTTAAACAATAGAGGAAAATTGGGTTCCCAATTCCCGAAGGTCCCCAATTTGGCGATTTGTACAAAACATATTGGAGGTCGTCCTAAAAAGTACAAACAAAAGAGGGACAATAGGGGGTCCCCGATTGCAGGCAAATACACACTTGGATGCCTGTATAAACACTGCCTTGTGGGCTACCGGAACAATGGGAGGTACCCCACAAGGACATTTTGTGACCTTGTGGGGTACTAAAGTGGTACCCCACAAGTTTTTCACGAAATAGATATATAGATTTTACAAAAAAAAATAGGAATTTCAAAGGTGGGTTGATCCCTCCCAAATTAAAGAGTTATAGAAAAGGGATATTAAGTCTGAATTTCAGCCCATGAAATTAATTCTGGTTAAAATGTGAGCATTTTGAGATAAGTGCGCGACATTGCAAAATGTTAGTACACGAGAACAAAGGAAGTACCCCACTTCTATGCCTGTGTAAGGGTTGGTGTGTGTGAACGTATAAACACTGCCTTATGGGTTATTGTGTGTGTGGGTGTGCAAGTTTATCGTGTAAATCGAGGACGCACACTTGCAACACCATCGATAAATCGAGGGCAAAAACCAAATGGAGGACTCCTCGGTTTGGAAAATGTATACAAAACCAATGAGAGCTGTTGTGAAAAAGTTAGTAGTACAAACAAAGGAAAAGGGAAGAGGAGCAAAAGAAAATCCTCGATTAACACAATAAATAAACATGCTAGTGCGTGCGTGTGTTATATTTTGGTTAGGTTAACTCATGTCAGCACGATAACTTGAGAAATACTTCACTTAGGAATTAGAATTTTGGTTTCTGGGTTGTTCTTTGTAGTCTTATAAACCTATTCCTTTTGGGGCTGACAGGTCAAAGGTCAAGGTCACCATTTTGCTAAAACAATAGAAATCTTGTCAACGTGGTAACTTGAGAATTACTTTACTTAGGAACTTGGAAATTCGGTTCGTGGGTTGTTCCTGGTAGTCTTTAAGAAGCCTGTTGCGTTCGGGGCCGACAGGTTAAAGGTCAAGGTCACTATTGCTAAAACAATAGAAATGTCAGCACCAATGCTTGAGAAATACTTCATTTGGGAACTTCTAATTTCGTTTGTTGGTTGATCTTGGTAGTCTTATCAAGCCTAGTGTTTTGGGGACCAAAAGGTCAAAGGTCAAGGTCCCTACTGTAAAAACAATAGAAAGGGACACTGACTGAAAAAAACTGCAAGCGTGACAGGGGGATTGCGCAAGTCTCACTTGCAGTATTTGTTTACTATTTACTAAGCGTGAATGCGTAGTAGACTATCGCACTAGTTACCAGCACGCTAGTCTACTACGCATGCACTTTAGGAAGCAATCGTGGAACGCCTGAGCATCACTCTAACAGGTTGCAGCGTAGCTTCATTTGGGTCAGACATGCAGGGCTTTAATAATGATTCTCCAACCTGAGATGTAGCTGAAGCGAGAAATTAACCTGAAGTGAGAACATAATGAACTTGAAGTTTGGTAAATGTGTCACATCTGCTTGGTTACAGGTACAATTACATGTCAGCACTTTTAATGATGTACAGTCCAAGTGGTTTGCCTGTTTTCTTTCAGGAGGAGCTAGTTTGTTTGATCTTAGTCTTAGTCCTGGCGCTGACTCGGGCACGTGGCAGGGAGATGTCATTATTGGGGGAGGATTAACACGTATGTACATTTCAGTTATAGATCTTCAGCAAAAAAAGTAAAATGCATTTCTAGTGTACCAAAATAAGATTTTCCCTGCACAAAAAATCTCTCAGAGACTCAAGTTTGTTGCCAAAACATGTTCTTGTAAATGCATTAAAAGGTCAATGTTTTTTCCCATATTGTCATTTGTCAAACGTCACATGAGTCATTTCTCATTAAAACCAGTCCTGGCACTCATTTCTTATACAGATTTTTTTCACAAGGGTATAATTATTTCAATTTATTCAGTATTCAAGGTAATATATAACATTTGCAAACATAAAAAAACAAATAATTATGAAATACGTTACTTGACTGTGAGTGAATAATAGTCTCAAGCATCCTATAAAATCATGGCACCTTGCGTGGTCATTTTCAAGAAAAGTGGAATGTTTCTATCAATTTCCAAATATGGTTTGGCGACCATCTATGGAAAGAAACTGACTTTTTTTTACAAATACTGCCCCCAAATTACCAAATTTAGTAGTAATCGGCTACACTTTCGTGAACGGGTAAAAGCCAACTAGTGTGGTTCCCTGACCAGAAGGTCAGAGAACCAGACTTCAAGAACAACCTTTTTTTCTTGATTTTCCAGCATCTATGAGCACAATTTTCTAAACACGTCAGTGTTATTTGCTATAAAATATTAACCCAAGATCCATCCTTTTCTGAAAAGTTAATGATGTATAGTACCGTTAAAGTGCAGGTTATACATTGAAACGTCTTGTGATAATATGAAACGGATGCGGGATATAGATTGTGATGAGTTTTTCATATCCTTGGTGGTAGCGGCTTTTGCCGATCCTACGGAATTAGGTTTAATTTTATTGATCCACTGACCTCCAACAGAGAAAGGTTTGGATGCTCTTTGTGGACGTATTGCCAACATGACCATAGGGGAGTTAGAAGCAATGCTGGATCTTCAGAATATCGACCCATTGACTGTGGTTCAGTTGATGAAGGAACTACGTGCTCTCTTCAGAACATTTGTAAGTTAAAGTTCAAGTCTCTTCTAATCTACTTTCCGTAAACTGCAGACGTGTTCATTGGATAACACTTTCATTTGTAATTTTTGGTTTGCTTGTGCTAAACAGAGAATCTTAATTCAAAGGATGTATGCAAGCACAAAAGCCATAATCCTTGCTAACCCGCGAAATACGCTAAGAGTTGGCACTGAACATTTTGCCGTTGTGAGCTTTGATTCTTTGCTAATGGTAACAGAGCCAGCAATTTGAAACCCTTCATTTGCAATCATATTTTTTTTTGATTGGAAGATTGAGGAGTTCATCGATGTTATCCTCAACGGCAAGGCAGATGACAACTTTAAGCAGTTCGATGTCATCCTGAGTGGGACGATTCATTTCCCGAGAATACATGCCACGTTTTTAAAAGCGAGATGGGGCATGCTGGTCGGTGGATTTATCTACCTAGAATTTAGTAAGTACCATCATGAAGCGTGCTTAGTTTATAAATATGATTTAACATAAATTAACTAATTGCTCCAACTTTTAATTTTGAAAAAAATAGTCAACTAGCAAAAAAAACTGGTCTCGTTACCTGACAACAGGGATACTTATTGTGAAGTGCTTTGAGACCTTTGGTATAAAACGCTTTTCGCTTGAAAACGAAAAAGCATTGTTTCTGTTCTGATTTTTAAAAATCTTTTTAGCTGTTTCGGTGTACACACCTCAACAGCTCTTGTTTTTGTTATATTTTACTCTTCCCCTCCCCCCAAACTTTTTCCCATAGGAAGCGTGTTTTCGTTCTAAAGGTCACTTTTGGACTTTTTTCAAGCCTATCGACTTCAAACCTGGCACACACTTAGACCACCATCTAAAGACGTATGCCGAATCATGACGTCATCACGTGTTACGTGACGTCATCCTAAATGTGCATATTTTAAGGTCCTTTATCTACAGAACCGGATGTACGATTGGGTTCAGACTCGGTATGCAGATATTCCAGGACGTTGTATAGACAAAAAATGCAGTGACGCAACGATGATGTCATCATGTGATTTTATATAAATTATAAATGTTTTGACCTTTTTAGCCAATCCCATCAACGGAACGTGGTAAAGTTAAAATTCTTTTTGTAAAAGGTTTGTTAGGTCATAGATAGATGCACAAAATTTCGTAAAATGTGTGACGTCATCAAAAACGTTATTTTTTGATTCCATCGAAGGGTATGTTTGATCGTTATGAAACTGGTGGGAGGGTAGGTATTGATAAAAGAATTCAAATTCTGAAGTGAAGTCATCATCACGGCATCATCTGATTTTTTATTGGCTGTTTCGGCACTTTTGCCGAAACAGCCTTTGTTTTCGTTAAGATTTTTGGCTTTTTCGCAATTTTGCGAAAAAGCCTTTGTTTTTGTTCTCATTTTTTTGGCTTTTCCGCAAAGTTGCGGAAACGCCTTTGTTTTTGTTCTCATTTTTTTTTTTTTTTTTGGCTTCTTCTTTTTGTCGCCTAAACCCCGTAGACTTTGTGCACGTTTTTTTCTCAACGCCACTTTTGGCATTAATCTTTGTCATACATCATTCAAAGTTAGCATAGCATAGTCCCTATAGCAAAGATGTGTCCCGAAGATTGACGTCATGGTGACGTCATCGACTAATTTATTATAGATTTTTGAATATTTAATTTTTCCCATAGACTTTGTACACAGAAATTTAAAAAAAATTGTCGATTTGCAAAGGGCATTTTTGACTCTTTGCCAGTAGTTCGTTTACACCAATCTTTGTCCAAGCAACGACCCTAATTTAAACAACATTGTGTAATGATGACGTCATGATGACGTCATCAGGTGTGTATTTATAGGCAATTAAATTGTGACACTTTTAATATTCAAAAATGCATAAGAAATCAACCGTACGCGTCCGCAGCATTTTGTTGCTGGCAAGTGGTAGAATAGGTTGAGGTCTTTATTTCATTCAGTGTGCGTGAAATCACGTGACCCTTGCTTCCGGTCGAAAAAGGCCCAAACCGGAAGTGGCTTATCATTTAAAAGTGGTAATAGATATGAACTTGCTTTTAACGGTGTTAGTCTTTTGGCTGACAGTATTCTTCAAATCATCTACCGATGACGTCATGCAATCTTCGAGCGCCCTCTAGCGACAGGTTGAAAATTAGCAAAAATGTATTTTGAATAGATGTCTGTGGCGAAGTTTGTCGCAATCGCCTAAATATTGGTGTATATGATGACCTTGACCCAATTAAGACGTGTGCGAAGTTTTAGGCAAATGACGTCATCAGACCGGAAGTTACAATAAAAAGACCCTTTTTCATTTGAAAATTCCTGAAAAATCAACCATGGCAGTTTTTATATTTGTTTTTACTTTAATTGTCGATTGAAGAGTAGGTCTAAAACATGTTTCGAGGCGATAAGCAAACTCGAACATACCCTGCGCACGCTTAAAACTTCACGTTGACAATACCTCTGCTTCAAAACATGCACAGGACAGGACGTCCACAATGTACATGTATATGTACATGCACGTACGTTGTACATAGGCACATACATCGTATGTCAGTCAGCCTGCAGCGCACGTGTTGCTAAGGTCAAATCCTGTCCACAGTGACCGTTTTAGCCGATTTTCGGCTAATTTGACAGATTTTATGTTCATGCATGCGCATAGACAGGGACGTATTATAGCACTCTTGGCATTAATCTTTTTCAGATATCATTGAAAGTTTGCATAAGCATAGCTCCTATAGCCAAGACGTGTCCCGAAGAGTGACGTCATGGTGACGCCATCAAGTGATTTATTATGGATTTATGAATAATTAATTTTTCTCATAGACTTTGTACACAGCTTTCTCCACAAGTCTTTCCCTATACAACACTGCTATATCTTACTGAGTAGTTCTGAACTTCGGCTGAGAATTACTATGAGAAGGAAAAAGAAATTATATTTTTTTTACGCCTTTCATTTTATTGAAAATATTCCCAAGAGTTAGAATAGCAAGTAATATTTTATAAAAATGTTTCAGTTTAAAGGAAAATCACGCATTTAAAGGTGCAGTTTTTCTGCTGTGGGATTTTTAACCTATTGACTTTGTACACGTTTTCAAGCCACCATTTTCATATTTTGGCGATCTGGAATCGTCATCAAAGTTACAGCCAAGGAAGACCCTCATACAAAAATTATGCCAAGACTATGACATCATGATGACGTCATCATCAAATGATTTATTATGGATTCATGAATAATTAATTTTTCTCATAGACTTTGTACACAGCTTTCTCCACAAGTCTTTTCCTATACAACACTGATATATCTTACTGAGTAGTTCTGAACTTCGGCTGAGAATTACTATGAGAAGGAAAAAGAAATCGTATTTTTTACGCCTGTCATTTGATTGAAAATATTCCCAAGAGTCAGAATATCAAGTAATATTTGATAAAAATGTTTCAGTTTAAAGGCAAATCACGTATTTAAAGGTGCAGTTTTTCTGCTGTTGGATTTTTAACCCATTGACTTTGTACACGTTTTCAAGGCACCATTTTTATAACTTGGCGATCTGGAATCGTCATCAAAGTTACAGCCAAGGAAGACCATCATACAAAAATTCTGCCTATACTATGACGTCACGATGACGTCATCACCTAATTATTTATTGATTTTTGAAAATTTACGTACATATTGTGAAGTCTTATATCTACAGAAATGTAAGTCCGATTGGGTTGAAACTTGGTATGTGGCTATACCAGGATGTGTTATAGATTAAAAATGAAGTGACGTCATGATGACGTCATCCTGAGATTTTATATGAATATTTATTTGTTCGGACCTTTTAGCCATATCTCCCGAACGCAACATGCAAAATGCAAAATTCTTTTGACAGATTTTATGTTCATGAATATTCAGTGCATATTATTGATTAAAAAAAATCATAATGCGGAAAAGCCCTATGTTCTGTTGCAAACAGACAAAGACCTCTAGTTTTTTCTTTCTTCTTCTTTTTGTCGCCTAAATCCCATAGACTTTGTGCACGATTTTTCTGCTCACCACTTTTGGCATAAATCTTTGTCATACATCATTCAAAGTTAGCATAAGCATAGTCCCTATAGCAAAGATGTGTCCCGAAGATTGACGTCATGGTGACGTCATCGGCTATTTTATTATAGATTTTTGAATATTTAATTTTTCCCATAGACTTTGTACACAGAAATTTTAAAAAAATTGTCGCTTTTCCAAGGGCATTTTCAACTCTTTGCCAGTAATTCATTTACACCACTCTTTGTCCAAGCAAAGACCCTAATTCAAACAACATTGTGGAATGATGACGTCATCCTGCGTTTATTTATAGGCAATTAAATTGTGACACTTTTAATATTTAAAAATGCATAAGAAATCAACCGTACGCGTCCGCAGCATTCTATTGCAGGCAAGTGGTAGAGTAGGTTAAGGTCTTTATTTCATTCAGTGTGCGTGAAATCACGTGACCCTTGCTTCCGGTTGAAAAAAGCCAAAACCGGAAGTGGCTTATTATTTAAAAGTGGTAATAGATATGAACTTGCTTTTAACAGTGTTAGTCTCTTGGCTGATAGTATTCTTCAAATCATCTTCCGATGACGTCATGTAATCTTCAAGCGCCCTCTAGCGACAGGTTGAAAATTTTCAAAAATGTATTTTGAATAGATGTCTGTGGCGAAGTTTGTCTAAATATTGGTGTATATGATGATCTTGACCCACTTAAGACGTGTGCTAAGATTTAGGCGTATGACGTCATCAGACCGGAAGTTCCGTTGAAAAGACCTTTTTTTTTCAAAAATTGCTAACAAATCGATCCGTACAGATATAATCTTGAATTGCCCAGAAAATGATAGCGAACATTTACCTCAACAGTGCCAAGTTCCCAGCTTGTCAAATTGTTCACACAGTTGACGCGATGTCGGCAAAAAATACCCTTACGCAAGTTGCGGTAGAGAGCTGTAAAACATGCACAGGACTTCCACAACGTGTATAGCACATGCACGTACGTTGTACGTACGCACATACATCGTATGTCAGTTAGCCTGCAGCGCACGTGTTGCTGAGGTCAAATCCTGTCCACAGTGACCGTTTTAGCCGATTTTCGGCTAACTTTGACAGATTTTATGTTCATGCATAGTCAGGGACGTATTATTGATAAAAAAAAAATCATAATGCGGAAAAGCCCTATGTTCTGTTGCAAACAGACATAGATCTCTAGTTTTTTCTTCTTCTTTTTCAGCCATTTTGCCCATAGCATTTGTACACGTTTTTTTGTCACCGGCACTTTGGGCACTAAAATCAATCCGATTGACTTTATACTTGGCACACACTTAGACTAGCATCTGAAGTTGTGTGCCGAACATTGACATCATCGCGACGTCATCATGAGTCACGTGACGTCACATTATATGCGATTTTTCTGTTTTGACCATTTTCTAGCAGAATTCGGCTAGATCTGACAGATTGGGCTATATCTCAGATTAGGTTGAAAAATGGTATGGACCTAAACCGGAATGTGTTATAGATGAAAATTTAAGTGACGTCACGATGACGTCATCACCTGACATGTGACGTCACAATATAGGTGCATACTTTGAAGGCCTATATCTCCATGACTACAGGTCCGATGGGGTTGAAACTTGGTATGTACCTAAACCGGGATGTGTTATAGATGAAAATTTAAGTGACGTCATGATGACGTCATCACGTGACATGTGACGTCACAATATGAGTGCATATTTTGAAGGCCTAGATCTCCATGACTACAGGTCCGATGGGGTTGAAACATGGTATGTACCTAAACCGGGATGTTTTATAGATGAAAATTTAAGTGACGTTACGATGACGCATCACATGACATGTGACGTCGTCACGTGGCATTTGACGTCATATTCAAAATTGCATATTTTGAAGGCCATTATCTACAGAACTACAGGTCTGATTGGGTTGAAACTTGGTATGCACCTAAACTGGGATGTATTTTAGATGGAAATTTAAGTGACGTCATGATGACGTCATCATATGACATGTTACGTAGTATCGAATGTGCATATTTCAAGGCCAATATCTACAGAACTACAGGTCTGATTGGGTTGAAACTTGGTATGTAGTAAAACCGGAATGTGTTATAGATGAAAATTGAAGTGACGTCACGATGACATCATCACGTGACATGTGACGTCATACTAAATGTGCATATTTCGAAGGCCAATATCTACAGAACAACTGGTCCGATTGGATTGAGAGTTGGTATGTACCTAGACCGGGATGTGTTATAGATGAAAATTGAAGTGACGTCATGATGACGTCATCATTGGCTACGTGACGTCTCGTTAAAGATTAATAGATTTGATCTTTAAAAATCAGTATAAAATCGACCGTGACAGACCTGAACATGATTTTTGCGGGAATTGATAGAATTATCGAGGGTCTTCATTTTTTAAATATGTGCAAATAAATCACGTGACCTATTCTTCTGGTTGAAACCGGAAGTGCTTTGTTATTTAAAATTGGTGAAAGACGTGAACTTGCTTTCAACGAGGTTTGCTCTGGCTTAGTTGATCTTTACCATAATATTATAGTAATAGATGAAACTTTATGTGACGTCATCATGACGTCATCACGTGACATGTGACGTCATAATTCAAAGCCCTATGAGAATGGAATCACATGTTATATGCCACCATTTATTATAAACAGAACTACACATCCTTCGTTGATGGAACACATGTCACATGTCACAAAAAGCTACCGAAACAGCCCTATGTTTGTCCACAAACATATGTCTAGTTAATTTTTAAAATTTTAATAGTTTCTTCTAATTACCAAAAATTACATAAAATACGATCCGATCGACTTCAAACCTGGCACACACTTAGACAACCATATAGAAGTTATTGGTAGAAGTGCTATAATATTTGTCTCATACTATCGATGTTTCTTTTCCTTCTTGTTTCAGCCATTGAAGCAGGAGGATTCTTTGACATGGAGATACCACTGTCTGTTGCCCTTGTGTCCATGAAAGCACAGGTAGTATTAGAAAATTGAGACTATTTCATTCCCAGTACATTATTGCACAGGTCTTGTCGTTATAAAGATTCAAATTACACTTGAAAAAAATGAAAAAAAATAAACAAAAAAAATAAAAGATATACATCCTCCTAAACCGTCCTGATTTCAGGGTTTTTTTTCTCAAAATGGTGATTATCATAACTTTTCCTTTATTCCCCTACATGACAGACAAGAATAGGTTGATATCTAAATGGTAAACAAAACCCTGCAGGCTACACTGCTATTTAATGCATGAATTCTGGTGTATGGCCATTTTGATTCTTGTCCTATGTCACCAAAGAGGTCGAGGGATGTTTCATACTTGGGATATGGGAAACAAGCTCTTCAAGTTTGAGATAGAATATTCTGTTTTTATTTCTCAGTGGCGGCATGAAAGCTGAGCGCCAGCGCTGTAAAAACATTTCTTTTATCGGAGACTTTAATTTCAACATGTCTTCTCTTTCTGGTGGCAAACACAAAAACTGAACCAATCTAATCTAAACCACAGGATGTTGGCTATTGCCTCACATTTCCAACCACCTTTTGGTGTCTTATAGGAGTATATTTATATGCCTTTATCTAGCCTACACTTTTACAGACCCAAGACCGTGTACAGTGTAGCGTGTACTATAGTAGCATGCTGAGTATATTAACAAGTTCTATGTACATGTAAATGCTTTAGAGATATCCAGGAGCAGTTTTACTTTGACACAAAGAAGATAATTTGAAATGTTGTATATCCTTATACTTTCTATAGGCTGGCATAACACCTATGGTAGGTGCATATGCACGTGCTAGCGTTTCTATTGGATTCATCCTGCATGGTGAGTTGGAACTGACTGCTTATATTCTACACACTAGCTTCCCGACTGTAGCTGAGATTCTCTTCTCCAAGTTCCCACTGGATGTTGGGTAAGTGGAGTGGGAATTTGCAATTTAAGTATCCTGCAAAACCATGGGAAATTCTATTATTTTATTACACCTGTCACACCCCAAGATAAAATTTAATGTTTGACATAATCCTCACTGAAGAGCAATGACACCTTTTTCAAGCATATTATTTAAAAATTAAACACAGAAAACAGAAAAAATGAGAATTTAATACCCTTCTTTCCTTACCACAATATCAGATTAAAGATGGATATTGAAATGATTCCTCTGATCATTCGGCTGAGAGCTTTGGTGACGTTGAAGATCCCTTTCTTTGGAAGAAAAACTCTGTTCAAGAAGGACATATGGCGCTACCAAACTCCTGCTATACACAGTAATATATTTGCTATTCACACCAAGCAGCCTGATACATCCCCTCCGGAGATTGAAGCATACTCAACACCAGTGGTAATCAGTTATTACATGTACATCCGTGCTATTTTTTGGTCATCCCTGACCTTTGGCAACTTTAAACTTTGATCTTTGTATTCTCTTTCAAATGCTCCAGAGTTGTACTCAAGTCCTGGAATTTCAATCAGAAACCAATCACAAGTCATTTGGTATCACGTAAAGTTCTATTCAAAGGAAATTTGGCAGACGTATTCCCTTTTAAATTATGGCCCTACTTGTGATTTGACTTGTGATTGACTTGTGATGGACCCAGCTCAAACACAAGTCTGGAATAGCCTTTATCCAATGAAATCCTGGCTAGAAGAGACTGTAATGAGCCAACCCTTTAGTCGCTGATGCATGTAAATCATCCAGTCTAATTATTCCCTGGAGTGCCCAAAACTGCCACAGCACTCTGTGGTTTTATGAATTCATCAGTCGATAAAACACAATTTAATACAATGTTGTGCAGTTTACTAATGGGTTAAAATAAACATGCTTACACACAGAATTATATGGGAACATCAGGCATTCCCAGATTGTTTCCATGTTTTGTTTGTTCCGGTTTGTACATCGGTGGCTCTTTTGAAAATTGGTATCTCTCTTGAAACATTGTAACTGTTCCTGGTTTTTATCTGATTCTCCTTCAAAAGATAACGTCTTTGTTCCCGTATCAGTTTTTGAAGCTTTGCGTGAGTAATTACATTCAAAATAATTCAAAGTAAAAGTTCAAAGTACAAGTTCAAAGTACTTCCAATTATTTACAGGGATGTAAGTCCTCCTGCAGTGGACCTGTATAAGGGTACGCGGCATCTTGAAAATAATAGTGAGGCAAATAACTCAAACAAACATGGCGGTAAATGGATTACTAACCTCGAATTCCCTCGAAACATCAATCCAATTCAATTTCAACTCAATTCAATTCAAATCAATGTATTTTTAACCATCATGATTAAAAGCATGACATTTCTACATCCAGTGTGTTAAAAACAGTTTATTTTCCGTTTTCTAGGTAGGTCATGTCTCATTGTATTTTGAAGAAGGATCTTAGAATATAAAGGCCTCAAGCAGTGGCCGAACTGAAGTTTCCGTGTAGTACTCAATTGTAGTTAATGCTGCAGCACCGCCCTCAAACTTCAGACTTTCTGTTTTCACATTTCCATCCATGGCGTTTATTTGGTAGGAACTACTTACATTACAAGGCTATCCGTAAAATGTCATTCGCAAAGGACTTGTCGTTTCCCATAAATAATTAAGAGGAACTGGAGCCTGATGCGAACATGAAGACATTTCTCAATGGTTGAGTACTGTACCTCAAAATGATACGGGCCTTCGAAACACCCGTCTATTAGTTGAACTGATTTGTAGTCTACTTACACGGAAACTTCAGTTTGGCCGCTGTTTTAGGCTTTATATTCTAAAATGCAATAAGAAATGACCTACATATGGGTCATTCTATAAATTTAGGGTTCAAAGTGTGACATTTTTCCTGTCCCTGTTACCATGGTACTTTGTAATTTGCCATTCAAGTATCATTAAAAATGACTTCAAATGATGTTTTAGTTGTTGGGTAGGTAGTTCGCTGTTCATAATCACTCTTGGAGGACGACTGCATTGAGGAGTGAATTAAAATCATAAATCATAGATGTCAGATGTAACAGGGACAGGAACAAAGTGGACCCCAAATTTATAGAAAGAATTCACATTGATGTTTCGAATGAATTTGAGCTACCATCCATTTATAAGATTGTCAATCTGCTGTGGCTTGGCGAGAGTCATTTTTTCACTGTAAACTTTATTAATGCCACCATGTTTGTTTACTTTATTTGCTTCGCCTTGATTTTCAAGCTCGCGAACCCTGATAAAGGTCTATTATTTGGCACCAAATATATGTGTGTATATGTATTTCTGTAAAAATGTCAAAGTCCACTCACATCTCTGTATTAAGTTTTTCCCCTCGAAACTCATTCTTCTTTTTCTTTATAGCAAAACTCAGTAAAGTTGTTTTAACATTTTTGTCCCATGAAGGACACCTCTGGATCCACTAGGTGGAGTGCAGCAGGCACAAACTTGTGTGGTGTTGAGCAGGTTCCTGGACTAGACTACACAGAGCCAGCCTTCCAGCTGGAGATGGTAGCAGCTGATGACAAGAGCTTGGTGACGTTCTTCTATCAGGTTGGGACAGCACCTGGAGGAAGTGATGTGGTCTCCAAGACAGAGTTTGGTGGACCCTCAGCTATCATTTCACAAGTAAGAACTACCGTAGGTCAAGGGAAAGTTTGTGCCCAAGGTCTTAAATCTTGATTTAATGAGGGAGAAATGTCTGGAATGTATTAGTAATGGACCTGTGTAAGAAAATGTTTGCGATTTGTCAACTTATTCAATATTTGTCATCCACTTGATGTTATAGTCTGGATTGTAATAAAAATACACTTTCGCCTCAACTACATTCAATATTTGGTGGCATGGGCGACTATTGCGTAGGGCGCGCTCCCCTCTTACCACTGTGGCCATAGTTCGAATCCTGAGTGCGGACCATATTGAGTAGAGTTGTGCGTTGGTTCTCACCTGTGCCACGAGGGTTTTCTCCAGGCCCTCCAGTTTTCCTCCCTGGGGAAAATTCAAACACTTTCAATCTTAGGCTGTGCTCTGTGTTCATATATATCGGTCGATGTGGCCGGCAGCCATAGGCGCCTTTACATGACTCCGGCTCGATCACGTTATAGCCGCGTCCTTTGCAATTCAGCTTCTCAGCTGCGAGTAAGAATGATTAATTATAACTATTAATTTGTCATCGGCTCAATTTTGTAGAATAGAGTTTAAAGTACATGTAGCACACTCTATGAATAAATGTTGTGTTATTCATCAGATGGAATTTGTGTAGGAGTGATTTAAATTTAATATTAGGTTTTGCCCTTCAACGATGTATTTATATCAACACTGTATTAATTCTCAGTGTTGTCCCAAGTGAATCTGAGAAAAAAAATTACTTGGGTGGGACTCGAACCCACGACCTGTTTAGTGAAGAACTACCAATCCAACGTCAATCCCCATAAAATACTGAGTCAAAGATGATAACCAAACAAATTTCAACTTATTAATTCCTATAAAAACTTGAATCCTATTCTGAATTGTTATTGTTTATTTTACACGATTTTATTGAACGTATTTATAATGAAAGCACAGGGTGTTTTCTACCGGCAATACTGTGTGTGCATGTTGTATGACAGGTGAACATGCATGAAAGTGCATACTGATATCATGTAGTACGAACAGTGTTGGCAAATATAATATCCATGTACATGGGTTGACTATTCCTCCTATTTGAGTCATTCAAGTTAATTTGTTAATGAAATTAATGAAAGCCCATTATTGGCTTCAAGAGACACATGCTTGTGGTATTCTCCCGATTTTAAGGGCTACATGTACCTTGGAGCAATGACGGCAGTCAAAAATCACTGGAGCAAATGACAGCTATGCCATAAAATATTTGCTGGACACTGTTGTGTTTCCTATTGCAATTTTCTTTTGTGTCAAATTGCCCTCTTTACTTCACAGTATGAAAGGAAAAATATGAAAGTAAGAAAGAGTATAAAATTAACTCGAACAATTGTCAATTGTTTAGTCCTTATTGCCGTATTGTTTATAGTGTTTACTAACACAGCTTAAACATGTATATTTTTAGGGACATTCAGATTTTAACATTTCCTTGAATGATTTTTTTTTTCTGTCCATAGATTCTTCTAGGAGGACATCCTCTTTACTTCACTGTTTATGCTATGAACAATGGTGGAGGCACTTCCACAGCTACCTGCAGCCTCCCGACCTTTGACATCACCTTGCCGACAGGTCGCATCACGCCAGACTTCACCTCCACCAGTCACCCGTACATTCTCCGTGCATCGGCCGTGGTGTATGATGATTCCGTCCTCTTGATGCAGAAGGAAGGGGTCGGGTTCGGCCCTGAAATCTGGGGCGATCAGATTGTATCATGGAATACCATAAATATCACCGAGAGGCCGAACCTTGGCGATTCAAGTAAGCAGAATCTGGAAGATTTACTTATCTTCTGCATTAATTTATGATGCTAACCAACTCCTTTGAAATAGGTTTTGTACTATGGCATTGAAATGGAGGGGGAAGGCAATTGTGCCTTGGTTATTCCTTGAAAATTAGAAGATATGATGGCATACCAATAAGAATAACATACAAAAAGCAATGTTTCAAAACTGCAGGGAAATGGTAACAGTAGTGTTTGAGCCACTGTTGCGTCTTAGTGTTATCAAATCCAGTAGAAACACAAAGTCCTTATGAAGAGTTTCTGAAAAGTGAATTTCTGAAACTCCTTAAATTATTGTACCCTTATTACCTGAAACAGTCAATGACTTTCACTACTTCACCGCTGCCAAGAAAGGCCGCCTCATCTCCAAGCCAACATCGATCATCATCCATCGCAATCCCAACTTCTGTGCGCGGGACTGCCTGGCCCTCCCAGAAATCAAATGTCTGAGTATCAACTACGACTATCAAGACTTCACCTGTGAACTGCTGGAGGAGATTGAGGGTCATGGGGTCGAAGTTCATGAGGTAAAAACGAAGTGTCACAAAATAATTTGTATCTGCACATAATTCAGTTTGTTGAATACAAGATGGACCCGTGAATGATATAAAAGTATTATTGTGGTAAATCATCTTGGTTTTTGCATATGTTTTGGCAAGTTTGGTTCCTTTTATTTGTATCAGTTAACTTTTTTATCAGTTAACTTCTTTTTTTAACGCGAAAAGCGTTAAGTTCTGAATAATGTTCTTGTTTCCCCCTTTCGTTTTGTTTGAAACCCAAACCCCATAGACTTTGTACATGTTTTGCTCTCTACAGCACTTTTGGCGTAAAACAGTATTGTTCTTTTGATACTTAACAGAGACAAAGACCATATGACGTCATCATATGTCATGTGATGTCATCTTAAAGGTGTATATTTTCAGGGTCCTTCGATATCAGAAATTCTGTTGATCGATATATGTTTGAACTAATATCGAAAATATTCGATATAGTAAACAGTATTTCCAACGCACATCGCAAATTTAATTCTTGCTGACCAGGCAAACAAACGTGTATCAGGCAAATTGAAATGTACGCAAAAAAAAATCTTCTATGGCCATTTGTCATACCTAACATTTCTCCAAACAATTTTCTCATGTCAACAACAATAAAATTTCTGCTGTGTGACGTATTTTTAATTTTTTTTTTAGAAAATCTTATTGTCATGGAACTTGGTGGAACGCTTGAAAATGTATACATACTAAATCCAAAGTGAGGTCATGATGCATCATCGATTGAGTTTTTATGATTTTCAATTTTTTTTATAATTTCAATCTACTCACATAATAAGTCATTGTTTTTGCTCAGATCAACTCTAAACTTGACATCAACTAAGACGACATTATAAATATGTGTATTGACAAGTGCCGTCGTCATTACGCCATCACAGGCCATTTGACATGATCATAAAGGTGTAGAGTACTAAAAGCCCGATTGCATTGAATCAATGCATGTTATTAGATAGAGATGTTTTGTATATAAAATAAAGGTGACGTCATTATGACGCCATCATGTGATTTTATATTTTTTTGCAGTTTTGATGATCGAAAACAAAGAACATCAAAGAAAATGGATGAGAAAACAAAGCATAAATGTTATAAAGCTTTCAATTACGGAAAATCCGTCCGGAAAATCCGTCGGACATAAATCTGTCCTTGTTTGTGTTTTGCTTCCAAGCAATCCAATAGGCTGACTGTCATGAATTTATTATGACAGTGGTGCTGGTGTAAATAAAACCATCAATCCCACAGGCAATTTAGCTGCAGTCAAATATTAATTAATTATTTTATACATGGTCACTTTTAATACATGTTCATTTCAGCATGGGTGGGATGTGAACCCTGGAAAACAAAGGTAGAAGCGCAAGATCAATCACCAGATTCCTGTCTCGTAAAGGATATGTATTCTTGTTGTGGATAAGATCATTGAAACTTCTCTTTCATTTCAGTCTGGACTCTTCACCCATTATGAGCGGCTTGGTGTGGGCCACGCTGTAGAGTTCAATCATGAATCACTCCAACTCGTCCACAACAACCTCTACTACTTCAACATAGAGCTCCTGAACTACGTGGCGTATGAGAACATCATTTCATCCGTCGGTATCATAGCGGACTTCACGACACCAGAACCAGGGCTGATCGTGAATGGGACCAGGGATGAAGTGGTGCGTGAAGCGTGTGTGGAGTTCACACCAGAGGAATGGGAGAGACGATGCATTGAAGACACACCGCTCATGAACCACCGGTAGGTGCTGCTTAAAGTGATGCTTAGAGTGAAAATGAAACTAAGCGAAAAAGTAGGATGATATCAAGGTAATCAATAAATGACACAAATAATAACTGTTGAGGAAATTCTGCTATATAACCAGTAATTTAAAATTCAGTTACTGACAAAGGCTTAAGTTTTAAATCACAATAAAAAAAGTGCTTTTGTGTATGACAAAGGTGCATACCAGAAATGAATTGACTAATTTGAAACCATTATATAATTTCATACAATTTGAAACTTTTTTTTTTTTTTTTAAATAGTCAGTTTTGAGTATTAACTAATCCTGTTTTGTGTGCCACTCTGCATTGACTTCTTAAAGGGACTTCCTTTCATGACAATTTTTTTTTTTAATTTGCTTTTTGACAGGTTGATAACTTTTCCGAAATTTGAATGTTCATTTGTACCTTCTGCCTGGTCAATGCAGTCTTGTGTATGTCACATCAATGAACGCAAATCTAGTCATGAATTCAGTTGTATTTTGTGACATTTACTCTGACATTCGATATCTTATGACTTGATTACAGCTATATTACAGATGGTCCTGGTTCTATGACAGTGTTTAATGGCCATGAGGAACTTGTTGACATGCTGTATACAAGAAGCAATACCTTCATGGCAGGTAAGGATGGATGGTACCTCATAGGAAAAAAAGGCGCACTTGTTATATCGTAATAGCTTAATAATAACATGGTGTATAGTTTTCACGTCGCTAATTTGACAATTTATAAAAATAACATGAGAAACAAATGTCCCCGTCATATTTGCCTGGAGCAGTAACATTATGACCGCTAGGTATGGGAGCAGTCTCATCAGAGAGGGATAATGCCTGTGCTCTCTTGGTACAACCTTATAGCTCTTTTTAATGTTTCTTAGTGGCTCATTAAGCACAGCCAAGAAATTTGGCCCTACAAACACAGTGTCACCACAGCACTGTACTTTACTACCAGACATGTCTCGACAGCTGAACCTTGTCTTGACTGACATCTTCCTAAGTAGCATTCTCATTTCTTTACAGCCAACTGGGAAGGTATCCATGACAATGAGACTGGTATCCATGGCTACACCTGGTCCATTGGTAACGCTGTCTGTGATGATGATGTCAGCATGCATATTGATCCTCATGCTCATCTGTTTGATGAGTCTGAGTGGACTCATCAGGGTCTTGTTGTCAATGTCAATCTGCCAGGTACATCTGCATCAATTATCTAATTGACCATGATGGAATACAGGTAGTGACTGCTTTCAGTGGTATAGTGAAACTATTCAACCAAGGGGTTCAATTAAGTGTTCTATATTGATCCTCCTGCTCATCTGTTTGATGAGTCAGAGTGGCCCCATCTGGGGACTTGTTGTTTTCCATAGTATTAGGCATTCTTCAGTGGAACATGATAGGATACAACTATTGACTGTTATGAGTGGTAAAGTGAAGCTATCTCCCAAAGGGGTTCCATTGCGTGTTCTATGTTGATCCCAAATGCATGCTCTTTTGTTTGATGAGTCAGAATGAACCCATCGGAGGACTCGCATGTTAACTTCAATCTGCCCAGTACTTTGTCCTTCGTTCCCAAGTGCTGGAACATGAGAGAGATAATAGGGTATCGAAGCCTGACGTCAGCTGTCTTTGTTCTGGTTTGCTCTAATTCGTGTGCTAATGTCTTCACACGCTTAATCTTTGCGTGTGAACTGGAATATTCGAAACACTTCGGAACTCTGCTAGTAATTGTGGCTGAGGGCATGTTGTCACACTTCGCAAAGTTTTATCTCACAATAAAAGTTCTTGAAATATTCATTCCACGAGAAGTTTAGGTGACTGTTTGGTAATGTGTAAATTCTTCTTTGCTGATAAATGGGGCGCTTCACCCCGATTAAGACTAAAATCACTGAATCACTGGTACACTGCCAAAAATAGTTTTCCTACAATCAGAACAAATTTATTTTAACTTATAAAGGTATCTTCATGAATCCAGCATTTGTTTATATAAAAAAGGAACAAAATCACATCTGCCAATAAAGTTATTACCAATGGTCAGCTATATTAATATCTCACAAACAAAATGCCCAACTGCAGTCCAAGATAAATGGGAGACTTTTTGAAGTTTCAACGATTCGGACTTGATTTCAAGATGGGTCACATATTGTGTAATGCAAATTATGTTGCTCAACAGATGGTGCGTATTACATCACTGTACGTGCTCTCAACAAGGTAGAGTTTGGCGGTCCTATGGCACTCACTGTGTGTCACAGCACCCCTCTGATTATTGACAATACTCCGCCCATCATTTACAGCATCGATGACATTACCTATGACTCGTCCAGTGGTGTAATTGGATTGAAGGTCAATGCAACGTGAGTTACTTTTTTTTTCAACTTGTAACAAAACTTGAAGATTAGTCCAGTGGTGAATCAATCAGTCAGGAATTGTTGATAGTACTATAAATGTGTATCTCTTTATTTTGACATGTAGTTCTGTGTGGTACTGAGAAGAACGAGTTGAATTAAATGTTCACACCTTGCGCTGTTCATCTTTAAAAGAGTATTTCTTACGTTTGAAAGCTGAACTGAAATGAAAATTGTTCACTCACGCCAACCCAAAGATAAAGTAGTCAAAAAAAATCATGACATGGTGTATTTATTTTGCACTATGCAGAAGGTTGTTGGTTTAAATCCGTCTATAGTTTAAAAAAAAAAAGCCGGTTAAGGTTTTGTTCTTACATTAGGCAATAAACAAACGACAGCTGCAACCAATTACTGTGGCTGTGGCTTTCGAAAGTTTGTCATAAAATCTCTCTCTTTGGCAGTGTTCAGCTGCCCTCAAGTCGACTCTGTAAAGACACAGATCAGTCGGCGACTAACTTTTCAGGATCAAACTGCGCCTGAGCCACGATTGTCGGAAACATATTAGTCACCAAATTGTTGTTGCCCGAGTGTAATTGCTATGACACTAAGACGATCGGAATCAGTCGGAGCTAAAAACAAATCAGCAGTTGTAAGAGTAGGAACATTTCAACTTCTATGACGTGTCCGACTTTTGGGAATCAATCACAGTCGATCTGTGTTTATTTACGACACCGTGCGGCACGATGTCTTAAACTCGTGCTCGAATAAAGATCATCTTTTTCATTGTGTAGCCAATCAGCACACTACACCAGTGCTCTGCGTTCTGTGCCAAATCTCGCAATACGCGCCATTTAAGAAGATTGCTTCCCACTACTCGCGAGAGGCACATACCACACCATAGCGGGCGGGGTGTTTAAAAAAAACATGAAGGATAAAGGTTAAACAAAAAAGTTGGAAATTTATAATTTCTGACTTGTTTCGACTTTTTGAATCAAAGGTGTTCAATGCGATAACAAGATATGTTTAGTACCATATCAGGGGAATGCGCGCTGATAATGGCCCAAGCCGAACCGGCCAAGCACATACTTATTCCATTATTGTTGAAGAAGTCTCATGACTGTCTATGCCATGGAATCATCATGGATCTTTGCGTATGGGGGACATGAGCATGGTTACGATTATTTTGTGTCGAGATTCCGCTTGTTCCAAGAAGATCAAACGAATTCACAGTTTGTTTACCTTATTATTATTATTCTGCTTGATGCCAACGGTTCCGTCACAGCGCAAACAAGTCGGCGGCCGACCTGAGGCCGGTTTAAAAGGGATTATTTTGCTGGAGTCTATAATAATAACATTTTTAACTTTCTTTGTTTGAAATCGAGCAGCGATCCTGAGTCCAATCTGGTGGAGTATCACCTAGCAGCAGGCAGGACACCCAGGGATAAATCACTGCGTGATTGGGAGGCTCATGTCTTGGCTGAACAGCTCTACATGGACTTCAAGATACCCAATGGCATACCCTGCTGGGTTAAAGTCAGAGCAGTCAACAATGGTAAGAAAACTTTCACAAGGTTAAACACTACCATAATAGATGTACACAAATTAACTTGATGATAATGTTTGTTTATGTTAATACATGTCTTTGTCTTTTTTTAGTTGACCTACGCACCATAGTCCATGCTGATGAGCCAATTCTCGTAGACGACACTCCGCCAGTCGCAGGAGACTTGTTTGATGGACCCTACGCCGGTGAAGATCTCGTGTTCACCAAAGACAGAAATGAGGTAATGGACTGACTCTCTGAGTGAATGATACTGTTGAACAATTATAGAGTATTCATATTCACCCAACTGAAGCTGAAGGCGATGGAGATGTATACAGTTTTATATTTGGTTTTGCTAACATGGCTAATTGCCAACGTATTTATATCACTGTATACTCGGTGTTCTCCTGGGGCTTGCGCGAAAAAAATCACAAGCTTACCCAGATGGGACTTGGACTCACGACCTCCTGCTTACTGGTGAAGACATGAACCCACGACTGGAACCCATACGACCTCCTGCTTACTAATGTAGACGTCTCACCACTCGACCACTAAGCCTGCCGGGGTCTGCTGGTTGGTGTAATTGGATAGAGTTCATTGATACTACCTTTATAAGAATGCCTTATCTGTGAATTAACAGTTGGGACTGTTTCTTTATTATTATAAGGCACAACTGCATGCCTTATGTTCTCACTGCCATAGTAAGAGGATACACACTAATGCTAAAGGAAGTGCAAATAATTAGAGAGAGATTTATTTGAACGTGAGTCCGGACAAAAAAAAATGCCATGCTCTTACAAAAAATTACATACTGTATCTGCCATAAAGGAAAGCTTAGTTTTACTTGATTAGTGGATTACGTCTAATTTTTGTTTTACTTCCTTGCATTGTTGGTTAGATTTGTGCCAATTGGCACAACTGGTTTGACCCTGAGTCTGGGATCTTCTTCTACCTATGGGCGGTGGGGACCCAGCCTGGCCTGACTAACGTGATTGACTTTGTGAAAGTGTCTCGTCAAGAACACGGCGCCTGCTCTGGCTACGTGACCTTACAGCACGGGGAGATGTACTACTCAACACTTACAGCCTTCCATGGTGGATATGATAAACTCAACGTGTCGGCTTCATCAGATGGAGGTGAGTGTCATTGTCAATACATTGTCACAATTGTAATTATTCTCATCGTCATTAAATCATCATTGTCATCATTGTGATGGCCATCGTTGTTACAGTCACAGTTGTTACCACTTCATCACTATCATTATCATCACTATCATTATCTTTAAAATTACAATTATAATCATTGTCATCACTATATTGCAGTCAGATTATCATATACACCATTGTCATCATAACTGTCTGTTAATGTTCATCATCACCAATATTCAATATTAGCATCATCAAAATTATGCTCTAATGTGTAGCAATTACTATTTAACTTTTCAGTTTACTGGCAATCTAAATCTGCTGACACAGGGTGTCTCAAAAAATGTTTCAATCAATCCATAGATATTAAAAAATACTAACACTCTCTCTTTTCAAAACTTATCTATATAGTCTAAAGGTGTAGTAAATATTATAACACCTCACCCACATTTTCTGTGTCTTGATTGGCCGAGAGCGAGTCACATGTTACTTTCTAATTTTGCTATCTTTCTGTGCACGGCCAAAAGTACTATGCGCATAGCAACCAAAGTACTATACCATTAGCAACCAAAGTACTATTTCCACGGCGCGGTATTTGTGTGCAAATGCATGCTGGTGTGCGCGTTGCGCGTTGTGCGTAGCGCGTATTATTCCAAAGAGAGTGCGCCGCAGACTTGGGTTCAAACATTTCGTGAAGGGGTAGTTTTTAAGAGAGAAATACATTTTCCACCAATTTTGTATTGAAATTGAAGTTTATTTCAGCTGTGTTCAGATTTAAATAATTTAAATACTACAATTAAGCAGAATCTGTGGGTGAAGTGTTATAAAACAAATATTGAATGCTTTATCTCGTGGTAAAGTAAAACTAGCCTCCCTCGGTGATCCATGGATCATTCTATTTTCCCTCGGCTTCGCCTCGGGAAAATAGAATGTTATACAAATATTGAGTGGCTCAGCGTGGAATGGGAGGAATATTATCGCAAGGTAAAATCTGGACTTTTCCATTTCACGAGGCGAAGCCGAGTGAAATGGAAAAGTCTGGATTTTACCGAGCGATAATATTCCTCCCATTTCACAATTTAAAGCCACTCAATATTTGTTTTATATAACTGACATATAGTTCCTTGTCATTTGATATATTTGAACTTTTTTTCTATACAAAACTGGAGGAAAATGTATTACTCTCTTGCAAACCACCCTTTTACGAAAATGATTGAACCCAACGCTGTAGCGCTGGCTCTTTGGAACAATACGCGCTACGCGCAACGCTGAACGCACACACCAGCATGCATTTGCACACAAATACCGCGTCATGATCCTAACTGTTGAATAGTATTTCCCATTCCCCATGGGTGGATAGTACTTTTTGAGCCGCGGCATGAATGGGAGCAATAACGAATGTCACGTGATGTGAGTTCCACCAATCAAATGACAAGGATCTGTATGTCGGTAATATAACCATGGATCACCTTGGGAGGCTAGTTTTACTACACCACTCGAAGCATTCAATATTTGTATACTCTACACATTGGTCTTTATCCCATTTCATTTGGACTCCCTACTTCAGAGGTACAGCTAATTATAAATAAAACGACTTGAATTCCAAGCTGGGCCACTTGCTATCTTATGACACATACCAAGAAGGTGACAAAAATGGCATAAACAGATTTTGACAATCCTTTATGCAAGCTTTGCCCTAATCTCACAACAAAAATCCAGTCAAGCGTAAACAAAAGAACAAGGAATACGATTTGGGTTTCTCTGGAAAGGAAAGGTTGTTTGGCTGCTACATCTCGTTTTAGACTCGCTATGTAAAGACGTCTCTGTAATATGGTTTTGCCATCATCATTTTCAAATTACAATCATCATAATCCTCATTTTTATCTCAATCCTCTATCCTCGCAAAAATAGGTGAACTCAGCCCATAAAAGAAATATATATATATCCTCACTGTGGCAGTGTCGAAAACATTTAATTTGTGGATTTTGTTTACATTGTCACAACGATGAATAGCCATAGTTGCAAACAAATTTGTCCATTTCAGACACAACCCATTGTCATCATATTAATATAACCAGTCATATGGGTCATATATTGTTATCCTCAGTGACTGTGGATCTGACTCCACCGATACAAGGCAGTGTCTATGATGGCTTACTGCCAGAACATTTTGGACGTCTCCTCAGTTATTGGTATTTACATCATTGTATCTTTTATCTCCTCAGTGTCTGTGGATCTGACTCCCCCGATACAAGGTAGTGTCTATGATGGCTTACTACAGGGACCTACAGATCTAGACTTCTCCTCAAAGCCAGCTACGGTGGAGGCTCAGTGGCAAGGATTCTCAGATCCTGAGTCTGGTATCGAAGACTACCAGGTTACAGTCTATCGCAAGCGTGATGACAGGTTAACATTTGCTTGAAATAATTTGTACTTCCATTTAATGTTAAAGTGGTGCAGCATAGCCACAATATGCTAAAGTATTGTACAAATTGCGATAAAAGCATGAAACCTCCCATGTTGGTTCTTCATGCCATATGAAACATTTTTCAGATATGGAAGCATTTCATATTTGACCTCTGGCGACCTGGAGTGGTAAAAGAATCTGTGGGTCTGTTTTGTAGTGGAAAATTTGCATATGTCAAGCAGTATTAACTCGTTTGCGTCTGCCCTCATATATAGGAAAATTGAGATTGGAGGTCATGCAAAAAAAAATCATTGGGGTCTGACTTCATGACGCGTTGTAGAATAATTACGAAAATACACTTATTTTGCTCTAATAAGACTTCGGTCATGAAAAATGGCATTTGGAAGATTAAACATGATAAATAACGGTAATCAGAATACACAAAGTTTATTGACCTCGCAAAGGTCGTCAGAGGTCAAATATGAAATGTCTACATATCTGAAAATTCATATCATGGCAAGAATACCCCAAATTTAGATATGGGTTATAAAAAGTGGTGTTTTGAATAGTTAATCCTCTTAATATCTATAAATTAAATAGGATGCGCAAAGTTCATTGAACCATTGAAGGCCATCAGAGGTCAGATATGAGATTCCCTATATATGAATTTCTTTCCATAGCATCAGCCACTTAACATAATGACTTGGGGCTTGACACAACATTGTGGTTTTAAGGGTATATCGTATAAATAACTATAAACAGAGTTAGTGCAGTTAATACAAATGTCATTGACCTCTGGAAGGTCATCGAAGGTCAATTGTATTTTTTTTTGCATTTGCTCAATATTTACATTGCATGAAGATTTTACAAAGACTTAGTTCATAGGAAAGTTATATTTTCAAGAACAATAGGTATAAATAGAGTATTCAAAGGTTTACCTGGGGTCAGATATGAAATTCCTCCATATCCGAAAAAAATCGCCATGGCATGAAGAACCATGCTTTTATCACAAAATGCACAATTCTGTCCCCATGCCGCACCACTATTACAGAAGTTACTGTTCTTTGATATTGAATACAAAAGTTGGGGTTTTTTTGAGGAAATTTTTGAATTGTACTGGCTACTTATGTGATAGATGTGTAGATACACTTTTAGCAGAAATTGTTGCGATATAACTGGTTGGAGTGCTGTGGTCCAATTGCTAGGGTGTCTGACTCATGTGCAATGAGTTTTATAAACTTAGAGTTTTATAAAAACAAGCCACTGAATTATTTTCAAGTTATTTCAAGGAAGTGACTCAAGTCGAGGCGAGTTATTAGGTTGAGTCGAGTCGAGTCACAGTGTGTTGTCAAGTCGAGTCGAGTCAAATTTATGCTTGAGTAAATTCGAGTCACCGATTTTGAAAACCCATCTCATTAATTATAGAATGGTAGATTGAACACAAGGCACCAGTTTGTAACGAACATCAAGGACTTAAAATATTCTGCAGGTATCCAATACACAGTTCCTGCTGGACGGTTCTACCAAATATTTATGTAATAGTTTACAAAGAGTGAAACTTCGGTTTTAGCTCTGGTTTGGCTTTGGGTCTGGAATAATGTTTACGCTAATAAGATCAAAACCAAATTGCAACATACGAAATTGTTTCTGACATAGAAAATATATAATTATGTTTGAAAGCATGACAGAAATTTTGCAATTTTGAACGCATTTAAAGTTTGATTCCAGGGCAGCATTAAAGTATGAGATGGGACTGTTAAAGAGTCCGTATGATGCAACGTATATTTGTACAAGATAAGCAGCCACAACTTGACGGTAACGCAAAGTTTGCATGTAAACATTAACGCCTTTGTATCGTAAGTCACTGCTAATACATTTGAACACTTCTTTGAAGACTCAAGTGTTATTAGCCTTGACTCAAGTCGAGTCGAGTCTTCCGATGAGTCAGTTACCAGTTGGGACTCGAATCGAGTCGAGGCACCAACAATTGTGACTAGAGTCAGACTTGAGTCGAGTCATTACAGCTGTGACATTACTGCAATAGCCTCTCTCCACAGTACAAACGGGTACATGTGAGGGTACAGACCAATTTGGACTGATCTTGAGCTCCTGAAGAAAACTGATCTCATGAAAAGGGGTAATACTTGCTGAGTGCTTTGAGACTTCGGTATATAAGCACCACATATTAATATCTTTCTGTGGCGAGAAATTAGGTTTTGTTTAAGAAATGAGGAATTTTTCATTTTGATAATTTCATTCTATTCACCTTGTGTAGTACAAATCACACAAATGAGTTCGAGGTCATCCATGAGACAGAGGCAGTGGGAAGTGAGACAGCCTCCATTGAGTGGCATCACTTCCATCTGTATCACAAGGACCAGGTCTATGTCAACCTACGCACCATCAACCAGGCACTGAATCACATTGATACTCCGACAAATGGGTTCTTGATAGACCTGTCACCTCCAATACTGAGAACACTAGGAGATGGGCTGGTGATGGGTCAAGATGCTGACTTCCAGGTGAGTTAACGTGATCTTGTAGGTCCAGGTGTGAATCATATAAATACTTGAATGAAGGGGTTCTTGCTACAAATTTTAGGAAATGGGATGTTTGTGTATTGATTAGATTTGAAATTTAATGATGTAGTAAATGAAGTCTTGATGGGTCTGACACCAAAACCATTGAAGACTGGCTGGTGATTGGTCTTGCAGGTGAGTTGAATACTGACTTGCAGGTGAGTTGCACAATCGTAATTGCAAGTGAATTCTTCTTTCCTGGACTAAACAGTTCTTCCTTATGTTAGTGAGCACATACAAACCATGGTAATGATGGTCCATTACTGAAGTAGAAACCTTCATATAATGCACATTTTTAAAATTTGAGGTTTCTTTATGTAGTTGTATTCTTCCATTATCTCCCTAGTCGCATTCTGACCATCTTGCTGTACATTGGGACTACTTTGATGATGAGTCTGGCATCGAGTCCTTTGAGTTGGCAATCTATGAGATGAAAGAAGGAAACAAACACAAGATCTTTCCATTGGGTAAGTCCTGCTTTCTGAGATCCAGTAAAAACATTGCAGTTAACCACTATTCCTATTTGATTTTACACCAAGATGAGTGGCTGTAACATAGTATGGCATTTCCTTTTTGTTTTCTTGTGTTTCCAGATAAAAACCCGAATAGCTTTGAACTGATTACTGACATCACGGCTCAATCCCATGTACAAGATGGGCTGACACTGCAACCAGGGGCCCTGTATGTGACGCGAGTCAAGGCCAGGAACCAGGCCAAACTAGTTGCTTCTCATGAAACCAGTGGTATCAAGGTGGACCCTAGCCCTCCTTTGGTGAGTAGAGTTAAGATAATAATGATGTGTATTTAGAAAGTGCACGTTTTAGTGTGTAGAGTTAAGATAGTGGAAGCAGAATGTCATGGGCCAGTGGTTATGGTCCAGTGGTTTCTGTGTTTGCCTCATGTACGATGGTGCGTGGATTCGATTCCTGCCAGGAACGTCGTGTTTTTGCCCTTGGGAAAGACCCTTAACTACAATTGCCTCTCTCCGCCCATGAGTATGTATGGATACGTGGGAGGATAATGGACCGAATGTGCGCTGATATCGGCTGCCACGTGGTCTTGTGGCAAAAAGAACAAGGGTTGATACGATGGAAAGCACTATAGGCATTTATCATTTAATTATGATTTAATATCTAGATTTATTTGATTTAGAGAAAAGGGTCTTTTAACAATTGAGAAAACTTCTATATACTCTCATTATTTACAACAAAACTGGATCGGCCATTATCTTAACGAGTTCTAAATGAATCCGTTTTCTAGTTCGGACACACTATATTTTTAATGAGTGATAGAACAAGAAAGTTGCATCGTTGAAGGTCAGAAGACGAAGGTTGCCAATATTAATTGTCCTAGGACATTTTCGGGACATTGGACGCATTTGACCTTTGCCTTTCACATGTTGGAATGTTGGTGTAAAAAACTAATGTACATTGCTTTTTGAAGTTCTGTTCAAGCTAATTGACTTAATTTGTAGATTATGACTATAGTTAAGTTTCAATCAACTGTAATTGTCAGGACGGTGAAACCTTGTCATTAGTCCCGACACAAGAGACAACCATTGGAAGTGATGATTATCATTTCAATTGACTAGAGTCTTACATACTAATGTAACTTTGTAGTATGTAAAAGATTTTGATCCATTTGATTTTGATTAAAGATGAGATATGTCCGTGGAGGCAATCTGGATGGAGAAGTGGAAGAAGTCATCAATGGATATTTGTATCAGAACAGTCTCAGCACTATCCAAGCCTCCTGGCTGGCTGTCGATGGACAGAGTGGCATCAAGAGCTACTGGGTGGCAGTGGGAACTGCTCCAAGTCAGTATTACTTTTTGTGTGCATGTACAGTTAGCTTTGTGTTCAACAAGCTAGATACACTGGCTGAATATGGCTCCAGTTGGAGACGATGAGCTGTTATATATATATCCATTTTGTTAATTGATCACTGTTCTAAGTGTACCGTAGCTATTTGGGATAATTAATTGCGTGTCCAAAAAAGATACAATGTGTCTAAAAGGTTGGACACAGTCACGTTTTCCTTGTGGTTGATGTGATGATCATCATAGAGTAAGCAGAGTTGTAGTTGAGTCCTTCATATGTCATATCTCATGTCCATCACAAGTAAAATCATTAGTAACAGGAGATGAATTACAAACAAACAAATGCCTTTTGTCATAGCTCAGTAGAATATAATAGACTTAAAACTGAAGGACTTACGATTCTTGTGTATGGAATTATGAGGATGGTTGTCTGATATTTTGATATTTTGTTCTAGATTTTGAAGATATCCAAACTTTCTCCTCCCTGGGCCCAAAGAGCGAGGGTATCCTATCAGACCTGAATCTGCAATTGACCAACATATCAACATGCAGTGAAGAGGTATTCACTGTGGATTGTCAGCCCGTCTACTACGTGTGTGTCAAGAGTCAGAATGGTGCAGGAGCATTCAGTGACGTCATTTGCTCCTCACCAATCAGAGTGGTGGAGGAAGATCAGACAGGTTGGTTTTTCATATTACAATTTAGCAAAATGTGATATGATCACTCTCAGGGCTTGTAAATAGGCTTATTGCCATGTAGGGATACCAGTTTTCCAGCTAGCCGGAATTTTTGATTTTTAATGTGGAATCCGGCCAAAAAATAAATCCTCGTTGCACGCATATATAAAAAAAAAAATTAAAAGGAAATACAACAAAAATCTGTTACACGTTGTTTGATCGTCGCTCATGAGCCAATACAACAATTGGTTGCTTGCTACGTGGCAGCGTGCTAGAATTGAACCTAGTGCACTCGATCAATTGTAAGTTTTTGCATAGATTCATATTGTTTTCTGGCCCTGGTGCAAAGAATTACTTTCTGCAGCCTACTTTCAGTAGGTAGGAGCAAATTGCTTCATCATTAAGTTTGAAGCACGAAGAGGCAATCAGACACACAAACACACACCCGGTCTGGTTGTACTCTACTTCTGTGGACCTTATTATTCCCTTCTTCTATTCCTATTGTTTGGACTTTTAAAAGTTGTCCCAACATATTGTTACTCTTAACCATACATGTATCTGCTCAAAATCAACCAGGCCATGTACATGATGTATCTGACTTTGATTGCTTATAGATATGATAGACCATTTGCCATTGGTGCATTTTTTCGTTGTAAGCAAATAAAGTACTCAAAATCTATACAACTAACCTGATTAAGTTTTAGCTCTGTGAATGTTGTATATTTCTTTGATTATATTTCTTTCATTATATTCTTTGATCTCGTTCTCAATTCAAAATTTGCGGAGTCATGTTTTGTTTAACAGATGAATAATAGCAACCGTGCGGGGGTGTGCGTCGTGTCAATAATGCGGGCACCCATTCATGGATGCGCTGCATTACAAAACCAACTACTAATGGAAATTTCCAACAATGCATCACTTGACGCGTTGTTGGAAATGGCCTTCTTGTATTGTTTTCTTCAAAATGAGAGCTTGCCAGAAAGAATAATTTAAACCAAGTAAGCTTTTCAATAATATTTTTTTCAGTTACTTTTTGGATAGCTGCAAATGATCTGCTCATTTGCTAGCTTTTTAAGGACCTAGACGTTGCAATTTGGCCTTACAGTTCAGTTATGCGTCTGACATTCCCATCAGTTTGGTTTACTTGTACGAATAGCTTAAGATTTTTGCAGATTTAGTAAAGTTCACAGCTTTGGAGTAGTTTGTTTTGGGTACATTATACAATTCCCTCTGCCCACTTTGCTTTTGGTAGGTTATGTAACTGATGGCCCACGTATGGTACAGGATGTAGATGCACAACAAGAGAAAACAACAGTCTCCATCTGGTTTGATGACTTTGAGGTAAAACCTTTCTCTTAATTTCAGTTCTACTGCGCTCTACTTACCCGTAGAGTATTACTATGTTCATTTTTTTTCCTAGAGGATGCTAGCCATTCGCTCAGTTTTATTACCCAAAGTACGGTACCTTGCGGCCCGGCCGCTATACTTCCTCTTTTCTCTAAGCGGCGCTGCGGGAAAGACGTATATTTTCAGAGCTCTCGATTTGCTCATTCTTAATCTCCTCAGCCATTCATTATAGCTTAGTTTATGGTTTTTATTCAACTATTTTGTCATCTGTTGCTATTTCTACAAGTTGCGCGAGATTTTGTGAAATTTGGTTTTCTAACGTTTTCTTCGTGATATTTCTTAGTCATTACTGGTACATTTCGGGAGCGGTCGCTCACTCCCGTTACACGATCTTGACGAGACTGTGTGCCTGACGGAGGCGCCGCACAGGCTGCAAGTAACTCACGCCGTACCCAACTAGCGAGGCTTTGATAGGTTGCAAGGTACCCACTTCCCACATTTACCCGACCATTATTTGACATGAGTTTTCGCACATAATGCAAGTAACTCACGCCGTACCGAGCGAGTGAGGCTTTCTACAGGCTGAAAGTCACTCAGGCTGTACCGAACGGACAAGGCTTAGCACAGGGGAGCGTTGCACGAGTTGCAAGCCACTCTCCCACTTCTTACCGACCCATCAGTGTGATGTTTCGCTACTTAGCACATCCCTCACACTGCACCGAATATTTGGTGTCTTAGTCTTCAAAACGGATGCCGTTATTTAATCCGGCGATACCCTGTTATTTATCCGACAGTTCCGTTGTCACACAGCTGCATTGCTGCAAACGTGTGAGACTTTACACGGGGCGACCGTCGCACGAGTTGCAAGCCACTCACCCCTTACCTACGCTACAAGTTACCGACCCATCAGCATGAAATGTTGCTACTTAGCAAACCCCCCACGCTTTTACCTTCACAACAAACGCCGTTATTAACCGGCAGTTTCGTTATTTCAAAGCCATACTGACCCATTGCAACGAATACTTGGTGTTTTTTATTCAACACGAATGTCGCTATCTAACCGGCAGTTTTCGTTACATCCTGATCATTTTATACGGGCGTTTTTCCCCTGTTCTGAAGTTATGTCATCCACGGGGCCCCAAAGAAGAAGTCGTTGGTGATTTCAGAAAACAGGAACACCTCAAAGATTCACCCAGGTGACGCCCGCGAGGAGCCGATGGACGGCCACGCGACGCGTCCTACAATACCCAGCTGATCCACGGCCCCAATACCCAGTGATCCAGTTGCCAGGACCCCGTCTGCTCGGGCCGTGATTCAACTTTGCTCACCCCAGCTTTTGGTTTCTCTGAGTGGTTTATTAACATCAGAGTTCCAGGCTGCTTCTGGAGTCTCTTTACAATCTGAAGCTGATGCTTCTCCAAAAAAGAAGAAGAAATGCAAGTTGACAGATATGTCCATTGACAGCTCTGTCGGCCACAAACGACATAAATCTTCTCATAAGGACAAAGCCTTACTTCAAGCAATTTACAACTCGTCTGAAACCTTGTCAGCCTTCTCCGAGCAGCTAGACTACCGCGGCTGATCCGGGCTCGTCGCCCCCTTATGAGCCTTGAGCCTTATAAGCCTCCCAGCCGTCCAGACCCAGTTGTCCTCAGCCACAGCCGTCAAGCCGTGGTTTTCGTTCCACCGCTTGACGCCCTGCAAATCCACGGGCCACCTCCAGCCCGTCAGCCTCAACTGCCGCCTACGGCAGCGGTTCGGCTGGCGGAGGTGACTCACCAACAACCCATCACAGGACCTGTGGGAGCCCATTTAACCCATTTCGCCGGGTCCTTGGACCAAATCACTTTCGACCAGTGGGTACTCGCCACCATCTCAGTCAGCTACCTCCTGGAGTTTACGGGTGGACACACATGTCCACCCGACTTGACCGCCCGGCAATTCACACAAATCCCAAGCACTTGAAGATGAAATAGCGGTATTGTTAACAAAGAACGTTATCAGAGTTGTACAAACCCGAGAAGGACCTTCTCCGGGTTCCGTTCAATGTTCTTTCTGGCACCCAAGAAGGACACACAGTTGTGGTGCCCGATCTCGGACGCGTATTTACATGTTTAGATCCACCCAGACCACGCCAGTCTCCTTCGGTTTTGCTACGAAGGCACCACGTACGAATTCCAAGCCCCTCCTTTTGGCTTGTCCACGGCCCCTCAAGTCTTCATCAGAATTGTTAAGACGCTAGCCATGCAGTGTCCTCCATCGTCAAGGTCTACAGGTGTGTTCATTTACCTAGACGACTGGCTCATCATCATCGAATCGCGCCCTCTATATCAGCGATGGTGCGTGATAATGGTTTTGGGTTGATTGTGCGCTCGTTGAATAGAAACACAAGGAGCGTCTCGGACCTGAGACTAAGGCTGCATCCGAATCAACTGTCTAGAGCTAGGTCTAGGTCCGCGCCCATTGAAAATACGCGGGGACGCGCTGACAATAGACGTAGCCGTAGCTCTGGAAGCCCATTTCGGACACGGCCTAACTTACCGTAGAGTGCCCACCCGCCTCCCCACTCTCACGTAACGCGGGTGGGCCATAAGGTACATTGTATCGTGGGAAATAAATCCAAGCGAATGGCTAGCGCCCTGTATTGTATAATGCATAACTAATAATACTCTCTTGATCCCTCATGATGTGAACTAAGCTTCAGTGAACTGATTTTTCATGGATTAGTTTAACAATATCAGTATTATGGAAAGCAAGAAATCATGATAAAAAAAGGAAAATAATGTGGAAATCTGCATGGCTTGTGTGAGTAACTATATGCAGTAACTATATATGGTTCTAGTGGTTTCAGGAAATAATTATTATCTTAGTTGTACATAAAAATTGTCGATTTTTAAACGCCAAAACTGATTTTGCTCAGAAACTATTTTTTATTAATAATTGCAGAGTTAACAGTAGTATGCAACAATGAGGGAATTATCTACAAAAAAAGAGTGATATATATATTTGTTAACTACAGAGCAAATTGCATGGCATCTCTCACTATGAATGGGCAGTGGGTACATCGCCTGGGGGTGAGGACATCCAACCTATGACCTCTGATGGGATAGTGCCTGAAAATGATGACGATGTGCAAGGTATGGTTGCCATTATATAACTGACATACAGATCCTTGTCATTTGATTAGCGGAACTCACATCATTTGGCATTCGTTATTGCTCCCATTCACGCCGGGGCTCGAACATTCACATTCTCCCATGGTGAATGGGATTTACTATTCAACAGTTAGGATCATCCTTGTTCCATGGCGCGGTATTTGTGTGCAAATGCATGGTGGTGTGCACATTGAGCGTTGCGCGTACTGTTCCCAAGAGCCAGCGCAACAGACAGAGTTGGGTTCAATTGTTTTGTGAAGGGGTGGTTTGGAAGAGAGAAATACATTTCCCACCAATTTTGTATCGAAATAGAATTTCATTGTTTATCAAATGATAAGGATTTATATGTCGGTACTATAAAACAAATATTGAAAGGCTTTCAATTGTGAAATTGGAGGAATATTGTCGCTTGGTAAAATTTTGACAGGCTAATCCCTGTCACGTAACTCCCTGAAGGGTTGACATGTGATAATTTCTATTATGAAGGATGTTTGGTGTGCATGCAATGTCCACAGCCTTTTTACATTGTGAGGTAGGATGAAAAAATAGACTAAAAAACATTGGGTGGGAAAAGCGAAGGTGGGATGGTTTGTTCACAACCCCCCTCCCCTTCCCCTTTCCCTCAGTGTAGGGTCTAGTGATGATGTCGTCTGCTAAGGATCAATTATACAGGGTTAGCCCTCGGCTAAATATAGTTGAATGTTGACACTAAGATAAAGTTGACTGAAAGAGCAGTGAAGATTTTTAATTCATCTTCCAAGCCGCACAAAAATAATGATTTGTGCCTTCTCTTGTTCGGAGCAATTGTCATATGGACCTGTCGTTTTGTACAATAGCTTACACAATGCATGGGGGACCATTGTGATTGTATGGTGACTCTGTGCCTTGATTGGCCCATATCTTAATGTAGGTATGACAACATTAAGAGTACTGAAGGTTGATGGGAATTTTCCATTTTAAGTTGAGAATAAAAATTGTGGGAATCAAATTATCTTCAGATAGTACTTGTTTAAAAGTTTTGTTTTATTTCCAGGGTACGTGTGGCCATGCAGATTGGTTGGATATTTCAGCTTGAAATCAATTACAACTTGCTTTTTTATTTATTTGAATCATGAAAAGGGACAATATACAAATACATGCCTACATAATTAAGTCATCCAACATTATGATACAGAATGCGATTGTATATAGCTTGTTAAAATATGTGATGCTGATGCTGGGACATGCAGTGTCATAATGTCTATTTCTTATATTATAGGATTGGCAGGTAAAGGCAAGGCCCAGTCCCCTCTGCCCCTCCAGCATGGAGTGTCTTACTACAGCACACTACGAGCCATCACCAATGCAGACAATGTCTTAGAATCCACCTCCAATGGCTTCACAGTGGACATCACTCCACCAGAGATTATGATCACCGACCTGGGCCTGTATGATGCAAGTTTGGACCTGGTAAGTGGATTATGTTAGCTGTCGTTTAGCAGAAATCCAACATTCTAAGCAACATTCTCACTTTACTACAGAGTGCTTCAACAGGAGGAATGTTGCCTATTGGTTAGGGTTAGCTACTCATGTTCAGAGGGTCAGGGGTTCAAATCTGTCTCCTAGTCATATGTGGTGTCCTTGGGCAAGCCACTTCACCCCACTTGCCTCTCTCCACCCAGGAGTATAAAGGGGTACTGGCATTAGCGGGGAGTAACCTGCGATAGACTGGCATCCCATCCAGGGGGAAGAAAAATGTTCCCATTCGTTTTGTGCTACTGAAACCGGAGATAAACGCCGACCTGATGAGCCACATTGGCTCGTGACAGACTTTACTTTACTTTTACTTCAACAACGCTCAGGAGCTCCAGTAGGATGGACACACCACTTGGATTAACAGTTTCCCGTTTGTGTTATGCAAAGTACATGCACACACAACTAATTGTCATCTGAATGTGCACAAACCCAGTAATACATTTTTGCCTGCAACAGTTGGTTTCTCTTAAAAAAAGTGTACCTGGGAAGCCAAGTCACTTATCATGCTCTATAGACTACGGTCTCTTTGCATTAACAATAAATATAAATGATGCTTTGCCACCACTCATGAGAGATCCATACAGGATCCATTGACTGAACTAACTGCACGCCCCGACTTGAAAATGTAGTTTATGTGGACAGCTTTTTAGAGTTTACTACAGTTCAGTTCCTTTATTAACTTATTTAAGAGAAGGGTACATTGGCTTGGCTTTCCGTATGACACATTAAAAGTGTCCAAGGTTCATATTCAGTCATGGCTTGTTTTTGCTGTATTAACAGAGTTTAGACGGTGGACTTCACCTGTATCAGTCTAACACAGACTCCATCGATGCCATGTGGGATGTGAATGAAGGAGAAAGTGACATCATGACTACTTATTTCTCCATGGGTCGGTACCCTGGGAATGAAGATGTCTTCCCTGTGACTGCAACTAATAAATCCTACATTCCATCAGCGCTGATGACTCCTGCTGACCTAGGTACAATTGGACAGTTCTTGTTTGTTGTCAAATCATTCGGCTGGCTTGAAACCTAAAAGTGGTTGCCAAAGTAATTTGGAGCCAGATGAACATTTATGCTATATTTTTTTAACAATTGTTTGTGTGTGTGTTTTCGCCAATCCCAAAATCAAGTTGTTTATGCTTTATATTGTATTATAGTTTTATTGTATTATGCCTATAGTTTTCTTCGAGTCCGCCTTATCATTTTCTTTTTAATGATGTATAATGATTGTGCTGTCTGCAATATTTTTGTGTCATACTTTTACTATGATTTCATTGGATTTACTATTTGGGAATGTATGCAGGGCCCCAATGATAACCAGTTTCTACTTCGTATCAAACACCTTGGATAAATAATTGTAGTAAATGACTAAATAAAAAAAAATTCTTGTGCTGTCAGACGTCATGCTTTTGTAGACACATGACAACGATATTATGCTCATTAATTTCATTAGATATTTGTTTGTTCTAGGAGTGCCCAATATTTTGAGAGTTCAAGCAGTCAACAGTGTTGGGTTACGGAGAACTATCTATGCCACCAGCTTGACCGTAGATAATACTCCACCTACTGTTGGACAGGTATGGATTAATCAACTCTCTTGCTTATGACAATCAAAACCACAGCCTAATACAGGATCCCACAGTTAACATTAAGATGCTGCACACTAAAGGTAATGTACACTATTTACAAGCATTAACAAATGAAACTGCCAAATTATTATCATGCAGATATGCAACTTTCCCGAAGATCCCCTGATTTCCGCGTTATCAACAATCCAGTCGTGAAAAAATCTAACATTGCTGTGTATACGTATATAAATGCATAACAAACCAGAACACAGACTCAGTAGGCATTCTCAAATAGTCTGGCTGTTTTACGAATGAGCATGTCGCTTTGGGCTTCGTGCACAAGTACCCTTTTAACGGCCAGAAAAAGATCGAGAGTTGGGCGAGACCTAGACTGGTTCTCGGTCCATCCACTGTGTATTATGAATAATTGAAGGTTATTGGGGGCGGGGATTAGTCTGAGAGACCATCTCAAGACAAATTTGAACGCACCCGCACGCTGACAACGCCTGATGCTCACGTGAAGACGCTGTGGCTAATCGCTTTGGCTCATTCAGGAAGTCGTGCGTACTTCGCGCATGAACCAGTGCAGTACAGTACGCACATACTGTGTGTCCCGTACACGAGGCTCTCAAACAGTGGTAAAAATGCGCTCTCTTATGTTGGCGCATGGAGCCCATAGAGCCCTCTATCTATCCTGAGCTATTAGTCTGGTTCCGTAGTTTATTTCATATGCATGACTGCATTGGAATACATACACCACTGCATAGGCAGCATTGGTTGGAAAATCATGGTACATAGTGTAAACTAGTCAACTTTGACATCGTACAAATGTCACAAAAACTTTGGTGGAGAAAAAAGATGTCGGCTATTAAAAAAAAATGCAGAACTTGATCCCCCTTTTTTTGTAAATGTTTGTTCAGCTTTGTTTTGCTTTGGTACAGACTGTGTTGGCCAGTTTCCCTTTTTATCATCCAACTTACGGCTGTCTTTTCCTGTCTGTCATTACCATTCAGGTTCAGTGTCCTGCCTTCATCCATGCCAATAGCGCCCTCTTGTGTAGTTGGACTGGTTTCTTGGATGCTGAGTCTGGCATTGATCATGTGGTTTTTCTGGTTGGGACATCTCAGGGACAAAATGACGTGTTTCAGTCTGATGATCTGCCTGGCTACCTCACTCACTACAGTGTTACAGCAAGTGAGCAACAGACATTTGAAACTAAACATTTGAACAATGGAAGCTTTCTGAGGGTATCTCCAAGAAAGTGCTTTCATCCATCACAGTTTTTTTTTCAAATTATTGTTATTGATTGTCCCCTAATTCCCATGAATGCTGAATGTCAGTGGTGTAGTTTGAGCCATCTCAAGTCCTCATAAGTCACCCAGAACCAAGTTACAAGCTATTTAAATATTCTGTGACAAGGCATTCCTTTGCGGTTATCTATCCCCAGCTACATATGACTGGATTCATCAATGGGTTTATTATTGACTTGAGACCAGACGCGTGATTGCGTTCACTAAAATACCACTGAAAGTTGGTTGTTGACGCTTCCAAATCACTTAAAGTCTATATTCCCCGTGCTCTTCAATAAATTCCATTCTTTTTTCTCGCTTTCAACTTGTATGTTTTTATTTCATTCAAAATTTATTTTATTTGTGGATGTCAGTATCGCTTTAAAAAAAGATTGTGTTTTTCGGCACAAACATCTACTTTACAAGCAGACTGCCTTCCGATCAGTACATTACAGATACTGAATATGGGGCAGAAACCAGCCTACCCTGCCAAATGAAATTCTTTTCAGGCAGCCATTAATTTTAAATTGTAAAGTAATAATTCAATGACTATAAAACAAGGGCTGGTTTGTTTTGTTTTGGGTTTTTTTTGGACGATGTCTCATTTAAAAGTGAATAATTTTTGTTGTGCTAGAAAACAAATTGAAATTTAGGAAAGGAATCTATTTTTTTTCGGGATAAAACTTGAAAATAGCATGGGGAACGCAACTTTCAGAATAACCCGACCCCAAAGATGTTATATTGTTTTTATGGTTATGTCTCAAATGAATGAGCTAATATAACTAACTTTGCTGACAGATCTGAATCTGATTCACAACAAAGTCTACTATGTCACTGTGGAGGCCTTCAACGCTGTCAACCAAAGCACGATGGCATTCTCTGGTCCTATTGAGATTGACGATACACCTCCAGCATACGGCCTTGTAGTGGAGCTATCGGGTGTGCATAGCTTCAACTTCAGTGATCCTATCGAGCTGCCAGAATGGGAGTGCACAAACGATGAGGAATGCTTGAGCTTGGACGGGGAGTGTCTGGAATCGCTTACCCAAATGCAGATCCTATGGCAGCCGTTTACTGACGAAGACACTCAGATCACAAAGTATGAGGTTGCCCTTGGCACCACACCAGGAAGGTCTCAGATCAAACCTTTCTATGAGGTGTCCAAGGACCAGACCTCAGAGCTTATTACCAACATTGATCTGAGCAGTGTCCGTAGAGTCTTTGCCACAGTTAGAGGCTACAATGAAGCCGGCCTGACCAGCACTGCAGTATCCAATGGCATCTATGTCAGCCGGTTCAGTGCTGGACTTCCACCACTCAGACCATTCCAGGTGAAAGATGGAGTCACCGATGTAGACTTGGAAGACTCAGACTTCCAGACCTCACTGAATGAGATGAGTGCATCCTGGGATTTCAGCGGGGATCCATGTCCGATGAGGAAGTATGAATGGGCCATCTTCAGAATTGATGGACAAGAGATTCAACCATTTACCAATGTTCAAGGTAATAACACGACTTTGCCATTGAACTAGACACACTTTTTGCTTAAAGACCATTTTGGTATACATCGTCGGGTGTACCATGAAGTGGCGTCTATGGACTTTGTGCACACTATACGTCACATCATAGTGCGACCGACGACATGTACAAAATATATTATTTCTTGTGCTGTTTTACCATTACCCCAATATTACTTTATTTTTAATAAATGTGATGAAAGAACATGCCATCCACGAAGTCATTTTGTCTAGTTTTTGAATGACTATCAAATATAGCCATGTCTCTATATGGCCCGACTTTAGATCTTAAGCCATTTTCTTCACTCATTCATTGTATGTATGCATAGAAAGAAAATGCTTTATTTTGCTTAACACAAAGTGTAACATTCAGATGAAAATGGATGTTAAATGGGAGGATATATGGTTGTTTAAGGGCATGTAACTTCCGGGTTATAAATCTAATTTTAATTTCCGCGTCTGCATGGATTTATGTTTGACGTAGAGCGAACCTCAGACACCAACACAGACATTCGAATGACAGATGGTGAGACCTACAACACCCTGGTGCGGGCTACTAATGCCCTGGGCCTGGCTGTCACAGTCAGATCTGATGGAATCACCGTCAAGCGTGATCCCTTGATACCCGGCCAGGTCTATGATGGCCTCCTAGTGGGCTTTGATCTGACTTACCAGAAGGAGACTGATAGGATATCAGCAAGTTGGAAGGGCTTTGGACAAGGGATGCCGATAAAAGAAACTGTCCATCACACAGGTATGTATTGACAGAGTGAATGTCGATAGTCTTCTGTTTATGGGTTCGAATTTTAGGTTAAAGTCAACTAGATTAGATGGCTAGTAGCTTGAGAAAAAAAAATGTCTAGACCAGAAATAATTTAATTATACCAGTACCAAAACAAGAAATGCATTGCTGAAGTATTGCCTCAACATTCGAGTCAGTAGGCTCAGGCGTCTAATGAGGAGATTGATGATGGCCAGGGCACGATGACTTAAATGTTAGCTGTTGTCTAATGCTCGTTCTTCTCAACAAACATTTTGAGTAAATCACTCACGAAGTGTGCTGCAAACTTCTCACAGGTTGAGGATAACTAGTGATAGACTGGCATTCTGTTCTAGGATTTACAGAGATGGACTGTGGTGCTTATGTGTAGAGAGACAGGATTTCAGGAAGCGCTTCTTCATTTCAACTTAATACAATACTCTTTAGTATTAGCGGGCATGCACTGCCATGGCAATAATTACCTAATTCGCACATCATCACGACGACTAATTGTTAAAACCTCTGGGGAAAAAAATACAACAAAACAGAAAAAGTACATACACAGAAAAAAACACGTATTATGTTTTCATAAATGACTAGCCAAAGTCTTACTGCTAATTAGATCATAACAAACACTGTTTTGTGACGTATTTTTATGTTGTTGTTTAAAACAATTCTCATCTGCCACGCAGGCGCGGTTCTAGAACCAATATTTTCAGGGAGGCGTGCTGAATTGTAGACCGATTATTTTCTCCAGACACTTAGGCCTCCGAAAATCAATAGGGGGGAGGGGGGGGGGGGCTTATGCCATATTTTCAATGGGGAGCGCCAATAAAATCCTAAAATCATTCACACTATATTAACTACAAATGCACCCTTGTCACGACTATATTTAGGGGGAGACCGTTCGCATGTACATCACAATCCTTCTTTTGCTAATGCAATTTTTTTACGGAATTTATATTGCCCCCCCTCTAGCCCCCCCCCCCCCCACCCCCGTAGAACCGCGCCTGCTGCCAGGTTGCCTGAGCCCAGTTTTGTTGACTGGTTCATGGTTTTCCATTATCACTCTGGCTATAATGGCGTTAACAAGTCTGCAGGATGTACCAAAAAGTTTCAAGCATTATTGACCTCCAAATGTAGTTGAGGAGCAGTTTGTGTCGGACAAAAAGAACACAAATTCTGAAATGTTTAATGTATTTGTACCTCTAATTTTGAAGCCTAAGAGAATGTTGGATATAGCTGAATGTTTGTACAGTGATGTTCATTATAGCAATCCTCAACTGTAATGCTTTAGACTTTTTAGTTCATATTCCTTCATTCATTGCCCTGAATCCCATTCAGGAAATGCTGAAGTCAACAAAGACCACATCACAGAGCAAACTGTGGATTACTACGAGGCCGCAGTTGGAACTGACCGTCGCTACCCTAAGACCAGAGACAACGTGGTGCCCTTCACTTATGTTGGACAAAACACAACAGTCACTTTCACTAACCTCAACCTCAAGGCACGAGACTCAACATATTACGTTACAGTCAGGGGATATAGTGCTAGCCTTGCCACAGCTGAGGTGACATCAACAGGGATCAATGTTGGTATAGACAGCACAGTGCTTGGTAGGTTATTCTTCCTCTTGACTTTCCTTCTCTTGTGTTAGGGATATCTAAGCAGAGGGTAAAATTGGTATTGGACATAAGACATGCACCATATTTGTCCCAAAAGAAGTATATACGAGGTATATACACATGATTTGGAAAGTTGGGTGGGGGTATATTTCATTCTCTGTATGTGGAACATAGTATTTTCAAGTCAAATAAATTCTGTCATGAGAAATTTAGTTTTGCACAGTTTTTGAGGGCAGTTTCAGACTGATACTTTTTATTTGTCATTTATTTCCTCCTGTTCAGAGATGGTCCCGTAATCAGGGTTCTCCCCAGGATTTTGTTAAACCCGTGGGGAATGTTTTCTTGTGGTTCAACAACTTGCAAATCTACGGTCTGGGATTCGGGGCCAGTCAAGGTTTTTTTTTTTTATTTAGAGAGCTCTCTGGTGCATTCTGGAACAAATTTGGGGGAATGTTAAGGTAGAGTTTTCCTTAAAATCCAAAGGACATTTATACAAAACAATTGAATCAAAAAGAATCAACATTTCACAGACATTGCAACTTCCTGAACTGGAAGGTATGGATTAAAAGTAAGTTTCAAATTGAAAAAAATGGCCAAGAAAAGCAAATTGCTTCTGCTTCTATAACATACCTTTTCAAAGTATAGTCAGTAGGTCAGAAAGGTTTTTAATTTGCCATTGTTTTTTGTGGTGATTAAATGGAGTATTCAATCATTCCTATTTTTGGCCTGGAATATTTTCGTTTGTGCTACAAAAGTTGTCAAAACTGGCCCTCAAAAGGGATAAATACCTGCCTTAATTAATGTAAACATTTATTAAAGGTGGATGATTCTTTAAAAAAATGGAGAATTTAATTCGTGCAGACCACTAACAAGATATGCTCAGCATTAGTCACGACAACATTAGTCACGACAGATTAGGCACTGCATGACCTGCCGACCGCACGACTGGTTCATGGCAAAAGGAAATATTGGCACGTGAATTATAATTTTGCATGTTAATGAAGTGTGTAATAATTAAACTGTGCTTATCGGGGACTGAAAACTGTGATGTAATTTTCGAGGCAATTTTTGTCTGCAATTCCAATGTATCGGGCCAATACGCACATTATTATGTTGGGAAGAACCCTGCCTGTACTTAAACTTTGCAATAAAAGATCTATTGTTAGATATATTTTAGATCTACCAAACTTATAACCTACATGTGTATATGTACTGTCTTTCATTTTCGAAAATTAGAACTTGCTTTCTGTAGTTCATGCTTTAATTTGTGTTCTGCATCCAGTAAGTAAGCTTATTGTAATTTTTTGTGTATCCGGGAATAACGCACACGAGAAGAAAATGTCTCTTGATTGTTTTTTTTTTTTTTTTATATCTGTTCAGGAAGTGAGGTGGAAGTCCCAGAGTATGTAAACTCTGTCTCTGAGGTGCAACTCATGTGGGCTAAATTTCAATCCACCTTCCCCATCCTGCTGTACTACGTTGGTCTGGGTGAACCATCCACTTCCTCCATCCCACCTGAAGATATGGAATGCCTGGATATGCTGTTGGGGACAACGCAGGCCCTAACTACATTCCATGAGAGGTCGATGCATTTTGTTGGCAAAGACACCTTTGTGGAGGTCAAGGGCTTGAATCTGACGCAGGAAGGATCCTATTTTGTCACTGTTGTGGGTGGGTGAATATTGTTACTCGTTGTGCATTTTAGATGGGTAACTTGAGTGAAAAACTTCGAGAGAGAGGATGAGTTGTGAAATATTGACTGTGTGTCATAGCGCAACGTTTAACTTCTGTCAGATGAAAGCAAAATGTTGAAGCCATTGCTGACCAGTCTCAGAATAAAGCTGATCAGACTTGCCTCAACAGTATTAATCCATTTCATGGCAAATTAAACCAATACAAACTTATTTCATGGAAATGGTCCCCAATGAATTGCCCATCTGTTTCCCTGACTCATGAGGGAGATGCAGTTGGAAACAGGATGTGGGGGACCTTCCATGTGGGGGTCATTGACCAACACTGACCATGAGATGCGGTCAGTGCAATAATTAATTCTACTCACGCACATGTATCCTCCCTAGTAGTTCACTTAAATGAAAATCAAAGGTGATATCTTTTAATGGAAAACGCTTCTCATGCTCCTGTCTTTCTAGGAATGAACGAAGGAGGACAGTGTAATGCCTCCACTAGCTACTTCTCTGTGGATATCACACCACCTATTGAGGGTAGGCTGCGTGTTGGACTTTTCTATGACATGGTAAGTCATCGGGAGATAAGTGTATCGTGTTTCTGTAATGTCGCATATTCTGCCATTAAGGTTTGGTTGCATGCTGGACCAATCTCCTACATGCTTTTTACACTCATTATGGTAATGAAAAGGCTGGGGGTGTTTTGGTCATGCTATAGTAATCATCCGAACCTGTAAGCTTACAGAAGCGATGCCCAGTTTTAATTTAAATTTGACATGAAGTGTTTTTCAAACATCGTCCAGTATGTGCATGAAATTCAAATTTTAACAATTTGCTGCAATCATTTATCCCCACTCCTGAACTCAGAAGTTTAATAACCAGTGCCACACTTTTTAACAAAAATAAATCATTAAGTAAATAATAAGAACATATATCATCAATGTCTCATGCGTCATCATCTAAAATCATGAAGACATTACCAGCATCCTTCTGTGCCTTTTTCGCTAACAGCAACAACTATATTTTTTTCCTTGCTAATATTTCATGCAACTGACTAAAACCCACCAATCACACTCACGCTGTATTACCTGCCTGTGACATTTGAATCTTGTATTTGCAGCCTGTTGCCTATACTGACAGCACCGAGTCTGTCTCTGTAGTGTGGGAGGATTACAGAGATGATGAGAGTGGAATCAAATCCTACAACCTCCGCCTTGTGCAAGCTGCATCATGTAATGAGGACGAGGATAACCTTACTGTGGTAGCCAACCAAGACTGGCTGATACTCGGCCCAGGCATTAACAATTTCACATTCGTGGACTTGAACCTGATTGTGAGTCGAATTTGCCATTGATTTGTAGTTATATGAGTAAGTTATTTGTTTGAAGCGTATTAACGTGAGGTGAATACCCTTTTAAAATCCTGGGCCCTTTGCACACCAGGCTTTCGATGTTTATCCTTGACTGAGCCCAGTGTAGCATATCCCTTAAGGCCATCAGTTACACCACAGGAGGCCGCAGTCCACATGGTAGTGTATGTAGTTCCTGCTGGATCTATCTTTTGGTAACGCTATACATGTTACATATGTACAGGCACAAGTCTGACAAATTCATGATTTCCGTTAAAGTTTGTGCATGAATTTCAGTAGTCTAGATGCATTTAGGCGACTGACGAATGATTCAGGCATGTCCAACAAGTCAAACAGTCAAGCGGTACTAATTGGGTCCTGCTGGTGGTAGGCATTCATTTGGTGCTAAAACTGCCCTAAGGAGATATCATCTGGAGACAAGAGAGATTGCTAACCCTGGTTCGAAAACCCGAATATAAGGGTTTCGTTTTAACCCAGAAAGCAACCTTTTGTCTATTGTGTGTTGATTTTGTGCACAAACTGATACACTCTGGTTCCCAGTCCCTACAATTGTTTTCTTCTTAATGTAAAAACATGTAGTTCAAAATTTGTAAAATAATTATTCCATAACTAAACATGGGCCGATGTATTGTATTGCTAAAAAAAATAGCAATTATAAATAATGATCTATTATTTCAGGGTAAAACTTGAAAGTGGTATATAAGCTATTGATGCGTGCATCGTTGAAACAAAAGTGTTTGAATCATCAGTCATACATGCACTTTCCCCATTCTTATTTATTCAAAGATTCTACTGATCGGCATTGAAACAATTGTCAAGGGCATGATTTGGGTTGTACTTGCAAAGCTCACCAATAAAACATTTGAAATTATATTTCCTTTCTGCACAGACAAACCAGCCCTATTTTGTTCAGCTGTCGGTAGTTAACCATGCAGGAGACAGTGTTCTATCCCAAGTAGGACCTGTCTTTGTTGACTCGTCTGAGCCGACAGCAGGACTGGTAGTTGATGGAATGGACTTCAAGATGGACATAACAGACAGCGCATACAGAAGCCAAGTTACTGGTAAAAGGAAATTGCTACATAATTTAACTATTGATCTTGTATGAATAGTTGAGCGAATTTAAATGTGAACTACGGTTACCCATAGTTTGAGTACCACTCTAGTCAAGTTTGGAATGTACTTTACCGCATGATTCCATTGCCTGTTGCCATGGATATCATTATTTACAGCACGGAGCCAGGACCGAGAAGTATTGAGATGACTGTTTGAGGTACATACAACTCAACTTCTAATCTGAATGTGCACAAACCAATGATCTTTGTGTGGGCAATGGAAGTATATCAGCCATGGCTTTCAAGTGTTTGTTATGCAGTATTGTAGGACTCCAGTCCAGAGTTCGGACTCATCAAGTCCGCCTCGAGTCACAATTGGCAAAAGATTCCGGCTTGTGACTCACGAGTCATGCATTTTTCTACCAGAAAAAAAATACCTTTTAACAAGTGGTGTTAATTTTTTGTAAGTAACATTAAAGCAACTCTACGGAATGTTAAACACACGAACTGTACCACAGAACTTTGCAAATAATGTTGTTTGTTATTAAATCGTCGGCTATTAAATCAGCGCATCACTAACATATCCCTTACATGTACACGTGTGTCCATGTACATGCACATCTGTTTCATATAATGCATAATCCTACCATACACTGCCTGGTACATGTACATGTACACTTGTGCAAGCTTTGAGTAAACATGCTTTCATGCATCCATCACGTCGCATGGACCTATTACGTACTGCAAGATCATTGTTGGGTACAACACTAAGATTTATGCTAGTATTATGTGCTACCTTATTGACAATGGTTGATGATGAACCAGCGATTTCGGCTTTGAACTGACCGGCTAGATTCCTACATATGCCTCTAAGCGGTTTTGCTGATATGGCCATAGATATGTGTACCACTTTGGTTTGTGTATTTACCCACTGTTTGCAGTTTGCGTGCTTCATGTTTTAGCTCTTTGAAACTCAAACAGCCTGGGGCCAGTTTCGGACTCGAAGACAGATTAGAACCAAGTGACTTGCAATTTAATCTCGGAGTCAACCAAAGTGACTCAAGACTATTACGCAACTCATATCTCTGTCTTTTCATCAGTGAGGGGAAGTTTGTGTGGCCAGAGTCTATTCATAAACGACACTATTTTACGTCCTTATCACAATTTTAAATCTATAAATTCATATTGACTTGACTTTTACAGGCACAATCCTACACTTGCCCAACCCAGAGGGCCCACCCTGTCCACTGAGAGACATTCCCTTCACTGATCCACGGTGGTCAGCGATGGACTTCAAGGGACTCTGGAACATGAAGAGGGAGAAGTGGGACCTGGAGTATCAGTCACAGCAGGTAGTCTCAAGAAACTTCTTTCTGATAAAAGTATGGACTAAGTGGGGGAACAGAAGATATTGCGACCACTATAAGACTCAACATGTGGGACACACTGCACATGCACTAAACCTTACATGCACTAAACCTTACGTATTAAGCTCCAACCACTGCACGCATGGGCAACAACATGTGAGCTTCCCCAATGTCGCACCTCATGAACTTATCCCGTACATCATATGCAAGTGCACGCATGTCCAACATTTGAGCATGCATGTTGGACATTATACTCATGTTTGTGATTGGTCAAATGTGCATAGGGCGAGCTTAGCGAATTGGTCTATTATCCCTCCCCTCAAGTATTTTTTCTTGTGGTACACTATCAAATAAAGCTGGACATGTGGGATACCATTGTTCCATTTCATAGAGTAACCCACAAATACCGTCTTACAAGAATAACCTTGAAATGTTTAAGAATATATATATATATATTTATTTATTTATAGAAAATCCTGAGGTTTTTTTCAGGCAAACAGCCCAAAACACGTTCATTTAACCCCTTTGCTGTTGATAACCAGGTACTTGCATCTGATGAGAGTGTGATGCTGATTATGGAGAGAGATACAAGAGGGCCTCGTATGCTGTCTGGAGCCTACGTCACCAATGCACTGATTGTAAGGAGCTCAGAATATGAGGTCAGTACTCATCCAGAAACTTTGAAATAGCAGCCCCTCACAGCTATGACATCAGTGGCGTGATTAATGCATCAGATGTTCATTTTGTGCCCAACAATTCCTGAAAAGAATTTGCTTCAATTTCAATTCATTTCAAAGTGTAAAAAAGGCTATTGAATTCATTTTATTCCTGTTTCCATGTACATTTTCCTTATACTTAGTATGTTTACTTTCTGGTTAGTTTTCCATCGTGATTTTATTCTGAGTACCAGAGTTGTTCATTATCAAATTATTCGTCAGTCACATATAAGGCAGGCATGCAATTTGATAACCAGAGACAAAGAAATACCTTTGTTGCAGTTCATGTTAAAAGCTTGTTACTCAACCAAAGACTGAATGACGGCTTCGACTCTCACGTCACATGCACACAGTGGAAATGACCTGCTATGCCAAGTACCCCAATAGTCTTCCACTACCTTTCTTTTCTGACATGATAGTTTGACTTGAAAGCTGCCTCACCTGACCTGCACAGTGTGACCAGCGTTCTATTCTGGGATGGCCCGGATGGAGCAATAGGGGAATATGACTTTGGTGGACGGGAGAACTGGCAAGAAGGGATCTGTCAGTGCTGTTATGACCAACCCTTCAACCAAGTAAGTGAGGCAAACAGATAGAGGGGGTATAACTGCAACAGTGTTTTTTCTTATACAATGGTTTAAGATTGTGAAATTTCATTGGTTGATGACTGTTCACACGGTCATATTTCATAAGTTTGTGTCTGACTGACTTATGGACTCCACAGACAAAACGTACCCTGCATACATCACCTTATACAGTCTTATATAAACACATTTGACTATTTTTATCCCTGCGCACAAGGTAGGTAATGTACCAGTGGGTCTGCACGTCTATATATTAGAAATGCATTGGAGTGTCAAAACCAAAATTATTGTTTTTACAAATAATTACTGATTTTTTATGCTAGACCTTTACTTTTCAACAGTCTTTGTGTCCCCTGTGTGACTGCCTGGATTTCTTGGGGACATCTGAGGACAGCTCAACATTTGCCAGCACCACATATAGATCACATGAAACCAAACCACCCAATGAGTACACAGTCAGTGAAATGACTGAAGAGGCTGAAGTGACCAATGTGAATAGTACTTCACTAACACCGATGGGCTCCGTCCCATGGACTATCCACAAAAAGGACGAAGATGGGGACAGCGTGTCTGATGATGAGAGTGGGAGATGGATAACACAGAGAGCTTGCGGCTTCCAACTCTATCCAAGTAAGATAATAGATCAATCCATTGAGCCCCTCCCCCATGGTGTTCCGACCAATCACAGCCATGATTTATGTCTGACATGTCAAACTTTATCAAAGTACGATAATAGACCGATCCATTAAGCCCCGCCCCATGGTGTTCTGACCAATAACATCATTGTTTCATATCTGACATGTCCAACTCTTTCTATGTAAGATAATAGATCGATCCAGTAAGCCCCGCCAAATGGTGTTCTGACCAATCGCATCTGCTGATTTATGTCTGACATGTCCAACTCTTTCCAAGTATTTTAATAGACCGATCTATTAAGCCCCTCCCCATGGTGTTCTGACCAATTCCAGCTGTGATTTATGTCTGACATGTTCAACTCTATCCAAGTAAGATAATAGACCAATCCATTAAGCCCCGCCTCATGTTGTTCTGATCAATGACAGCTATGATTTATGTCTGACATGTCCAACTCTGCCCAAAAGACCGACCCAGTAAGCCCCATCCCAGGGTGTTCTGACCTAGTCTGGCATTGCATGAGAGAAAGAAACTGTTTCGTTGTATGAAACAGGAGCTGTCGCAAACAATAAAATAGTCTGAGAATGCACTAGCAGTACAACATTTGCTGAGACAATAATGGAAATGGTCAGTAAGTGTCTGATGACTGACGTTAAGTCAAATTCTTGTGAGATTGAAAGCCACCAACTCCACTGATATGAGATGATTATCTTTTCGTTAGCGTTTGTCTTTAAGTGAGGATATTGATTGTTTCAAATGTACTCGTTTTATTTATGATTGGCTTCCAGTGGTAACAAAATCATTCCTAATTAGCAATATTATGTCAATAAAGTACCCGGATGAGGACAATATTGTTTGATATTGTATTCATCTGGACACTTTAACAAATTTCGCTGGTTTCCTCACAATTAATAGTGACAACTAACAGTTGTCAACAAGCCAACAGAGTGTAGCGCATGGTACCAACGCCTGCGGACGCAGCAGGCAACAGGGTATACGCACACTTGTATCAACAACCACAATGGCAGTTCCAGGCGGCGCGAAATTGCCTTAAGAATAAAGTGAAGAATATTCCATGCAATTTGAGAAATATATTCCAAAATATATTTCGTGCAGATCAGGTCAGCCTGATTTAAATAATAATAAAAATATTGGATGGCTTTTTTGGGGGGGGGGGGACATAAGATGCAAGATACAAGTTATAATAAGATTTTAGGGACAATTGCCATCAATAATTGTACCACACACCAAGATGAAGCAGAGGCTGCGTGTTCTTTTCTAGATGGTAGTGCATCTCAAGCTGTTCTGTGGTGTCGTTATTTGGAGGATCTCTGGCAAATGACATCGGAGGTTATAGATCTTGACTTTGATCCATCAATAGAGGAGCATCATTTTTCAGTCCACATCAAAGTCGAGCCGTTTGATGCAGAAGAGGTATCATTACCATTAATGTGCTTCCTGTAGCCCTTTAGCTACTTATAAGGAACATCAATCGTACAAGTGAAACATTAACAATTATATTGCGTTATATTTGGCACGGCAGTGATATTTTGCGCTGGGGTTTTCCCCATTTGCCATCACCTATAAACATTTCACACATGCAACAGCAAAATGTTGATTTGGAGTCCTCGAGGTATAATTAGTATGATGATAAGCAGTACTTAGTGTAGCTTATATAATTATATTTAAAGTTTCATGTTCTTGATTCAAAGTAAAAAAGAAAAAGAATCAATCATGGAAATCTCAGTTATGATAGCTTTTTATCGTTACAGGATGAATGGTCCTTTGAAGTGTACGTTGATGGTAAACTCCTCTCTTCACTGACTGGCATACCAGTCCTGTCCTCATCTACTAAGCTCATCCTTCACGTCTTCAATCGAGACAGCTACATCGCTGATCTGCAAGACCCCTTCAATCCTCCAGCTGTGGCAGCAACACTCAAAAACTTGAGGTCTGTACAATTTTCTTGTTCTGTTTCAAGCAATTTTTTGTATCTAAAGTGCGCTTTTTTAATTCCTCTTTTATGGGTCATTCAATAAATTTGGGGTCCAATTTTGTGTTTCCCTGTTACATCTCATATATAAAAAATTAAATTTAGAACACATTCTGCAATGCCTTCTATCTCCAAGAGTGATTATAAAAAGCCTGCTACGTGAATATAAAATACTTTGAAGATCAATTTTAATAATACTTGAATGGCAAATTAGTGAGGTGTAACAGGGATTATGTGCCTTGTGGGAACGTTACACTTTTTGACCCCACATTTATGACATGACCCTAACCATTCCTTTGGACTTTTTGCTAAACTAGAAGGGCCAGGCTATAGTCCTCTTACCAAGCATTGGTCCAGCTTGACTCAACAAGCCTAGTCTCATTGTTTACTGGTTTTATCACAGCATTTATAACCATAACATTGTTAGAATACTCTGTTGCTTTCTTCTGTTACAGGATGCCGCCTGATCAGAGCAATCTGTGTCGTTACGGAGCACCATTCAGGGCTGGAACCAGTCCTGTCTCACGCTACTTTGCTGGTGTTGGCTCAGAAGCAGGAGCCACAGATATTGTGCCATTTGAAGAGGTAATGCCAGACAGGAACTTTAGCCTTTTTAATGGATGTTTTGTTTTCCAGGCATTTCCAGTTTCAGCATTTTTTGTGATGGATATCTGTATCTGCAAGCTACTGCACAATCGCCTATGGTGGGGCCATCACGTGCAGGTAACGCACGTGATGTCTGCATCTTCAAATTTGTCACTCCGCGCCGCAGATGATAATAAAGGAATAAATGTGTGCTTGGCAGGTTTGAAACAATATGTTTAAGACTGATTTGAGTCTGGATACTGACTTGAAGGAGAGGATACATTATTAGCATCCAGACTCCAAACAGTCGTAAAACATACTGTTTAATACCGGCCAAGCACATATTTATTCCCACTCGTAAAAACCTTTTCGGTCAAAAAGAAACCAGAATTTTTCTGTTCAAAAATTCAAAACAACTAAAAATTATAAATTCCAAACGATTTTGTTGGGAATGTATCAAATTTACTTCATGTTTTCGGGATACACATTTAGCTATACTATGGCTGTACCGGTGTATTGTGAAGTTAGAACTATGAAACACTGACTCACTGGTAATATTGCACATGCATACGTGAGGATTGTGAACGTTCAACCAATAGAACGGTAAAAGGCATCGGATTGCATAGTAGTCCAAATTTCATGTGACACTGGAAAAGAGTTTAAGACCAGCCAGCCGGTCTTTGTAACCGGCCACGTGACGGGCTCTCGACCAATATGAATGGGTGAACTATCTTATGTATTTATGATTACTTTAAACGATAATGGTGCTCTAACCAGTTGAGGTCGGGTTTATTTTAAAGGAACGGACCAAGGCATGGGCTTAATATTCACTTGACCGTAATGCCAGTCGGGTCGAAGCCATCACCCTGGGACTGCATATTTCCGGCCTCTGTCCTGCGGGTTTTTCAGTCATCCGATCTGACTTCGGAAAAGTTGTGTGTGTATTCACAGCCTCCGGCGCGAACTGGTTAATGGCCCTTTTTAAGAAGGTAGCTGAGCATAGAGACCAATAATATAGATCAGGTTGATAAACCTATATAATTATAACGTGTTTCATTACTTCCACCCCAATTGACAGTATCAACCATTAAGGGAACAGATCACATTAATGCTTTGAATGTTCTTCTTACTGTTTTGGACACACTCTCTGTTTGTACAGATTGCCAGGCCATGCGTTCCTTGCATCCATCCGTGTGATCGTTACCAGTGTGATACCTCATGTTCCCTGGAAGCTGTTCCCATCACCTTCACATTGACCAACCTGACTCTGCCAAGACTGGAGCTATCCAATACCACCCTTGGCGATGATGCGAATGCAACAATGCCACCTTCAAACCAAGATGAGGGATCACTCCCATTCTTCCTGACAGGTGAGATAAATGGAATAAACCTAAAGTTGAAAGGTTTTCCCAAATGGTAACATAACTTTCCTTTGGTGGCATGGTTGGCTTGTGCGTTTAGCGATCGCCTCTCACCAAGGTGACCATGGTTTGCATCTTGGCTGCGGATCACATGTGAGTAGAGTTGTGCGTTGGTTCTCTCCTGTGCCACGAGGTTTTTTTTCTTGGCCTTCCGGTTTTCCTCCCTCCAGAAAAATCAAACACTTTCGATCTCAGGATGTGCTCCGTGGTCAAATATGGGTCGATGTGGCCGGCAGCCATTGGCGCCTTTACTTGCCAGCAGCCCGACCACGTTGTAGCCGCGTCCTTCGCAATTCATTATACCAGCTGCGAGTAAGGATGATTAGCCTCGAAAAATATTATTATTATTATTATGACTGTATACAGCAAGAGTCACATACTTACTCAAAAACATGTTTTATTACCAAAATGTACCTATCAAATCACATGTTGTTTAGAGACAATTTCTTATTGTGTACATAGTGCAGTAGATTGTTTCCTTTTAACTGTTTCTGATATCATATTTTACATGAGCCACTTATTATCATTTTTTGCAATCATCCCCCTCCCTCAGTGAAAACTTTCTTAGGAAATGGGAAATCAGTGTCAGCATCCTCCAATGGTTTCTACGTTGATGACACTCCAGCACAGCTGGATCTTTTTTTCTATTTGGACGTCATTGTAAACGAGTCTGTGCCAACATCATTCCAGTCTTCAGACTCTACCATCAGGGTGTTCTGGAGTTTCATTGACATGGACAGCATGGTTAAGGTAAATGATCAGCAGAGTGTCACTTCAACAATTGAGCAGTGTATTATTTGCTTAAGAGGGATATACGTTTGAGCAAAGAAATTGACCAGAGCAGAATTTGAACCTGCAACCTCCAGAAGACTGCACTAATGGCGGTCTCTCAATCATACACTGTCTGTTAATGGAATGCTTGTCAGATGTTATGACGTAATTTTCCAATGTGCCAAGGGATCACATATCCATGCTGGGAGCTCATACCGTTGCTGTTCTAGAGTCAGGCTTTTCAGTGCAAAACTTGCAAAACTTTGTGCACCATTCACTGTAACAATTGGTACTGTCGCCAACAGAGGACCACTATTTGCATGGATTTCATAGCAATATTATCTGCAATTATGTTTTTAGGAGCATCTCTGGGCTATAGGAACATCCAAAGGCGCAACAGACCTGCAAGACTTTGTCAACGTTGGGTTGAACCAGACAGCTACTAACAGTGGTCTGAAGGGATTACTGCATCACAACACTACATACTATGTGACTCTGAATGCTATCAATGGAGCAGGCTTGGAAACCATAGTAGAATGTGATGGTAGGTAGAGATAGACTGTCATACAGACAAAGCAACAGACAAAGTGACAGTGATCTAACAGGATTACTGAATCAGAAAATACATACTATGTGACTCTGAAGACAAACAGAGAGACAACACGACAATGATCTGATGGGATTACTGCATTACAACACAACATACTATTTGACTCTCAAGGCTATCAATGAAGCCAAGGTAGAATGTGATGGCAGGTAGAGATAGACTGACATACAAACAGACAGATTGACAAACAGACAGATTGATAACAGCTATGTAAGGAAGTACTCCATCACATTTGGTAACTCCGAATGCTATGAATAGATGGAACCCAATTATGATGCCCAGACTGGACCACAAAGTTATTGATTTACTATTGGAGACCTTTGTTGATGACCGTACATGCTTGTATTTTCTAGGTGTGACTGTCCTTCTGTTGGTAACTCCGAAGGCTATTGTAGCGGAAAGTGTAGGGACTTGTAGCTAGTTTATTTACAACGTCATTCCTATTGCACTAACGTAAATTCACTGTGTGTTGGTGACTGGGCGGAGCGTAAGAGCCTAGTGGCTGAATGCGCGTACGCTATTGGTTGCCTAAGGCCCATAGGTTTAGTACATGCATATGTGTTTGTACGGCGTATGCTTGTTCACGTGAGGGCTACTCACGTGATCGCGCGGAGGAGTTGTGCTGTGGACAGCGGACGGTACGGTTGTGTATTGCTCGCGTTCTGTGTTTTGGATAATGCTGACGCGCACTGTGTAAGGCGCTGGCCCTGACTGTGCTGAAGTTACGCTGTGTGATGCTGACGCGCAGCCGTACAAGTGAATGTACGGTACGATGCTGACGCTAGCTTGCATGGGTAAGGCGTAAATCAGGTTAAGGCTGACAGCGTGTATTACTTACATTGGCGTGCATTGCTTACATTGGCGTGTGTTATTTACATTGGCGTGTGTTATTTACTTAGGTACATTGTTTACTTAGTGTACATTGTTTACTGAGTGAACGTTGCTGACTTAGTGTGCATTGTTTACCGTAGTGTACATTGTTGACTTAGCCGTGCATTGTTTACATTAGTGTACGTTGTTGACTTAGCCGTGCATTGTTTACATTAGTGTACATTGTTGACTTAGCAGTGCATTGTTTACATTGGGTGCATTGTTCAAGCGTGCGCGTTGCTGCTTAGTTGAGGCCGCAGTTAACTCCCAAGTGTAATTAAGTGACCCTGATAATTAACAACCCCATCAAAACTCAATCACTACTGCATATTTCTTGATTATTGTATAATAAATTACGATTATATTTGTGGTGCCGACATTCCTGTTGTCCATGTGTATTTTGTGTTGGTTTATTGTGCAATTAACAGTGGGTAATCACAATCATCATAATCGGCGGTATATTTCCTCCAAAACGGACCTGCTCCCTAGGCCTTGAGGTCGCTCTGAGTGGTCTCTCGTCTTGGGAAAGCTTGCGTTCAGGAAGATCAGCTACACTCTAATAGGTGTCAGACTTGGTCCCAACGAACTTGGGTTTGGCCCGGGGAGATTCCCGCCACACTATCAATATTTGAAATTCCATCAATAATGAAGGCTTTGATACACGTCATTAGAATTTGATGATACTTTATGCATATTTCATGCATATATTTCATGCATATCCAATGCAAATAAAGTTCAGGAAGACAACCCGGTATCCTTTTTTGCTATACTGTTGACAAGGTAGTAAGGGAGCTTTTGTTTTGGTAAAATGTGTTTTTTTTTATATTCATCCTTAACCAAATAGCACTCTCCTATTGTGTCCATCATATATCAAAGGCTAATTGTGATGTCCGGACTGGACCACACATGTATTGATTCATTACTTGGAGACCTTTGGTGATGAGCGTACATGTTTGTACTTCCTAGGTGTGACTGTTCTGCTAGAAGAGCCCACTGCAGATGATGTCAACACCACCTCCATGTTTAGTAAGAAGTTTGAGGAGGATGTTTACCCACCCAATGTGGAGAAAAGCGAAGACCCAACAAAGACTGGTACCTCCTGGTCCAAACCACAGGATGAGTCTATTAATCACTATGGTAGGACATCTTGCAATTGGTAGAACGTCACATTGGGGGACACAGGAGAACGTGAAAATACCTATAGCAACACTGAACGCTTCTTCTAATGTCTCACTCTTGACCATTATTATGCATGTAATTCTCTAACACCCAATATTCCTGCATTTCCTCTCTGAATATTTGTCAATGTGACCCCTCACTGTTGGTTTATATGACCCTATTTGACCACCAATTTGTCAATCATTTCTAACAGAGCATTGGGCAAGAAATTCCATAGTGTCACCTTGTTCTTGGCTGCCTGCCTGCTTTCACAGACTACCCTATCAACTACAATGCTAAAGGCCATTTGAAGTGGTAGCTAAAACAAAAACAAAACTCATGCATTTAAAGAGAAAGGAATGATCTGTTAAAATAACATCAAGCTCAAATACTGCTATCAAGAATGGGAAACAGAGGTCCAACAAAAAGTTAGGAGGAGGAAACATGACGAAATATTTCATAATACCAGCCTTTTGAACATAAATGGTATTTGGATGAAAGCAGGCAGCAAAATATAAAGATTCCATGTAGGTCTAGATACATGATTGGAAATAAAAGCTGAAATTCTACCTTTGCCAGCCACTGCGAACCCAGTATCTCAGATCATACCAGTGTCTCCTTCCACCCTGCCCTATAGAATACTGTGTGAGTAGTTCAGCGTCGCTCCTAGATGATGTTGTACCCTGCATGGCGGTTGGAGGCAACTCCTCCGGTTCAGTGACCATAGAGGATGCAAAGATCATTGTCCGTGCTGGTGGCAATAAAGAAAGGTTCAACATCACTGACTTCAAGGCACCGAAGGACTCTAGCGAGTGGGAAATGATTGAAGAAAATGCCAAGTTTAATATGGAACCTGGGAAGTAAGTTTGTGGGCCATGTTGCATTGGATACAAATAATGATACTTTATTAAAGAAACGCAATTTTAAGGGTTTATAAATGACACCCCTGTCTTTGTCAGACAGCTAATTAACACAGTCTGAACATTTGGCATGGTCAGTGTACATAAACTTTGTTGAACTGCTGTATGTGCAATTTTAGTGTAGGTGTCAGAAGATCCCTCTTGAAGTGGTCTAGTGTAATGTGGGTGTCGCTTGTTTGCATAACTTTTCTTGATGCTCGTTACAATGTACCAGTTGAACAAGGCCTACGGATTTGGACTTGATATTCGTGAATTAAATAGTTCATATGTAAAAATGTCTTCTACATGTATAATTCGCTTTAACCCAAACTTATCAGCGACTTATCATTACATATATTTTTGCGAAATTCTTTATGATTTGAGGGCCATCGTCAAAATAAGTGGCCTGAGACTTTGACCTGGACTAGAAGCATTTGACATGTACTTGTGATTACACATGTAGTTATTGAAGCCTCTGCCCGTAGACCCGTGTTTGCCTGTTATATCCTATTAATAAGGGATTTGATAAAAGGATTCGCTATACATGGACTCCTTTAAACCATTGCTGTGTTTGTTTGTTATTTTACTTGTACTTTAGATGCCTTTATGCCTGGATGAAGATGTGTAACCCAGCTATGCTATGTGTCACAATACCAGCAGGAACTACTACAGTGTTAGGTCAGTATCAAACACAACAATGAGGTCGCGATATCAGGCTATTGCCATTGTTGCATGCATGTGGAAAACAAAACATCAGTTTGACTTCCCGGTGTATTGGTTAGGGTTTTAGTAATATCCATTAACTGAACTGGAAAGCAATGTCCGAGGTGGACATTGGCAATTGTAATGGAAAGCCCCAGTATCTGAAATCTATTTGCAAGACTCGGTTCCAGGCAGAATGTGACTTGTTTTGTAGTCTTTGAGAAAATCACTACTTTTTCATTAGGGGGTATAAGTGCAGCAAGTCAGCTTAATAAATCTGCCAGATACAGATCAGTAATAGTTTTTATTACTTTAATAGATCGTTTAACACGATGAACTATTATTATAATAATCAAAAGGAGACAGTGATATGATGATGACATCACCCAATGGTACAGACCTTGTTCTGACATCACCAACAAGCCAGAGAAGGAGGAAGAGGGCCATAGATAACCACTTTGATTTCACTGTGGCTACAAAGGGAGGTAGGTTATTATACAACATACAGTAGACTCTGGCTAAACCGACGTCGTACAACTCGTCATATCGCTCAAGTCGGCCGTTTGACTATAAGTTATGCACCATAGTTTGGCTTGTCCTATGGTGATGACTGATTTGACTACCTCCTGGGCCAAATTTCATGGCTCGGCTTTAATACCGTCGACGAAAAATCCGAGCTTAATGTAGCAGAAAACTCTGAACTTATGGTAAATGTATTTCACTGGTAAGCAAGAACTTTTAGCTGATATGCATCTATACATCCTGTAACTGAGGATTCTGTGCTTACATCGTTAGCCCAGCATTTTCCTGCTAGCGCTCTTGGCACAGATTGGTGATCGTAAGCATGGGATTAAGTGGTGAGCAGAGCCGTAAAATAGGGCCCTGACGTAAAAGGGAGGGAATTAAAGAAAAGCAGCCAACACTGAGATAAAACAAGTTGTATTTGTTTTATTAACACCTCGCATTACAGAACACAATTCTGAGGAAATATTTCCCGTGGAATGCATGTCACATACAAGGTGTGATGTCACATGTTTCTGTGCAAGGGGTCCATACTACTATCTGCTTCACTTGCTTTCACAATTCAATTTAGCCCTAACCACCTAGGCATGTGAAAAAAATGAGCATTGAGGACTGTCAAGGGAAGTAGAGGACTATCTGCACTTCCACCTTACTTGTGTTATTGCAGGTCTACACCAGGGTGGCTCACTCATCCTAGGTCTGCTGGATGTCAATAGAACCAACCAGGAATTCACCTCGGATGCTGCCAGGGATTATAAACCATACATCACCAATCCACTCTACACCATCCAGTTTACATCAAGACTGCTCAGACACAGGTTGGTTTGCTGCACACTTGTGTTTCCCTTCAAAACTGATCAGACTAATTCCTTAGAACTGAGGCACGAAATTTCCTCTGGAAGTAGTCTCAGAGTTTTTTCAACAACTAGTCTCAGAATTTCTTTAAGTTCTTGTTCTTGTATAGATATAGAAGATGTTCTGCAAAGACTTTATTCAGAATATCAGGTAGTTATACAGTCGTTAATATATCAGCACATTTTATCCTACATAAAATCTGTAGTCAGATTGGTTGCATACTTTTATCATTAATTTGTTTTTTTTTTCTGTAAAGGTTAATATAAACAGATACAAGGGCTTCCTAAAAGAAAATAGAAATAAGTGTGTCAACACCATTTGAAATTAGAAATACATTGTCACTTTGTATTCCAGGATACGTTTCGTGTATGAACCAACATTTTATATCACAAGTCTTGGTCAGACAGAAGTGCAGGGTCCATTGGTGATCAACATGAGTCTAAGCACACCAAGTAACTGGACAGAGGCAAAACCTAGACTTATCTACTGGGACAAAGGTGAGTCTACATAGGCGTAGCCAGCAGCGGGGGGTAAGGGGGGTATTTACCCCCCAATATTTTGTAAAAACTGCCTTTTTTCCATTCAATTTCCTTTTTTTTCTGAACAAGTGCCCTTTTCCCAAAGAAGAAATGGTGCCCTTTTTGTGGCATCTGCCGTTTTGGGTGCCTTTTTTTTTTTTTAAATTTCGCACATGTATCGCCCTGAAAAGCACCATTTATTAGCCCTTTGTGCATAATTGTCGGTTTTGAACAACTGCTTGCTTCTTTTATTCATAACACAGACAATATCTTTGGTAATAATTCGTAGAGCCATATTTCCCCACCCCCACCTTCTTGCCAAAAGGTTAGATATGTTGTTTGTGGAACATGAAGACATTGTAGTTATATTTAAGTGTCATCATCTCATATTTTTTTGTTTAGGTCACTCTGAATGGCAAGATGCAGCTAAGACATGCAGTGATGTGGATCAAATTGCATACCTTGATGATGGGAACCAAGTCAGTGTTCAGGTTGGTCATGCAATTTAAAGATTTCACTAGGTTATATCTTTATTTCAAGTAGTCTTGGCCCAAGTCAGGCATCCAGGCCATGGCAAGTGTAGACAACCCCCATGGCCATAGATGAATCAAATCCAGTTCTGGGAGTTTCAGCACTCTGACTGACTATGTTCTTCTTAATGTGTACGCTTGAGCTTTACTTAAAATGCTCAGGTTTGAGTGCAAATTACCCAGACTGGAAGGGGTTCAAGTTGTTCATAGCAACCTGCTGAGGGGGTTTTCAAGCCGCTTGGATGTAAGGGGTAGACTGGTTGCCAGTCCCTTCATCATTTTTTGATGTTGGGACCGGTACTTCCCTATGGAATTAATAAAGACTGGGAGGAATTTTCCTCCCAATGTATATATCAGTATTCTCATAATGCAATGACACTTGGGTACTCGATCTCTTGCGCAATATGGGATGGGATAGGGACCGTTAGATCATTCCAACCTCCTAGGTTGCTGTATTTATCGGAGGTTTAATGCCTTGGGTGTATGAATTGTGCACATCGTTTATATTTTTTTAGCGGGCACACTTAGCGTGATATTCACATATGTTCATGTTTACTTTAACTAGCTTGCATATGACTCACACAACTTCGTTTTTCCCTTCACGTTGTAGGTTTGCTCCACACAGGCTCCAGCCTCGTCATCCTCAGAACCAGGTCGCAAGCGGCGTGCTTTGCAAGAAGAGTCAGTTCCTTCCAACACGACATACTTCAGCCATGAGACTCATTTTGCATTTGCTGTTGTCTTAGACGCCATCCCCAATAACCCACCAGTTATCACAAACTTGGTAGAAAATATGTTCATGAATGAGGATGAAGGTAACTTTACCTTTATGATCAAATTAAAGTTTCCACCATAGCTATGAAAATGTACATCTAATATTTTAATTGTATTCTATTGATTATTGAATAGCAAAGTGAACTTTATAAAAATACTAGATCAATTTGTTTTCATAATGTTTCATTTGTTGTCTGAATGATGTCATAGCAATGTGTCTCAAATATTGTGTTGTATTATTTCACTTGTATGTGGTACTTAATTTGTCACCTTTTCTGATTTAGGACTTTACATAATATGCTGTATACGAAACAATCTAAATATTACACAACACTGGCAGTACAAATTGTATTGAATGTCGAATATCAGTTGTTGTTATTCTTCATGGTTTATATTTTTTTCCAGGAACTCTATCGTACACATTCCAGGCCACTGATCTTGAAGATGACATTTTGGTATTTGAGCTTGGTAGTCACAGTGACAAGCAAGGCACAGCAGTGATCACAGAGACCGGTGACTTCAGCTATACACCTTGTACTGATTGCTACGGTACTTTTACTCTGCAAATCACTGGTAAGAGTCTCTACAAGATATTGTTTTCTTAAAGATCATTCTGGAAAAAAAAATAAAATATTGTATATTGTTATCGCTGCAAAATGAACAAAACACAGTCATTTAAAAATATGTCATAAGAGGAAAAGCCTCAGGAAGTAATTAGACTTCAGATGTTTTGAGATACAGTTCTCTCTAAGAGGCTGAAAAATTAAGTTAATTTTCATTGCAAAGCATGTCAGATTAGATAATTTCTTGGCTGGTAATTATCAGGATGATGTTTACTGAATCTGTGATTTTGCTCAGTAGTTTGGGATATCAGTTGTTAGTTAATTATAAATGGTCCTATACAAGTGGTACATTCGGCTGACTTTGTTCTCTCTCTTTTCTTTTTTATTCAGTAATGGAGGTACAGACCTTCCATGAGATAGAACCTCTATCTACCACTGTTAATCTCACCATTGAAGTCCGACCAGTCAATGATAATCCTGTGTTATACAGTGCACATTATGGCCAAGTTGTTGGCAATGGACGCATTGCTTTGGTACATTAAGTAGTATAATGTTTATTTTTTTTTAATTTCACGTGTTTATGCGGTGGTGCTCCTTATAATCAGATAGGGGTTTATGGGATTCATAACATGTGCGCTCCTTTTCACTGAACTTCTTTTTAGTTTGTATGCTTCCTTACAGAAATTCATACAGTTGAGAACAAATAATGCAAAAGCCACAATCTTATTTTACAACTGAAACCACTCTTACCACAAACTAAAAAGGCCATTGGTAAATGGGCAAAGAAACACACATCAAATTTCAATTTGAGTTATTCCTGATTTAAATAAATAGCGATTTAATTCACGACAATTCATGCCCTAAATCGCTCCAAACTCTTATCTTTTAAGTCTGACTTTACAAATAAACTTGTAGTGATTTGTGTAATATTTTTAATTGATTTAATCCAATTTTATGACATTAAGATTTGCCTTTTGATTTGTGCTCATTTTATGAACGTTTACCCGCATGTTTTGACTTTTATAAATGCAGTTAACTGTTGAGCAGAACACGGGGTCCAATGTTGCCTACAAGGATCTGACTGCTCTGCTAGGAGCATACGATGTTGACACCAATGATGTACTGACCATTATGACCAGGCCCCCGACGTATGGCACCCTGACACTGACAAGCCAAATCAAGACTGTGCCGTCCATTCTGAATTGCAGTGAGCCCTCTGTAGGCAGTGAAGAGCCAATCATTCCTTGTGGGATTGAGTTGCCCCATAGTGAGGTAACAGTTGTGATGTTAAGGAGGTTGTTGAAATTTTGGCCTCACCTCCAGCTTTGGTTTATAGCCACGGGTTTAGAATTACATAAAGCCTCCAATGTCAAAATCAAATGCTCTTAACTTGGCCTTTTGTAAAGGATTTGAATTTCTTGAATTTCTTTCTTTTTATCATTTGGCAAAAAATACGAACTTGTTCACAATAGCATTTTGCATTTTACATGTAAAAACAAGTTGTTAAAATGACTACCTTAAATCCATTCTTTTAGCCAAATAACAACAACAGTTTGTGGACAAATAAAATATATTTTACCATATCAAATGTCACTGCCACATCACGCAAATGGAAGGTCTTGTCCCCTTTAATTTGATACCACACTTCAGGTTGTGATGCCTGCAATTTTGAAGATTTCATAAATTGTTTTCAGCCATTTAGACTTTCTCATGGAATTGCCCATGTGCTTTAAGTAACATCTGCACTTGCCAGTGCAGTGTAGCAAAGATTAATATCTGGTATTTTATTGATTCTGAATACTAGCAATTCTTGTGTGCAGTTGTTGAATTGAATAGTTCCTATGGTACTAGCTTAAGTCAGGCTGGACCTCTGTATTTGGACAGGTGTCTTTATACCCAGGACTTATGTGTTCAAAGGTACCCTGCAGATGTGTTGTTGCTGTCTCTTTCATACAAATAATTAATGTTTATGAGTGCAATGGTAAGAATATTTTCATGAGATGACAGATGACATGTTCCATTCTACAAGGCGAAGGCGAGTGGAATGGATCTGTCACCAAATGAAATTATTCTTTCCATTGCATGAATATGAAACATTCATTATTGTTTTATACACCACCTGAATAAATCCTCGTCATCTGATTGGTCAGAGCCACCAATAGTGTGACCGGGCCATGAGTCGGTACGAATAATCCATGTGATCAACGAGCTACCAATGATATGACAGGGATATATTCAGTTGTTGTATAAAACACAATATAGTTGGTGATGTCAGAGAAGGCCCCATTGAATCACCCTGGACAAATGACTCTGTCATCAAGTTGTGCATTCGCCATCCTCGTTGAGTTGCAGTGTGTTTTGTAATTACATCTCCAATCAAATTAATAATAATCAAATGTATAATTCCCCCCAGCGTTGTAGTCGAGTACCTTCAATGTCAATTCCAGTCACAACCTATTCAAAAGAACTTCAACAAACGATTCAGTACTTTGAGACATGGTTTGTGGCTGGTTTTGTGAATGGTCTTGTGCTTGCTCTACAATTGGTCTTGTTTCTGGTGTTTTGAGGATCTCGACTTCAACACCGAGTTCCACATGTTTCTCTACTTGCCCAGTAGGAAAATCAAGTCATGGCATCATCCCTATCAATGCAATTAAGTCCAACTCTGAATCTAGAGTTCTCAGAAGGTCTTACAAGTCATACCAAGTCAATACAAGTCACGCTTCCTTAAGTCAAGTTACAATTTATTATGATCAAAGTCTGTATCAAAACATTTCTATTTCAATGTTCATCACCTGTGAAATTTGATTTCGGACCCAGAGTCATTTTTTTAACATGAGAATGAGAATTTGTTTTATACATTTAGGAGGACTTAAGCTGGACGACATCCACATTCACCTATGCTCCAAACCCTAACTACCATGGCAGGGATAGTTTCCTTGTCTTAGCAGAGGACCTGTCCGGAGCCATGTCTCAGCGACTGGAGGTACAGATTGCTGTGCTGGTCAACCCTTGCATCCATGAGGGGGTCTGCAGAGGTGGGTGGCTCACACAAAACCTCAGCCATTTCTGTTTAATTCCTTGGCTTGTCCTGTCCTCATTGGGGTAACTGAGGAAAATCTGCCGCTGTACAAAGAAGCTTACAGTAACAGGACATGAATGCAGTTTCAAGTTAATGAACAATTCAAGGCACAACATTCCATGTAGGACGTTTACTACAGTAGAAGGCAGAATTGTCACAACACATAGCAACTTGTTTGTACTTTTAGATTGTTAAATGAGATCAGTAGCAGATTTAATGAAATCTTACGCTTGGTTTCGGTTCAATAAATTACATTAATTGCACAATAAAATTATGACTAATTTCACGAATTTTGCAACAAATTATTACACAATTATTGAAGGTGGCCTAAGTCACGGCATTCATGCCAAATGTAAACGATTTTACTGACTAATTGTTATTGTTGTGCCCCTCATAGTCTAAATTATCAAGATTTAAACCAGAAATTCACAACTTTATATGTCTAATAAGATGATAATGGAATGCTATTTTACCTATAACAGAACTTATGACACAATTGGACAAAACTGTTCTAAAATTACGAGCGGAACCGATTCAGTAACTGTTGTGCCTCGTATTTGAAATTATACCCAACAGCCATCATAAAACCTGTGACTATCTTCACCAATAGGTATACCTCTAATTTCATGCAAGTTTATAATCAGACATATTTTTTTGTTAAATTAATCGCACTAATGCCATAATTTGCACACTAATTTGTGAAATCAGCTGCAAGTTCCAAATCAATCACTGATCAGACATAGTGATTCTTCTTATTTGTGTTGCTACATGTACCTCTCTACACACAGGACCTGTTGAGGATCCTGATTGTACCTCCCCTGCACGTAGCAGTGGGTTCGAATCCTACTCCTGCCACTGTCAGCCCGGCTGGGTTGGTGACATCTGCGAGATTGATTATGATGAGTGCCAGTCCACGCCGTGTGCATACCCATACGTCTGCTATGATCGCCTCAATGGATTTGAATGTGCTTGTCCATTGTCTGATCCACTGTGCGATGACCTTGACTGGAGGTCAGCATTGTTTATATAAAAAAAACGAATTATTTGTGTTTTATTGTTTAGTTTGTGATATGATAGCATAGGTACTGCAATTGTATCCATGCAGTATTTTTAGAAACCAGTGTCTAAATTTTGGAGAGTAAATACATATATAATTTAATGTCCGTGTGAGCACATTTACTGATCTTTACTGTTCTCTCTGCTCTTCAAGTTTAATAAACAACAACATTATCAAGTCAAGAAGTTAAATGCTAAACTCCATTTTACTTTCCATTCACTATTTTATTTCATGGCCTTTCACACACAAGAAGTTTGTCGTCGATGTTTAGTAACAGTCTATAAACTGTCAGTTGATGATTTCACTGAAACTGATGATTTTTACCAATCATGACAGTCTAAGCCGTTACCATGTTTTATATTTATCATTTTGTGTATTTACTTCAGAGTCAAAGTTATAATAGCTGTGGTAAGCTGTCTGGTTGGTTTGTTCATCGTTGCTGCTGTGGTCTTCTACTTGTACAAGAAAAAGCACAGCAAAAAGTAAGTGTAAATGCTGTTAGTCCTGTTGATAGACACTATTTTGACCTCCAGGTGTTATATGCCATACCTCCATCACCGTTTTCACGAAGAGCCACATAATTATGTCGATTTTGAAGAAAAAGCGTTTTCGAGATAATCGCAAAAGAAGTTTCTCATATTTTAAAACCGCAAAAAATACCAATTCCAACAACTTTGTGCAGCAAGGAAACCATCAAACGATTCTACGAGAGCTGAGTTTTTACATGAACCCAGTAATTAGACTTAATACATCAGTTAGTTGGTGAAAATTAATTAGTAAAGATATGTGGCTCTTTTTCCGAGATATTGGCCTTTTCTGTTCAACGTGTTTTTCCATAGGCGCGCGTGAGCACGCGCGCGCGGCTGAAAATGTAACAAAGATATTCGTGAAAGCGCAAATCTCATTTGACCTACTTGTACGTATGTCCGTGCAATGGGCTTTGTACGCGATCAAAGGGCCAAAATGTATGTGGCTCTTCGTGAAAATGCAAAATGCATATATCTAGATTTCTGCCCCTTGCAACATTAATGTAACTTAGAAATTAATGATGTTTTGCTTACAGAAACATGTCAAAATGGTTAAGTACATTGTTTTAATGCGAAATATTAAAAAAAAAAATGAAAATCGAAAAAATTGTAATTTTTGACGTATGTGGCTCTTCGTGAAAACGGTGACGCACTGAGGTGTAATGCCATTGAATTATTTTATTACGCATGAATACAGATTTTGTCCAGTTCGCACTAAAATTGATATTTTGAGTTTCTTTGTAAACCTACAACCTAGCATTTCCTGGGGAAAGACCACATATGAGATACTTTACTGTTGATAGGTCTCCCCTCTTTCCTCTTCTATCACCAGTTAAAACAACATAGAAGCAGTGAGGATTAAATGATTTGTACTCTTTCACAACAGATTACAAATCCATCTATTACCGGATCCAGATGATGATCAACTGGTGTCATACATAAGTGGCAACACTCTGCAAGCCTTTGACAATCCTGTGTTTGAAGATGACAGTGGAGATCAGACAGATTCTGACGAGAAGGACGAGAACCAGGCTAGCCACAGCCATCCGGATGACTCCTCAACAGGAAGACCGCCCTCTGCTTTCTCAACCCGTTCGAAAAGCTCCTCTTCATCAGGCCTCAAGAAAGACAGGCCCTGGTCGGGTCTTGTGCGTTCTAATGCTGTTGCAGATGCTTGGCCTGCAGTGGCTGATGCTGTCTTCGTGGGTGGTAAATCATGTGATGAACCTCCCCCTGCCAGTCCAACAGTGAGCCCTGCCAATGCTGAGATGTGGGCACAGTCAACCATGCACGTGCAGAAGGATATTGATATTAAAGATCCAGGGCAGATGCTGATGATCCAGAAGAGGACTCCGCCATCTACCACAGAGGAAACCCCTAACTGCGTGACTGAGGTAGGTGTCATAACCTAGGCCCAATCTCATGAAACTATTCAGCAGAAAATCTGGCTTTGCCTACTTATAGGCCGAGCAAAGCTTATTATTTCTTGTAGTGGAACTAAGGATTCCACAAGATTCCATAAGATTGCCCTATGCACTGTAATATGCCAGGCCTGAAAAAAAAAACAGTATTGAGAAGATGAAGAAGAAATGTTAGCTTGTGGAGATGGGGCAACCTCAGATAGTTTTCTGAACACCATTAAGTAGGGAATAGAAAGTAAGTCCACATGGGTGGGACTCAAACTTGACTTTCCTACGAGTGAGATTAGTTGAGAACTGATCAGAAGCAATAAACATGGCAATACATTTCGGTCATTAAGCTGTTCAAATTATGGTTCAAATTCTGGTTTAAATTCTTGGCCACACAGTCACTTTCCTTGTTCAACATTTTTTTGTGTGTAATTGCAAGTAAATGTGAAGGTTTCTGCTTTCCTTTTATCATCCAGCTTACAGGATCCCTTGTGAGATTCACTGATGATGAACAACTTCATGACGTCAACGAAACAGTGGTGTAAAGATCCAACACCACTATGTCTGTTTACCCTCGGCACTAAATTAAAGTTATTGTAACACTTCACTGAAGATTAAAAAGGAAAATCATCTTCTAAGATTGGTCTGAATTATTAAATGGTTACCTTGAAGTACGTGTCTGGAAAGAATATTGGATGTTGTAATATCTTACAAACACAAGCAAAAGGCTGTTAACGTCACGTTACAGCGTTTTGTTTAAGGATGAGCTTGGACTTGCACAAGCATCGTGCATGTGCCCTAAAGCGGCATGACACAGGAAACCAAAATCAGTTGAAACTGTTTTCACCTTTGCTTTGTTTTGACAAGATGTAAAGGCTGATGCATAATAAAGGAGAACTGATTCATTGGATGTACCTCCAACTACAAGCAGTACTGAAAGTCATATTTGTCCTGGTTTGGTTTCCCCAAGGGAATGGGGCAGCAGATTTCTATTAGCCAGACATAAATGAATTCATAACTTCAAACACATTTTTAATAATTTGGCCATCGGTTCTAGTATCAATACCTGTATCTTTTTTCCCCACTGTAAATTCAAGAATTATTTTAAGTTGTCTAGATAATGAGTTCATCCTCAGACAAAATAAGAGTTTATTTTTTTGTTGAACAATTCTTTTTTCTTTTTTTTGGTCCGCCATAATGAGACATAAAATCGCAAGTACAAACACATTTCTTTTAATTTTGCCATGATTTCTATTATTGAGATGACTTATGTTTACTGTTTTCTGTGTGTAATCAAGAAACTGTTCAAGTTGCCTAGATATTAAGTTCAGACAAAAGATTGGCTTAGCTTTTGTATATGAAATGTTTTACCCAGATTATATTTCGCTCTTGTGATAAGTACTTTTGCTAATGTAGTGATTCTAATGAAGTCTGCAGTGTGAATGACACCCTTCATGAACCTAAAACGTTGAAATTGGAAGTTCCATGGTGTCTGACTTACTTCGGGACAATTCAACAGTGTTCATTATAAATGTTATAATCATAAAGTGGATTTTTATGATGATAAAAACGTCTCAGTTACAACAGTGATTTAAAAAATGTTTTCTACATCCATCTGTTTTGCTGTAGTTGAAATTAGCTTGAAGCACCATGGTGTCGGACGTACTCAGAAAAATGATGTTTTGTGTACCTATTGATTATTTAATTTAGTTAAAAGTAACAGCTGAACTGTTGAACATTGTTAGAAATAAGCTATATTTCAGTAAAATACAGATAATAAGATTCCCAATGATACACATTTCATTTGTCAAACTGAATGTGGTTTTGTAACTTTAGTGCATCATACAAGTATGCATGTAATTTGTTGTTATATCCCAAATGTTAATTACTCAGAAATGAACATCTGTTGCAACGCTTTATTCTTACCAGATGTGACATTTTTGTATTTAAGGTGAAGAATAACACAACAGAATATATTTAGTAGGTTCTTGGACTTTGAAGCAGAATATACTAAAACATGAATACGGCTAATATATAAGAAACCAAACTTCAACCCTGTAGTGTTGCAAATACATGTGTTAAAATATTCTAAATTCACCGTGACAGATAAACTACAAACATTCATAGTGAATTCTATCCCTCAGTGATAGTTTTTAGAGTTCTTCAGAAGTTTGTATCGTAGTGTTAATGTAGTGACAAATCGCATGTTCATACCCAGATTTCCTTTGGAAATGAATGAAGTGTCAAATGTATTGTACTCAGATTGAGAGAATAAACTTTGTTGCTGCAAGTATTCTCGGTTGACGTTCATTGTGTATGTATTTTTGTAGATACTATCACAGACAAAATCCAAACTAAAGAAAGTAACCTACATGTACATTGTATTTTGTCTTACTTTTGGCGTTTGTAATGTCCGTTGACAGCTCATACTGTCCAGGTATAAGACCCGCTATTTATAAAGGTTTTCCCGTTTATATCGTCGGCCTAAAGGTATCTGAGCCAATGTATTTGGTTTAATAACTCAAGCAGTGTTTTCCTGATATTGATGTAACGGTGTTGTTGAGAATGGGCTCTTTTTTCTTTCTTTTCTTTTCTTTCTATTCTATTAATCGATGTCCAACTTGTCTTTTGTATTGCAGCCCCCCCCCCCCCAACAAAAAAGTATATACAACGCATTGTATATGAGACAGTATATATGTATGCAACGCAGTGTATATGAAGTAAACGGTAATTGTTGTTTTATAGACTCTAGACAGGTTTTAGACCAATGAAATTACAGTATTGAAAGACGAGATATAACAATGGAATTATACAACCCTGACTAAATTCCCGTCATAATATCCCCGTCGCAGAGCTGACTATCCGGCGAATCGACCATTTGGCGATTTATAAATGTTGCTCCTTTAAGTATTTATGTCAAAATTCTTAATTCTTGTCTGGATTTTGAGATTCAGAGCCCCGCCTGTGGCGAACCAGTCATAATAACAAATACAATATTCGACATGGTGACAAATACGAAATTTCGATGGTAACCATCTAGTGTAAGATGTGTTACTGTGGTTGTCAAATATCACGTAAAAGGTGACTTTTTAAGACTCGATTCATTGAACACTTCTCATTTATGATCAAAATAACATTGCACGGTATGAATGCATAAGATTTTCCCTTAAAGTTGATAAAACTAGTAGTTGTAGTTGTGCTATATGTTTTCATTTGATCGTAAACGTATTCTTTAGTTTGACAAATTACAAAATATCGCCAGTTTGTCGGATTGCAACTCAGTTTCGAGCGCGCGCACGAAAGTTTGAATTCGACAAACTGAGGAATAGCATACAAACAGTGTGAAGAACAATCACCTATTGGATATGTTGTACTTTGACAAACTGACGCATACGTTTACGATCAAATAAAAACATATCACACAACTTTTCTGATTAAATAGGTAGCCTGATGGATACTACGTTTTCTATTTTTAATTCAAATATACACCAAAAGGGTTATTATCGAAATATTAAGGGTGCACTACGACGCCCCCCAAAAGTCCAACTTTTAACGCGAATTTGCATCACGATTTGCATGCCCTCCAATTTTTCAGCATTTGAGCATGTTGTGGGCCATGATTTTGAGAGTTTGTAAAAAACTAACGGTGGAAGCCGTGTACAGGACCGTGAGCTATAGCGCTATATTTTGCAATGGAGTGTAGGCACCGCTTTTTTTTATTAAGGGGTGATCATCTTCGTGTGAAAATTTCTCCAAAAAAGTCATCAGAGTAATCCAAAAAAATTGGAAACAAAATAAACGATAATGAAATAACCTTTAATTTGATGTTTGTCTCAAACACCTAAGAGAGTTGTGAGTATTTTTCCTGAAGGCTGAAGTGGGGACATTTATCGTTGGGGGTATATGGTAGTTTATTTACTGGTCTGCACCCATGCATAAACTTCGGACATAGAGCTGTGGTGTGCAGAGACCCGTAGATAATGAGTTCATTATAGATCAGGGGAATGAACCGGGTTACCGGCGGTTACCCGCCGGTTCGATAGATATCTGATCCCTAAACAAAGCACGTCAACAGTCTCACTTATACTACCACCACTGTTTCTCCTCTTTTGGTAGATCCAAGATTTGCCTCGGCGTCCTGTAACTATAATATCTGAAGGCCAAGTGTAAGAACGTCAAGTTGTGGGGTGGAACCACCCAGCTAGTTTGGTGGGTGAGGCCCAGCAGGGTTGGTGTAGCGACAGGGAGTTACGGATGCAGATGTCACTGGACAACTTCAATAAGTAAATAAAGTCAAATCATATCGTGTCGTTTTGTGTCATGTTGTGTTGTGTTGTGTCATCCACTTTTATTTGTTTAATTTGAAGCTTGTTAAGGGGGAGGCTACGGGTCCCTTTGTAACTATGTTGGCGTGGTGGACAGTCTTGGGTAACCAACGATGACCGACTCAGCGATATTAACCGGATGTCGGTGATGGCGCTACACTTCGAGCAAGTGACACGTTCAGGATAGATCATAATTTATACCACTTAGACGACATAAGATTTTACATGAGTACCCATTTATTCAGTCAGGGAAACCCTTACTTAATTTGAATTAAACAACAACTTTTTATCATAGCTGTGATTTTAAAGCGAACTAAGGCTAACGCAACAGGTAATGCAAATAAAAGAAATACAAGTAAAGTAAACGTGGTTTGCTGGAGTAGATACCCATGCACTACTTGTTAATTTGTAATCAGAGTCAATAGCTTAAAATGTTATGCGAGTACATAAATGTATACAAATGAATTAAATATTTATATTAAAGCCAACAAATCTCGACACCAATCATTTCATAATAAGGTGAGGGGGAATCCCCATCGTGTCACCCTTTGGTTTTCTCTATACGTTCTTCATTCATGTTCTTTTTTTTTTTTTTTTAAATAAGTCGAAACCCCCTCCCCCCCCCCCCCCCCCGCTGCGTCGGATTTGAAAAGCGCCCCCTATTGAAATATGTTACCAGCCATTTATGCAAAATTTATGCAAAGAAATATACGTATACAGGGTAATTGCGATACTGCAGAGGGATCCATTTAGAAAGCACAGCTTGTATTCAATGGTTCCTAATTGACATGCACGTGCATTGAGACAGGAATAAAAGAATGTTAATCGAACCACTCAGGTCCGTGGCCGATGAACCAATGAAAAAAAAATGTATTAGTAGGTCTCAACGCACATGTTTGTTTGCAAGAAAAAAAAGGAACAAAGACAATTTACCACTAACATTTTTACAAGAGTGTGGACAACACAAACAATGGACGAAGACTACAGAGCGACAGCTACATAGAGGTCTTATCAGATCAGCAGATAAAGTGGGTTAGTATGTAGAACAATCAACAATAAGATTCCAGTAAAACAGATTTAAAAATACGTTTGAAAGAAGAAATATTTTTGAATGCTTTGAGCTGGTCATTTAGCCTGTTCCAAAGCATGGGTCCCTCATGTTTACTAGTTTTATGAGCTAGCGAAGTACGGTGTAATGAATGTGGAAATTGGTAGCTTGA